TATCTTTGGGAGCAGATAGTACTTGAGATGTATATCTAGTATGGGCGGAGCTGGATCTGATAATCAAGTCTTCTAACTTGTTATGTTCGAAGTTGGGCCACCGTTCCATGGTTTACGGTACCTGCAAAATATGGACGCCCACGCGGACTTGATATGGTACTGGGTTAGCTGTTGGTACGCTAGATATGTAGCTGTTAGTGCTCCGTACTCCGTCCGTACCAGACAGGCAGCAAATCGCCCGCCCGCGGAGTCTGCATGGTGCTCCGTACCACCCACCGACGCGCACACCGAGGCTTTCATTTCCGCCCCTGCAAATAACGGAACCATCGAATGTGGGGAGAGGGGAGGGGGAGGGGGAAGAGCGGATTTCCTCGCCGTGGGTAAAAGGCTAGATAATTGGAGGATGGGGAGGGGGAAGGATTGATGAGATGCGCCCGCCGCCGTCTGTCAGGGTGGTACGGTAGGTTTAAAGTGACGCGGTTGGAAGGCAAAGGCCCGAATGAGATGCTGAGATGGCGACGTTGCGTGTCGATCACGCGGGAACTCCTTACAGGGGAAGAAGGCAATGGAAATCATCATTTCACCTGGGGTGGGCCCTTCCAACTACTCCGTACAATCTCCGCATGCACCCGCGGTTTATCGTCCGTTTGAACGGAGTATCCAGTTGCTTGCTCCGCAGTCCGCACATCCAACCAGTGTACTCACTATCTATCTACACAGTATCGTCGCAGGTTGTTGTTTGTGGCAAGTTGTAGGAGTATGTACGGAGTAGGTAGGTTGTCCGTCTCTCCCCGATCTTCAAGAGACCAGACGGTGCGCAGCGAGACCAGTCAGGTACACATACATGGACTTGCTCACCGACAGTATAAAAAAAAAACTCTGGGATAGGATGCGGGGATCCCAGGTGGCTAAGCTATTGAATCTTTTAAAGCCCCCTCCTCGCATCGCATCCTCCATCTACTGCGTACATTCACTCGATTCCCAGAGTTTGAGGCGTGCATGCTTGTTGGATGTACAGAGTACATGCGAGGTGTTCGGAGTAAGCGAGGATTTGCCATGATACATCCAGTCTGGTGGGCGGAGCCTCGCAAAAACACTGCAGCCAAGGATCGGAAGGTCCGTCGAGATCCATTGCAGTTCAGTCCTAGCATATGTCTGCGGATGAAGATTCCCAGAAGTAAAATCGCGCAACGCAGATTTCAGTTTCCGCGTCGACCGACATCATCATGAAGGTCATCCTCGCAGGGTCCTTGCCCGGCATCGTGGTGGTGGTGGTGGTGGTGGTGGTGGCTTATATACATTATACATACATAGGGCGCACGCAAATGTAGGGGATCACAGACCCAGACCCATGGCACATCCGAGCTCCAAACCGGAAAGCATTCAATCCAAACAGGACTGGGTATGTCAAATTCTGGACAGTGCATTGCACTGCATCAATAGCCAAAATTCTAATCTGAAGATTGACTGTACATTAGTCCGGTTTGCAACCGACCACACGATCCCCGATCTCTAAATTGTTTATTCCCTGTCAATCCCCCCCCCCCCCCGGTGCCCCTCCAAACCGAAACCCTGTAGATTCGACCAGAGCTGGCGGATAGCTTAGCCGGTAGGTACCTAGCCATAGGGTTAACCTAGATACCACCACCACAACATCCCGTACAACCCCTGAGCGCGATGAATTGCAAACCAAGCTTAGCGAGACGAAGACGTGTTATCGGCTGGGTTTCCGATAGCTGACATCATGTACACAGTCACCGCAAAGCGGAGCTATAAGGTAAGGTTTTGTGCGATTGCTGGCCATTGACTCGGGAAGGGAGAGTCGGATCCAGGGAACGATTACACGGAACACGACCGGAAGTGTAGGAGGCTGCGACACGACTCCGTACGGCACACAGACGGCGGTGGGTTTATCGATTAGGTTACCCTTGGTGGAACATCCTGAACCGCGGAACCTTCTCACGGGAGGTTCCCAGCGGGTTGCAAGAAATTGGCATGCCTCGAGCCCATGGTCAAGCCAAGTCAGAACTCAGAAGAGGGGATTCCTGTCACTGGAACTGTCGCAGAGGGGCAATCCTGGACCCCCAGCAGTTAGAGACTCGGGGCATCCTTTCGTATCCGGTGAGTCAAAGAGCCATTCACCCATGTCGATGGTGAAATCCGGGGTGAAGAGGATCCTGGCTAAGATCATATTTAGGGGAGAAATTCGCCAGAGCGATCGGATTTGTTTCACCCGCGACTCATCTTCAGGGGCTGCGATCAGGCTACACCTTGAGGGCTTAAGGGATAAAAAAAGGCTTTCTCTACAATTGTTATAACCGGCTTGGCGGCATTGAGGATGGTGCATTATAGGCAGGACATGAATCGTGATTATACACCATTGTACACGAATTATCCACCAGGGTCGCCTAGGATTCGTTGTCCCAGCGGCCGAGGTACAGACCATCGTTTCCTAGCGATGATTGCTAGCTATCTCCAGGCGGTTTCGCCGAGTCTCCGTGCTTGGGTTCCTTGGAGGCAGACCCCGTCTGGTAGTCATGGCGTGACAGCTAAGAATTTAGTAGGCGGGTGGTCGCAAATCAGCTTCTAATTTGCTCTCCCGATCGGACCATTCAGTTCGCTAGAAAGTACTAAATGGTCCCGGTGGTTGCGGTCGCATGCAGTCAGCACGTTCTGTCGTTCCTCTTTTTTTTTTTTTTTTTTTTTTTTAATCCTTTCCTTACCGGTTCGAGATATATCTGTTCTCTCTCTCTCTCTCGCTCTTTGTCTTTCGCCGCATCTCTGACGTTGGGCGAGAAAGGGAAAAAGTAATAATAGGAGGCGGTTCACCCCGGCGGACGCTTGAGCGTACTCGGATCGATACCTCCTCCAGGTACGGAGATCTGGAGGACCGTGGATGGAGCAGCCTTCCCCCACAAAGAACATCTCCTATCAAACAGAAGGATGAGGCGAATCCAAAGACATGTTCAGTTAGACCCGCAAATCATTATCCAGCTAGTTAGAAGTAGCATCGGCTTCCATTACTTGCCACGGATGAAGCGGGTTTGTTAGGGGGGGTCCTCTTGACCCGCTCCCTAACGTAATATGGAGGTATTATTGGGGACGAATCGTGTATGCGGTACGAGTTACCGAATCGCAGCAACGGCAGCAGAACTACACCCGCTAGTTCCCAGCCTAACTTTAGTACCAGTTACCGTACAGCCCCAAAGGTGTCTTAGTCTCACCCGTGGCCTGGGTCGAAGGGGAAATGGTGGTTGGCTGATGCGGGCAGACAGGAGAGAGGCAAGATTCAGGAGACCATCACCCAGGACATTAATCTACCTGATGAGATTAGGATCGAGCTCCCCGAGAAATGTGTGCGTGCGTTGCGTGTGTGCGCGCGTGTGTGAACTATGGGTGAGAATGGCCATGGCCATGGCCATGGCGGCATGGCAGCCAGCCATACCAGGATGATACATGCAAAAACATGGCGAGTTGCTCTCGCTGGTATGACTTGCAGCTGCAATCCGAGTAATCGTAGAATAAATAATAGCTTGCCAGCGATATGGGTCGATGACTCTTGACACTTCAGATCGGAAATCCTCAAGGTTTTCCGTCTCTCACGATAGTGTAGATAGTACGTAGGAGGGAACGGGGTGATACACTTCATCGGGGTCTCTCCCCCCTCGTGGATTTTTAAGCTGGCCCCCCTCCCCCAGGGACTTCGTTACTTTTTCTTTTTTTTTTTTTTTATCTCTTCGTTGCGCTGGCTGTCTGTTATAATTCCACCCACCTGGGAAGAGCATACTTGCAATTTACATACCTACATAACTGCCTACCACCTAAATTTCAAAGGGAATTAAAAAGCAGCCCCTCCCAGGGTGTGGAACAACAGGAGCAAGAGGGACAAAACGCAGTCCAATCAAATACGATAAGAAAAAAAGAAAGGCAAAAAAGAAAGAACGAAAGAACGAAAAACAGGCACGGTTCGGGAGTGTGCCTGGCTGGCGTTCCTTTTCGCGTTCTCTGGAAAATCCCGTCTGTCTCCGCCTGTCAGTCCGTCCAGTCAGTCAGTCAGTCAGTCCGTCGCCGGTCGGTCGGTCTCCCCTAACGAGCACCACTACCAACGACCACCTCCTCCACGCAAAGCAGCAACCAGCAACCAAGCAGTAGCAGCATCCCATCATTCCGCCCATCTTCCCTCCCCCATTATCTCCCTCCCTATTCCTCCTCCCTCCTCCTCCTCCCTCCTCCCTCCATCTCCCACCACCACTCACAACCCCTCTTGCTCTCCCTCCTCCTCTCTCCTCTTCCTCCTCCCCCCTACCCTATCTTCTTCGTCTTCCCCCCCGTTCTTCTAATTTCTATTTCATCCTTCTTCCAGGCCCTCCCCTCCCCCCACCCCCCCCTGAACGGCCCCGTCTTCTGCTTGATTCAGAAGACCCGTGCCTAGGATCTGGTTATCGTTTCTTTCTCAGATCTCCTTTTTCGGTTTCGCATTGTTTTCATTTTCATTTGCCTGGCCATTCATCATCGCTGTTTTTTTGGTTCGTCTCTCGTACATGGCTCGACCGCTCTAGACAGCTTCTGCCATCCTGGAGCCGTGTGTTCCTCACGTCGTACCTTCGTCGCCAGCTCGCCTCCCTCGTCGATCGCCTGATCCCAGCCCTTCGTTTCTTTTGTCCTCCACACCAGCATTCGTTTCTGCATCGACAAAGCGCTTTCACTTCCTCGTTGTATCAGTATAATTCATCTGGGACATTTTTCCGTTGAGACCAGGTACGACCATCCCGCAGCCTGTCCCCCTTTCGAGAAGGAAACCTCCGTTCGTCTCCAGACACCCATCGGTCCTCGACACTTCAGCCAATCTCTGAACCCGCTTGTTCTTGTGCAATCTCGACTGACAACTGTGTGTAGTACAGAGTTTCCCCCCCTGTGGTCGTCTTCCGTGATTTCCTTCTACCCCGGTCGCCTTCTCCCTCGACCTCCGACTTAAAAAGACTTGGTCCTCTGGCCTGGGTACTGCACGGCACTCATTCGACGAGGTCTCCCGTCGACACATCTCATCCCGGAGACGCAGTCGGCTACGCGTCGGATGCTAGTTCGTTCTGAGTAGCGGAGGGAGAACATCATGGCTGCGTTGGTACAGACAATCCCCCAGCAAAGTGGCACGGTTTCTGTGCTTCAAACTCGACCATCGTCCTCTTCGGGCACCTTCACGCCGTCCTCTGCTCCCTCCCAACAACACAACCCGCGGAACTCGACTATGTCCTGGAACCCATATAACACAACAGGCAGTTCCGCAAATTACAGGGTAGGCCACCAGGTTGTGGCTCCCTACGCATTTACCAGTACCCCCAACCTCTCGAATTCAGGCACCACGCAGAACCGTCAGTCGTGGTCCCCTCATCTGAGGCCCGAACATCGCACTTCTTCTGCCCCTTCAGTGCCTCAGGGGTCTGGTCCTGCCCAAGTTGGAGTCAACTCGCGCTTTGCCCATCATCATCCTGCAGCTGGTTCTGTATCCACTTCTTCATCCAATTCCTCCGTCCAGTCCTACATGTCGAAAGACGACTCTGCGATCCCGACGCCCAGGCAGCTCCGTGCTGACCCTCCTCTCCGTCCTCTCTCCACCGTCAATCTGCCTACCTCTTCCTCATCGACCTTCATGAACATATCTTCTCCCACCGTGGCCCGACCGTCCCCCGACCGTTATCGTCGTGGAAGCCGCCGACCGGATAATGCCACGGGCGCACAGCCCGCAACGGCACAGCCAACTGCACCTGGATCGGCACGTGCGGCCCCGGTAACCGTGGATGATTCCTTTCTCCAAACGAGCGCGCCTAGCCTTTTGGGGCCGGCACAAGAGGGCTCTCGCCGGCCTGGCCACGTTCGGGTGCCTAGTGCTGATGACACTTCCCGTGCGGATAAACCCCAGACAGAGCTTGCGAAGAGGTATCGGCGTCGGAGCTGGGGAAATATTGATAATGCGGGTCTTATAAATATGCAGCTCCATCTGCCCACGTCGTCGCCGACTCCGTCTACTAGTGGCCATGATTACTTTGACCAGACCGCTCGACCCCGATCGCCTCAGTCTCAGAAAGACGCTCAGGGCAGCATTCCGTCGGCGAATTCTTCGACTTCTTCGGTGCGTGATCCTGGACATGCGGAGTCCGCATCTTCTTCCTCCAGCAAGGGTGCCAACAAACCGGATGACGCGAAACGATCGACCAAGCCATCGCCGCTGTCTCAACCGGTTGAAGTCGATTCCAACCCCCCGACCCCGAAGACATCTCAGCCTCCCGCCAGTCCAAAGCCGGCCCCAACAGAGAGTCCTGCCACCCAACGTCTGGCTGAAATCACGAAGGGCGACCAACGGCGGCCCGGAAAATCCCGGTTGAGGAGGGCGTTCTCCTTTGGCAGCGCCTCCGAGCTTCTGAAAGCCTCCTCGCAGAACAAAAAGGAACTGATGGCTGCCGAGAAGGCTCGCAGGGAACTGCTTCAGGAAGAGTTGGGTCCCGAGCAGGCAGCCATTGCCGAGCAACAAGAGATGGGCGGTCTGGGCGAGAGTATCTATTCCTCCCACCACCAGGGTCGTATCTTCAACAGCTCCACGGACAACCTGTCGGTTTCGTCAACGGCATCTTCCGCTTCGATTATGCTTCGGAAGATGGGCAAGGGGATGAAACGCTCGACACGGTCGTTGGTGGGGCTCTTCCGCCCGAAATCGGTCGTGAGCACATCGTCCACCGACCCCGTGCTTATTGAGCCCATGGCACCCCAGCTGTCGGTGGTCAATATCGAGGCAGAGAGGAAGGGCATATCCCTCAACTTGGACCCGCAGGATATTTCGCTCGCTGGCACGTTCTCCAAGGCAGAATCCGATACACCCCGCACTACGAGTCATGACGATGGCGCCCTTGACAAATCCCAGTCGCGTAAGAGCATTGTCGGAGGAGACAAGGAGCGTGCAGAGATCCTCGCCGCCGTGAGGAAGGGTATCCTCAAAAGTAAGTTGTATTCCGCGAAATATCGCCGACCGTGAGTTTGCTAACCGGCCTCTCCAGAGACCTATTCCGACCCAGGCAACTCGATGTCTTTGACCAAATCATCCCAAAACTCGAACGGCAATGACTCGCCGCATTCCAGCGTTCCCAGCACACCCGAAGATCCGACACGGGCTGGTAACAGGCGCTCCGATGCAGTGAAGATCGCTGGCGAGGATGATTACCTATCCGAAGGACGGTTCCTGACCGGCGAATCGAAGAGTGCGCCCATCACACCGCAAGCTATGCTGCCCAAGAGCCTGGTTTTCAGCCCTCGCATCCAGTTCCACGAGACGTGGCCGAGTGGGGAATACGATCGACGCGGTGACATTGCGACGTGTAACCGGTTGACTCCGCTCCTTGCTCAGCAAATCAAGGAGGAGCTGAACAACTTCAAGATGGTAAGTCCCCCCGGGGTTTGGTTGTGACGGTGGCATGGATGACAAGCTAATGCAAAACAGGAGATGGAGGTCCACGAGACGTCAAAAATCTATACTCACTTCCTCTGAGTCGCTGCATTTCGAATGGCGTTCTTCTTGCGTGTCTTGTGTTATTTACCCTCGGAGGAGTGTTGGATCGATCTATGAACGGCATGGTACCGAGCCTTGGTGGCTTGTAGACCCGTTTCCTTTTCGCTAGAGAATATTTTGGTTCCAGTCAGGGGCTCGGTTGTCGCCTCGGTGGCGGATGCGCCCGGCCGCCTCATTTACTTGTGTTTTTTTGCTATGCGTTCTGGGTGTTACGGCGCCAACCACTGTCAGGTCCTGGTTTTGTCTTTTTTTTCTTCTCTTTCGTTCTTCTGCGCCGGGTGATTTATGGGGATTCTACCGCAGCCAATGAAGCATCGTGGATCCATCCGTTGGCTTCGCTCTACATCGCACCCCGGATTTGGGCGCTCCGCCTTACCACTTCAGCCACTACCACAACCACCACTACTACGCTTTCTTCTTCCTCCTTCCTTCTCTCTAATCTGGCCCTTCGACAGCCCCGGTCCGTGGTCGACCTTGCATCCGCGCCGTCCCGTCTCTTTTAATCTCATCTGTTCTGCAAGCGTGAAAATTGGGCAGCATCTCTTTGCACATTGTCTCATAGTGTCATCGTGAATCCTTCTTTTCCTGTTCTGCAAGCACTGGTCCCTTTGTCGACATGTCCGTGTACAGCTTTCTGGAACCGGTACACCGTGAATGTCTCGCTCCATTTTCATTCCGTCCTGACTGGTCAAATCAATGCAATACCTTTTGCGAGACTTGGATCCTCGGCCTCAGCGTGAGGTGCCATGGTGCATTTGTCAGCATATCTGTAGTTGTATCTTCGTAGTGGTTTGAGATAGACCCGAGTAGCCACAATAATTTCCTATTAGTAACGTCCCCATAATAGACAGAACGTGTTTATCATCCTGGATTGTGGATTCTTACGCAAAAGAGGACACAAGCGGGGGATAATGACAGCAGTAAATAAGGGCTGGGGCTGGGGCTGGGGAAGCGACGCCAAGCACCCCCACGCCCTAAGTAAAACTGGGGATCGTGACCTCGACCGGATGGCACCCCATGCACCAAATCCCGGAGCCGAAGGCTCTCTACTCTGTTCCCTGCATGCCCAACAGAAACAGGGATGTAATTGACACATCATCCGTTATTCCCTTCTTGCACTTTCCTTATGCCGAGAGTAGACCGATTGACGGACTGGTCGTCACATCGGATAGATTGCCCATCAGACCGGGTGTGTTGCGTCGGCTAGATTGCATATACGCTACCTATCTACTGTACCTACCTACTCTACCTACCCGAGTTCGGCATTGCACGGGATCCGAACTGACGGCCTGAATCCCGCTAACTAAGCAATATGTGGCCTGATTAATGACGAGCGTTTGGTTGGTAGGTTGGCGGGTGGGTAGGTTGCTTCGGGGGACCGGATTGAAATCTGGCGGAGCATGATCCCGGTCTGCAGCAGTCGCTCCCTAGTACTTAGCCTAGGTAAGCCGATGTTTCCCCCGAGAGGCGGTAGGCTGCTGGGATTAGGGATGGAGGGGGGGACTCTCGACTTGCATGATGACGGGGGTTGTGGTATGAAGGAAGTTTATGACCAACAAGAGTATCCACTGCGGAGATGCCTGTCTGGATCAAACTTTGTTCGACTCCGGGGAGGGACTGCGTGAGGTAGGGATCTTCCGTCTGGGGAGAGGTGGTGATGGTGATTGTCGGGCCGGATTGTTCTTGGCTCTGGGGTTGGGGTTGGAGCTGGGCGTGCGATGCTCGGGTAAATGCCGGAGAAGAGCACGCAGACTCTTGTTTTCGGAGGAGGGGGGGAGTCTAAGCATGCACGTTGTTTGTGTGGACTATCCCGGCCAGTGAAACGCGGAACGGCCGACTTGCAGGGTGGAGGGGAAGGAAGAAATGGGGGAGGAAGAGGAAGAGGAAGAGGAAGGGGAAGGGGAAGGGAAAGAAGGGAAGCCGGACCGGGACAGCCAACCATCACGGGAACCCCCACGTTTTGGCCTCCGCGTCTTCTCCATCTCTCGGTCTGCTTCCTCAGCTTCATCTCCAACTTCACCACCTTTCTTCATGTGAGCCCCTTTGGCAACCCCCACGCCAGTCGAGCTCTCCACAACCTATCCCACCAGTCCCGACGGTCCCCTAAATGATCCTGATCTCATCTCCAGACTCTTGGTGTCTTCCCCGACATGCCTCGCCCCGCCTCTGCTTCCCCCACTGGCGGGGGTCGGCTCTCCCCGCTTCACCTTTGACTCCCTGAGGCCTGCCAACTCTCCCGATCCCCCGTGCCATGCGGGTTCTCAGCCCCGCCTGCCTGCCAGCATCTTTCGGCAAACTCGTCCAGTCCACGGGTCATAATCGGCCCCCTGCTCTTCCCACAAAAGGGTCCTTGATCCCGAGTCCAGCTGCCAGAATGACACCTCCCCTCTTTTTTCCGGATCCCCTTGGTCCCTTACTTCTACTCCCTCCCTTGACCCATCCCTCGTCCCCCTTCTCCTCAGTCTACGCTACCTATTAGCAGGCTCATCCACACCAACACGAGCCGACCATGTCTCCCAGAGCTTCTCAAGATATCGAACGGGACATCGACAAGAGCTATGTCGATAACGTCGAGATCGTCCCTGATGCCGTTGCCAACGCAGACAGGCCCAATCCCAGGAAAGAGGCCCCGGCCTATGTGGCTGGTCTAACCCCCGAGGAACGTGAGCAGGCAGAGAAGGCCCTGGTCCGCAAAATCGACTTGCGTCTCCTGCCCATGATAATCATCATGTACATCCTCAACTACTTGGATCGCAACAATATCGTGAGTGATGATGTCGTGACGATGTCGAAATTGGAATCATGCTCACGCTATACTCTAGGCGGCCGCCAAACTCGCTGGGCTGGTCTCTGATTTGAACCTGGTGGGTGTGGAGTATCAGACTTGTGTTAGTATTCTGTTTGTGGGGTATCTGTTGATGCAAAGTTAGTGCAATAAATCGATGGGGTGGAGGCGTCGATGCTGACAATGATAGTTCCGTCCAACCTGCTCCTGAATAAGTTCGGCAAGCCGGCTCTTTATCTTCCCGGGGCGATGATGCTCTGGGGCATCATTTCTACGTGTACGGCTGGGGCGCAGAGCTATGCGGGCTTGGTGATAGTTCGGTTCTTTCTTGGTTTCGTGGAAGCTGCCTATTTCGTAAGTGATGAAGGTAAATATAGTCTTCTGCGAAGGAGATTACTGACTTCTGTCTTGCTTTCTAGCCTGGCTGTCTCTACTTTCTCAGTGCCTGGTATACCCGGAAGGAACTAGGATTTCGAACTGCCGCCCTCTACTCCGGGTCTCTCATCTCGGGGGCCTTCTCCGGGCTTATCGCGGCGGGCATCACAGAAAATATGGACTATACGTTGGGTCTTCGAGCCTGGTGAGTACAATATTAGTGCCTAGATGAGTATAGCGTTGACTAATATGTGCAGGCGCTGGTTGTTCATAATTGAAGGCGCAATCACCATCGTCGTTGCCTTTGCCTCGATCTTTGTTCTGCCCAACTTTCCACGGACTACCGGGTGGCTGACCGAGGAAGAGAAGGAGCTGGCTGTTTGGAGATTGGAAGAGGATATTGGTGAAGACGACTGGGTGGACAGTGAGCAACAGACCTTCATGCACGGTGCCAAATTGGCATTTACCGATATCAAGACCTGGATCCTGGTAAGCCTCCCCAAAACAGGCTTTCTTCCCAACGACTAACCCACTCAGATGCTACTCATTTTGTGCATTGTCTCATCCGCATCCGTGACCAATTTCTTCCCCACCGTGGTCAAGACCCTCAATTACGGCAACATTGAGACCCTCCTTCTCACAGCTCCTCCCTACTGCCTTGCCGTGATCTGCGCCTTCGCCAATGCCTGGCACGCTGACCGTACCGGCGAACGGTACTTCCACATCACCCTACCCCTGTACGTCTCGGTAGCAGCCTTCATCATAGCAGCTACGACCACTAGCATCGGCCCCCGATACCTCTCCATGATGTTGATGGTTCCGTCCCTATACACTGGGTACGTGGTAGCCCTGGGCTGGATCTCAAGCACCCTTCCTCGTCCGGCGTCCAAGCGTGCCGCCGCCCTAGCAGGCATCAACTGTGTCAGTAATGCGAGCAGTATCTACGCCAGCTACATGTATCCCGATAGCGACTCTCCCCGATTCGGTATGTACCCCACTACCCACATAACACCCCCCCAGAACAACATGTCTAACTCTCGCAGTCACCGCCATGAGCGTCAACTGTGTCACAGCATTCGTGGCCATATTGTCCGCTACAGCTCTCCGATTCATTCTCGTCCGACTGAACAAGAAGCTCGATCGGGGTGAGGGAATCGGCGGCGCGGTCTCCTCGGGAGATATCCCGGGGCAGGCCAGCGCGAGGGGCTTCCGTTTCTTGGTTTAATGCGTTGGTATTGTCGTCTATGGAGTCAAGTTTTCTTTTTATACCCGCCAATGGGTGGTTGGAAATACCTCTCCCATAGAGTTTTGGGTAGACACTTTTATGATGTGAATGCACGATGCAATCTTGACAATACAACCAACCCTTTGTGTTATCGATGTTGTAAACACACATTAGTGACAACTTGAAAAAGTCGTAAATTACTGCAACACCCTTGCTCTCCTAGAGTGAAAACACTCAATCATGTATGATGCAATATGCCAATCGATACAGTATGATGTCCTCGACAGACCCAAAGAGACTCGATTTGATGGAACTTACCTGGATAAAGAGGTTCAAGTTATCGAGCAGAGATTTTAGGTCGATAGAGGGAAAACAATACAAATAGGGAGGTGCTGCAGGCACACCCAGAGTGCTATAAACACACTGGGATTACTGTACGCACACCCTCTCCGCTACTCTGGTTGGCCTGCCTGCGCGTGTTATCTGTGTATAGACTTCCTAGTTAGGAAGGCGGAGTGACCAAAGAGGTGTGTGTATAGTACCCAGGGTGTGCATTAACCCCCTACAAATACTGGGCAACGCCGACTGCTTAACCAAGACAACAAACAGCCTTCAGTCTATTAGACAGTCTGCCTGCGCATAGGATTGCAACCCACAGTAGTTCGTTCGGGGTAGTAATACTAGTGACGAACGACCCGAGAATATCCGCCACAGTTCGTTTGTCTATCCATCAATTTCTACCTAGTTCCTCGTGATTTGGTCGCTGCAGCTGCAGTCTAGCGTCCTGCACTCCTGCAGGACGGTCGCCTCGGTACTTCCACTGACAGTTCATCATTGCCAGGACCTGCCTCGTCGCAATCAGCCCACCGGAAAATTGCCCACCGGAAATTCCTGTGAATGGAGGAAAAACCCTGGCTAGATTACCCCACAAGCGATGCAGCCAGTGCTAGCGACCCCCGGTCTTACTCCACACTCCGTCATCCCGCATCAATCGTTTAACTTCCCAATCCGCTTTCGCTTGGCCGCCTGGTTAAGACCTCACTCAGCCCACTCGACGTCAGCTAGCCTCTGCGGAGTGCGCTCAGGATTTCTCACCCTCGGAAGTGGACTTTCGGGGAGGCGCACTTGCAATTTATGGGGAAATTGGGCGAAATTAGAGGCAAACAATGCTTTTGCCCATGCGCAGGCCTATAAAGAGGCCCCTGTGACCCGGTCCATCGCCATGTCTTTTCTCATCGCGCCCATTCTTAACTCCTGCAGCGAGTGTGAGGATCAGCCATGGCGCGACTCATACACTTGTGTCTTCTTTTCCTTTCCAGTCTGGGCTTGGTGACAGCTGCTGCCCAGAACCAAACCGAGACGGGATGGCCCCTTCACGATGATGGCCTGACCACGGCCGTGCAATGGGATCACTACAGCTTCCAGGTCGACGGCCAAAGAGTCTTCGTCTTCTCCGGCGAATTCCACTACTGGCGCATCCCAGTCCCTGGTCTCTGGAGGGATATTCTCGAGAAGATCAAGTCGGCTGGCTTTACGGCATTCACCTTCTACTCAAGTTGGGCGTGGCATTCGCCCAACAACCACACGGTCGACTTCACCACCGGCGCTCGTGACATCACGCCCATCTTTGAGCTTGCCAAGGAGCTTGGGATGTACATTATCGTGCGTCCTGGGCCGTACATCAATGCCGAAGCCAGCGCCGGTGGCTTTCCCCTCTGGCTGACGACTGGCGACTATGGGACTCTGCGGAACAACGATTCGCGGTACACCGCGGCTTGGAAACCATACTTTGAGAAGATGTCGCAGATTACCAGCGATTATCAGGTCACGAATGGCCAGAACACGCTCGTCTACCAAATCGAGAACGAGTATGGCGACCAATGGCTCACTAGCCCAAGTGAGAGGGATCCTAACATGACTGCAATCCATTACATGGAGCTGCTCGAGGCGAGCGCCCGTGAGAATGGCATTCTCGTGCCCTTCACTGCCAACGAGGCCAATATGGATGCGATGTCTTGGGGCCCTGACTGGTCTAATGCTGGTGGCAATGTTGATGTTGTTGGCTTGGATTCCTATCCTTCTGTGAGTTCATTCTTCTTAATTGGAAGTTGTCTGTCTGACTGTATCAGTGCTGGACTTGCGATGTTAGTCAATGTGACTCGACGAACGGAGCGTATGTCGCCTACCAGGTGGTCGAATACTACGACTATTTCCTCGATTTCTCCCCGACTTCGCCGTCATTCATGCCTGAGTTCCAGGGTGGTTCTTACAACCCTTGGGGTGGCCCTGAGGGAGGGTGCAGCAGTGATACCGGTCCGGACTTTGTCAACCTGTTCTACCGGTGGAACATTGCCCAGCGGGTTACAGCCATGAGCTTGTACATGCTGTACGGAGGAACCAGCTGGGGTGCCATCGCTACGCCCGTCACGGCTACTAGCTATGACTATTCCGCACCTATCTCCGAAGATCGCTCTATCGGTTCGAAGTTCTACGAGACCAAGTTGTTGTCTCTGTTTACTCGCAGTGCCAAGGACCTTACAATGACGGATCTGATCGGAAACGGGACTCAGTACACCAACAACACGGGTATCAGCGCGTTTGAGCTGCGGAATCCCGAGACCAACGCCGGATTCTACGTTACGCTCCACGCTGACTCGACCAGTGACAGCAACGTCGCCTTCAAGCTGCGTGTCAACACCTCCGTGGGAGCTCTCACGATCCCCAGAACCGGGGGCGCAATCCGCCTCAACGGCCATCAATCCAAGATCATCGTCACCGATTTCACGTTCGGGAACGAGACTCTCCTCTACTCTACTGCCGAGGTTCTCACTTACGCCATCCTGGATGACGAGCCAACTCTTGCACTTTGGGTACCGACCGGCGAATCCGGCGAGTTTGTGATTAAGGGCACGAAATCTGGATCCGTTGTATCCCAAGGTCAAGGGTCTGAGGTGGAGTTCCACCAGGAGAGCGGCAATCTCGTCGTCGCGTTTACGCAGTCCGCGGGAATGAGTGTTGTACAGCTCGATGGCCGCATCCGAGTAGTCATCCTCGACAGGACTGCGGCCTACGAATTCTGGGCTCCTGCTTTGACGGAAGACCCTCTGGTTCCCGAAACTGAGGCTGTCCTTGTCCAGGGCCCGTATCTCGTTCGTTCTGCCAGCGTGGAGTCATCAACCCTTGAACTCAAGGGTGACTCGGTCAACGAGACGGCGCTGGAGATCTTCGCGCCTAAGACGGTCAACTCTGTCACATGGAATGGCAAGCAGGTCAAGACCTCCAAGACCTCATATGGCAGCCTCAAGGCTAGCATTGCTGCCCCTGCCTCCATCAAGTTGCCAGCCCTCACCTCATGGAGATCAAACGACAGTCTCCCAGAGCGACTTTCCACGTACGATGACTCCGGCCCGGCCTGGGTTGATGCCAACCACATGACAACCCTCAACCCCAGCCCACCCGCCACGCTCCCCGTCTTATACGCGGACGAATACGGCTTCCACAACGGCGTCCGTCTCTGGCGCGGCTACTTCAACGGCACCGCCTCCGGCGTCTTCCTCAACGTGCAAGGAGGCGACGCCTTCGGTTTCTCCGCCTACCTGAACGGCCAGTTCCTGGGCTCCTACTTCGGCAACGCCTCCATCGAACAAGCCAACGAAACCTTCTCCTTCCCCAGCAACGCCACTCTCACCACCCAGAACACTCTCCTCGTCATCCACGATGACACCGGCCACGACGAAACCACCGGCGCGCTCAACCCCCGCGGAATCTTGTCCGCCCAACTCCTCACCGCCGACAACACCCCCGCCCAGAACTTCACTCACTGGCGCGTCGCCGGCACCGCCGGCGGCGAGTCCAACCTCGACCCCGTCCGCGGCGCCTGGAACGAAGACGGCCTCTTCGCCGAGCGTGTGGGCTGGCACCTCCCCGGCTTCGACGCCAGCTCCTGGCCTGTCACATCCTCCCTCTCCTTCACCGGCGCCACCGTCAAATTCTTCCGCACCACCGTCGACCTCGACATCCCCCGTGGCCTGGACGTCTCCATCTCCTTCATCCTGGGCACGCCCACCAACGCGCCCAGCATCGCCTACCGCGCGCAACTCTTCGTCAACGGATACCAGTACGGCCGGTTCAACCCCTACATCGGCAACCAGGTCACGTTCCCTGTTCCTGTCGGTGTGTTGGATTACACGGGCGAGAATACCATCGGTGTGGCAGTTTGGGCGCAGACGGAGGATGGCGCGGCCATTGATGTCGATTGGCAGGTGAATTATGTGGCGGATAGTTCGATGGATGTTTCGGGGTTGGATACGGCGGCGTTGAGACCCGGCTGGAGTGCGGAGAGGTTGCAATTTGCGTGATTGTGAAGTCGGCGGGGCGGAGCGGAGGGAAGGGAAGGATGAAAAATGATGAGTGTGATGATCATAATGTTTTATGTTGTTTTAATTATTGTGGTATATAAGTATCTTGTGTTTGGGAAGGGGAGATATCTATCTGGAATGAGAAGAGAGAAAAAAAATTTTTTTTTTACATGTTTTATCATGTCTGATCAGACCAGCGACTGTTGAATGGTACGGAGTAGACACACCTGTTTTTCCACATGATCATCCCAGACTTCCCTGTACATTTTAGCTTCGGGTGCAATCAGACATGTAAATGTGAATGTGAATGTGAATGTGAATGTGAATAATGCATTGATACAACACCCATACCCATACCCATACCCATACCCACACCCACACCCACACCCACTGGTTGCCCAATAAGTACCAACTAACTAAGCTACTTCGGGCAGTGGGTGCAGCAAGTAAGTAGGTTCAGCCAGCAGCACTAACTAGTACAGTAACTGAACTACTACTTACTTCTACTCCCCCCACCCCGTGTGAGGCGCGGAGAAAGCAAATTGAAGTGAGACAAGACAAGACAAGACAAGGAAACAAGCCCGAACGGACACATCAATTACCCCACCGGCACTACGGAGATTTATTGATTAATTATAAATGTTCTCTCCAATGTTCAATCAATCTCGACTGAATCTTGATATATCCTGAGAATGCAAATGAGTTTTATTTTATTTATCCAGCTAGTTGCTTGCACCCATCCCCCAAGCAGCGCAAACCACATCCATATCCAGTAGTAGTAACAACAACAACAATAATAATGATAATGATACTTTTCCCGTCCCCAAAGTCGGTGAACATAGCGGTGGATAGCTAATGCCACAAAACGAGTATGTACACATGCACGATAGAAATCTACCCATTCCCCAGGAGTAGAAGGAAAAGAGCAAGGAAAGAGAGAAGAAAAAAAAAAAGAAGAAAAAGGGGGAAGGAACAGGAACAGTAACTGAAGAAAGAGGAAAAGAGCAGCAACGGAGATATGCCGACCAGTAAGGAAGATAAATAGAATATAGATAGGTACACTAAAAGCCGTGCGTATGCGACTGAAACGGCGAACGGCGGATGGATTAACCTCAACCTCGACTGACTCCATTCCATGGAGCCGTGCCGGGCACCGACCGGGCTCAGCTCACGCAGACCCGGGCGGGGGGAAGAAAGCCGCGGGTCTTTCATAAGTAGTGGCACCGGCGGGGGGTCTGAGGAAACCGACCGACCGATGGATGGATATCGTACACTTCATTCAACCCGTCCCGAAGAAAGGCCAACCTATGCATGCACTATACAGAGGTGAGATAGGTAAGGGAAGAAAGGATCGGGCCGAGACGGCATGCAAGCAGCAGCAGCAGCAGTCCGGAGAGCCATCCATCTTCACGGGTATTTTTAAGGGGGATAAAGAAGGGGGGTGTCTTTTTTGTTTTATTTCGGACGAGTCACGCGAAATCGGCCTGCGAAGAGAGAGAGACCTAGGCGGAGCGGTCCAGAACCTCATAGGGGTTGGCACCCTTGGGGTCCTTGACGCTGGGAGAGCTCTGGATATCCTCCTTGGTGGCCTTCTTAGCGCCCTTCTTGCTGGAGACGGTCGCGAAACCGGTGTCGGAGTCGGGATCGCTGGTGGCGGCACGCGACCTCTGCTTGGCGGTGGTGGCCCGGGTCCGGATGGGAGAGTTGTCCTGCGCTTTGGCGCTGGCGCGGAGCGTCTGGACCTTGCTCACGGCCTCATCTTCCGTCACTTCACTGGTCTCGCCGCTCATTTCGGCCGCCTTGCGGATCTCGCGGCTGACGCCCTTCAGAGCGTCCAAGCCGGCTTGCTCGGCCGCGTGGATGTGGGTGGGTTTCGGGGTACCGGGCTCCTTGCGATAGAGGTATGAACGGACGAAGAAGCGGGCGAAGAGGTAGGTCAAAGGCAGGAGGTACATGACATTGAGCCAGATGGCGAAGCCCTGGCCGGTGGTGTCCATACAAGTGACCATCGGACCAACCCGGAGCACCCGCGCAGTGGCAGAGTCTTCGGGCACGCCCACATTCTCGGCGATACCCTCCGCACCGGCGGCGCGGAAGGCGATCTTCTTAAGCCATGGCACCAGGCCGGCGCCTGCGGCCCCGGCAGGGATGGCGGAGACATCGACAGGGGGAACCGCGGCAGACTCGTTCAAAGGAAGAGTGTAGCTGAAGAACAGGTAGGAAGCAGCCATAGTGGAGCCAATGATGAATTGAGTGATTTGCATGGTGGTCAGGGACCGCTTGATCACGTTGGGGACGCGGAAGCGCAGAGCAGTCACAGTGTAGTAGGTGTACTGAAGCCAATGGTTAGGACGTACGAACCACGAGAATAACGGAACAGTCAAGGCGCATCACATACCATCAGAGCGTGAATACCCGAGTTAACCTGGGTGAAGATCCAGATCGGAGGCGCGACGTAACGGATACCAGCCCACATGCACATCATGGCGCCAGCGTGGTGGTAGGTCTGAAGAGTCGAGCTCTTCTTGCCCTTGGCCAGGATGATGACCGTATCAATGACCTCGTAGAACTTGGAAAGGTAGAAGATCCACCCCAGGTAGGCCAATCCCTCATTCCAGAGACGACCAAGATCGGCGGGATCGGGAACGCCTCCTGCAGCCAGCTTGTACTCCGGGTTGCGGAACGTCCACTGCTCGACCGAAGGGTCGTACGTGGCGGCGTTACCGTAACCACGGGGGCCATTGACCTTGCACAGAGTATCGGCGACAGCAGCAACGTAGTTGGGATCATCCCGACTGGGCCACGAGTTCCGGAACGCGCGAATCATGCCCACGAAGGTCCATGCCGAGTAGACGGCCAGGAAGACATTGTGTAGGATGACGAAGAGCTTGAAGAGGGTGGTTTGGCTGAAAGCGTAGGGCTTGTATCCCCGGCTCTTGTTCAGGCGATTGACGAGGATCACGGTCACGGCGTAGACGCTGGCAATGGTGATGGGCACGCGCACATCTAAGACCTGGTTGTAGAGCGTCGGGGGGATGTTGAAGGGTTGGTACCACGTCGGCTCGGAGATCAGAGGCGCAGGGACGGTCGCGGGAAACTCGCTCGGAGGGAAGTTCAGGAGGGACGACGGAGGGAGACCGAGGCGAATGACGCCCGGGGCCGACGCGCTGTCGACCGTGAAGTCATACATGGCTGGAGTCGCAAACTGTCCAGGGAGGGAGGGGTGCGATGAGAGAACGGTGAGAGAGGAATTGGCCGCTCGCTTTGGAAATCAACGGCGACGGCAAGCGGGCAGAGAGTTCAATTAAGAAGGGCCGGTTGAAACCGCAGAATGGGGAGAAACTTGATTTAGTTGAGAATCCCAAGCACAGCTGCAGCCGGTAGCGTAGGGTAAGAAGGGCGGCGCAAATCCCTCGGGGCGAACCTGCGGATGAACGAGAATTGAAGGCGCGACCAAACCTTCTTACCAGACCTTAAGGGGGGAGAAAAGAGAAAAGAGAAGAAATGGTTGGTTGAGAAAACATTGATCGCTGGAGATAAAAAGAGAGCAAGGTCCGACCGATTAATTGAGGTTGTCAATCAAATCTCCGGATTTGTGCAGGGCCGATCAATGAGCGTTGACGCTGATCGCGCCAAGTGGAGCCGCGATGCGTTTTGTTGGGAACTCGCCCATCTTCAAGCCGAGGCCCAACAAAGCATTGCAGTCCCAGCTCCGGCATGCCTGTGAAGCATCAATATTGGACAAAAGCTTCAATTGTTAAGGGTTTGATAGTTAGTATCACCATCGTTGCGGTCCAGCCGAGGTTGCGGGATCGAACCCTGCATCAGCAATCAATTCCTCCCAGCACCGTCATCAATCCTTTACCTCCTCTCGCGTGCCTCACATGATGACCAGCCCTGCAAGTTTTACCCTAACGGCCGTTACTGCAAACTACTGTGTATACTCTTATCCGCCTTACTCGACACTCCCTTGATAACTAGTCAAACGGCGTCTCTTCGGCCGGCGTCACAGATCTAACCGGATTCGAAGGAAGGGAGAGGAGATAGGCTCCTACTAGAGGCTATCTAGCAGGGGAATCTCCTTGCTATCTGTGCAAACATGACATCAATTGTCGGAGTTGACAGCCACCAGAAATGAAAAATAATAATACTGGGGTTTGGATGGATTTTTTCCCCGTTCGAGTTCCAGGCTTCCAGAAGCAGCTCGGTGGGTCCCGTGACCGCCAAATGACTCGCGGGCTGACTCAGCTCCAAGACGTCATTCAACGGTCATTGACTCTACTGTAGAGAATATGGAGGCCTAGAAGGCAGGTTAGTGAAGTTCAGCAGGCAGAATTAGTTCGAGTAAACTGAAGGAAACAACCCAGAGAATAAAGCATGGGCGGCAGGCTAAATCAAGGCGGCAACAAAAACTACATGATAGCCTGCATATCACGTCATAGTGCCCACCTCTATGAAGGTTATGCTCATCGTACTGGAAGTACTATGAATATACTATTTACCGATGATTCCGAGACTGCAATTAACCCCCCCCCCTGGGATCGTACGCACTACCAGCTACTCGAGGTAGTAGCAACAGTACTATTAGTCGTGGTTCAATCCCGCCGACGGAGAACCTCATTCTCCCCTGGCCACCGACTGTAGCCTTATTAACAGCTTGAACTTGCTTGCTTCCCTCAATTGGAGCCTCCCTGGTTTGTCTGAGCTATCAATATTCTCTACAAAACATCCGTGTAATGCTGAAGAACTATATATAAACTGGACGCTAATGATACATGGTCATGACCCCCCAAATCACAGCCTTTCAAGTAAGCAGACTCGTCATCTGATACATCAACCGAGACCTCCGCTCACCGAGGCTTGGTGCTTAGTGGAAGTGGCGGCGGCGAGGGAGCAGCACCAGGGACAGGCATTGATCGCATCCCCGCCTTCTTCGGGGGAGGCGGCGGCGGAGCCTTTTTTCTGCCCAATGTTTCTGACTCGAGGCTGGATGTTGAGCGATTGGCGTTAGGGTGCGGCGGCACGGGGGGAGGCGCTTGGCTACTCGGGGACTTCTGATCCCCCAAGGCCTTCACCCGCTGGGAGATCCCGTACTTTTCATTTAAGCCGCTGATCTTCTGCTTTCCAGCCTGGATCTTATCGTTGTGTCGCTCGCGGAAGTCGTTGATCGTGGATGAAGCACTCCTGGTGTCAGAGGTGGAAACAGGTGAGGGCTGGGTGGCGAATGAGTTCCCTCGGGCTGGAGGGGGAGGAGCCGGGGAGTTTGATGAGGAGGTTCTCAGATGTGAGAAGCGGTTTTGCAATTCGTTGACTTGTGTCTGACCAACTGAGCCTGCAGTTGTTGGAGAAGCTACTCCGGGACCGTTGCTATCTCTTCTCCACTGGCTGCCGCCATTCCCAATTCCAAAAGCAGGGACTGACACACCGGCCTGGGAGAGACGCGAAGTAGCCTCCTGGTTCAAGTGTCCCTCAAGGACCTGGGGGGAGTATGCCGGGGGCGGAGTAGGCGAATGCGGGGTAGGGGAAGGGGTCGAGTTGTTCCGAGAAGGCAGTCTAGGCGGAAGATTGGGCTTTGGCCTGGGGCTCGGAGCCGCCATCTCTGCCGGAGAGTCCATGCGCCTGACTGGGGGCGGTGGAAGGTTGGATGTGTCTAGACCTGTGCGGTTCACTCGGTATGGCACCGGCGGAGCCGCCGGTCTTTGAGCCTCCTCAGCCACACGTTGTTCTTCCTGTTGCTGCCGGGTATTCTGATGGTTTATCTGTTCGCGGGACAATGGGGCGCCCAGTCCGTTCCGATCCGGGGTGAGCTCGTTGGGAAGAGCGCCAGCGCCGTGGTATTTGATGTGCTTCGGCGGTGGCCCGAATGATGCCGGGTCTTTGAGCGAAGAGAGTGGAGCGGAGACATGCTCAGAAGCGTCATCGTCCTTGTCCTTTCCCTTTCCCATCCATCCTGCCTGCAGACGAGATAAGATCACATCAGCTCTTGACTTGGACGGGTCTCGGGGCAGATGAGACAGACCACTTGGTTGATGCCCTTGAAGTCGTTCCTCCAGCTTTCCTTCTTCCCATCTCGGCCTTTGGGGTGCCAGCCATCTTTCATAACCCCCATGATCTCAAAGCGCGTCTTCCAGCCAGGAGAAGTTCTTGTTGTAGTCTGTAGCAGTGTCGTGGACGGACGCAAGTGATTGATGCTAAGAGAGGCAGTGCGGTCGGGCGGTGTCCGGAATTGACCCCGCGGAGTTCCGGATCCGGCTAGGCCCGATGTGGCGATCTACTATGTAGTTCCTCCACAGTCATGTGATCAATGTATGACTAAGGTAGCAGGCATCCATTTTTATCGAGGACAATTTGTCCAATTTGTCGAATTTGGCTGGCTAACAGATGAAGACCTGATATCATGTTTAACGTGCGATGACTGGCTCCCGCGTACCATCAATGACCTGTCAGTCACCGCCCGTCGGCCCCCATGCCGGGAACACGCAACGCAGCTCCGTCTGCGCAGGTGTCGATCGGGCCAGCGAACCGGTGATTGGGCTAGTGGGCTACCGAGTTTAGCGGCCCCCATGCCTCCAACCCACCTTGAAACCGCGGGCATCTTTCTCGGTGTCACGCTGCACCCAGGGCGGTTGTCTCTCTCTCCATAGGGCGGATGGCCCATGCCAGCGCTAGATGGGACATGATGGGACACACCTCGACAGACTTCGGCGCCTACAATGACGGGGCCTCGATGTTACTCGTCCCCTTCCCGTCAACTAACAATGCAAAATGCATGCGCGTCGGTCCTCATGGTGGGCAGCGCTTCGTGCTGAGCCGTCTCGTGCTGATTGGCAGTGGATGACCCCCAAATCCGATTCTATACTTGGTAACCTGCGTAGCCGTTCACTAGAGGGTGCTGCGCCCTGTCAGCCTTCCTTTGTGTTGGTTAGGGCCATTTTTCTCCCCGTCTTTATTTCCCGGCAAGATTCTTGCTTTCTCTCGATCTGCCTCGTTTCATTCTCTCGCAGCTGCATCTCTTTGTCTTTGTTCCTAACCTGCCAGGAACCAAACGCACTGCCATATCGCTGGATCTGAGTCTCCCAATTATCTGGAGCTTTGGATGCGCAAGGTTAGTGTGCTTACTATCCACCACCTTTGTGTATCTAATCTTAATCACCTGTGTAGTTGAAGCCATCACAATCACAATTCGCCTTGACTCCCACGGATTGCATCTTCTAGCGATCCTAGGCTTGATTAATTGAGCAGAGGAGTGCGCCTTTTATTGTACCCATATTCAGGGCATTTATGGGGTCAGCACCAAACTGCAACATCTAGGTGGAGTTGAAGGCACACCCCATATCTGGGACTAAATGCCTTTCGGAATGGGAGAAGATGGCTACGGGCCCGGCGACGGTACAGGTCAACAAACAACAGAGGAATACTGGGATTCCAGAACGACATTGGCGGCGTGGTATGACTCTCTTACAACAGAGTATGCGGATGAGACGACCACGGCCATGCCGACGGCCACGGACATGCAAACGACTACAAAACACACAAGACCAGACCATGGTACAATGATGACTATCACAACGCAGCAATGGACCACCATTCCCTCAATTGACGCAACGACAGGCTCTATCTCACAAACCACCACCACCACCACCACCACCAGCGAGGCCACAACACAAGCGACAACGATGTCCTCGAGCACATCGTCTGCCTCTTCCAACAGTGCAGGTGACGGTGGTAGCAGTAGCGGCAGTAACACCACAGCCATTGCCATTGCCGTTCCGGTTGCCGTCGTCGGCGTAGCAATCATTGCAGGACTGCTATTCTTCCTCATGAGACGGCGTCGTCAGCGAAGTCGCATTCCCCCGCCCGATCCCCAAGACAACATGAGGACGGTCCCTCGACAAGCTGGACCGCAGAACGGATCCACCTGGGAATTCGGACCCGCCAGTTCCCACGACGTTCCTTTCTCCGGGCCCATCCCTGGTCGACCTGTTACACACCACAGCCAAAGTTCCGTGGATTCAACGCGCCACATTGACGCGAGTTCCAGCAGCCAGAACCTCACCACCGCAGCCCAAAGCGCACCCGATGAAGAACCCGCAATGCAAGATTACTCGGAGCGCCACGAGGCAAGAATCTCTATGCCTGTCATCAGTCAAAGTATCCCGGTATGGCAGGAGCCCCGACACGACCGGCCGACGTCGCCCTTCGACCACCCGCTCGATGACTCCATATCCGAAATCTCGCATATGAGTGATCCCCGACAATCTGCTGCGCATCACAGAGATCTCGACGATATATCGTCTGTATCGTCGTTCGAGGATGACGAACGCCGTCCAGCTATAAGTCCATAATGGGTTAGGGGTTTGGAATTCATGATGTCACGTTTCTTAGCAGGCGTTGTTGTTATTTTTCAACCATGGAGTATACCAGTTGCTCATGTGAGGAGCATCACATGAGTGTTCTATATTTCTCGGCATCATATCAGAGTGATGATTTGTAAGGGGTATTTAGTGCATAATGAAATTCAGCTCGTTTTCATTGCATCTATCATTGCATCTATTGCACGGATAGAAATGCACTTCCCGTGTTCCGTATCGCGGGTATTTCTCATTACATTTCCCATTATGCATTGTGAACCCAATGGGTGCCAGTGGTCACACAAATATCTTTTAAAGGCATAGCCGCAACCAACGAAGGAACATTGGCTTCCCCTCACTCATAATATCACCTTAAACATGGCTCAACCACGGTGCCGATCTGAATATTCAATCCTCCCTTCACCTGGGCCAGGCTCCTAGTAGGCGTTAGGCTGCCAGGCGGCTGCCTGCTGGCCATCGCCATCCTCTCTTCGATTATGTCTAACAAGTTCACCAAGGCCAATCACTCAACCCAACAAAAAAAATCTCTTTCTTTGCACAGCATTTGCCATCATAAAGCACCCCCAAGCCTTTCTTCATCCAGACCTCTTGATCATCTCCTGCTTCCACCTCTTTCCTACCACTCCACAAATCGACAAAATGGACTCGCTGATCGAGAAACTAAGCGACATCAACCTCGAGCCAGAACACCTATTATTCAACCCCAGAGACAACGTCTCGCTCGATCCCAAAGCCCTCGAAAATATCCCCCGCTTCCTATTCCGCGTCGCCTCCCCCAAAACAAAAGGAGAAACAACCGAAACGTGGGTCCGTTCCGCAGATGCCCTCAAGAAGAAGAGTTCATCCCAAGAAGACATCTTCTCCAACCTTACCGCCCAGAGAGGAAGTGAAATCTCCAGGAGTTTAAACGAGCATCTGAGATGGTGGCGCAAAACCGGACTGGATAATTTCATGTCGTGGACTAGTTCCCTCCTTTTCGCTTTGCAGTATATCCTCTACCTCCATCAGGCTGACTGGGATGGCTCAAACTTGGACGAAATCAAGCTTTACGTTATGGATACGAGTCAATTCCCCCGTGGGGCTTTCCTGCGTGATCTTGATCTGATTGATGCTTTCCAGGGGTATGAGAATGGGAGTGGGAATGGTTTGAAAAGCCTGAACCTGAAGGACTTCCGGCAGCTGCGGACGACAAAGGGGTTTTATTTCGGGGAATATTTATCGCAGGGCTCGATGAGGGTTGCGGGGAAATGTCAAGTTATCTCGGCGGACTTGCTGTTTGAAGGAGGGGAATTGCATCTAGTAGTACGGATACTGCAGCCCGAGTTTGGGGATATACATAGCCGCCGTGATGGGGAGCCGTCTTGGGCGAAGGAGGTGAAGCGTCTTCGAGAATCTATTTGGCCGTCAGCAAAGCCGCCTCCAACGAAATTCAGAGCATCGAAGGATCAGATTGCCGCCGTGGATGAGATAGCAATGCTTCTTTGACCCAGACTGGAGATTCCCGATGGCGGTCTATTTCTCCGCCTTGATCAGCCAAAACTCTGGAAACGGAGACCAGCGAAAAGATGGTGATATTGGTGGACTTTTGGAACATTTCCAGTCGTGTTACTCTGCTGGTGGGTCAATATTGTCTGAGGTTTGATTTATACGTTTGATCTATGCGAATCTGACAGAGATTCCAAGCCAGAACAGAGAAATGCTTTCACACCTTCAAACGTGAAGGTCATTGCCCCGCATACTATGCCTGAGCTTCGGCGCGTTGAGCAGATCTTTCGTGAGATTGGTGAGGGCTGCCAGTTTAATGTTGAATCCGGTCAGTGAGAAAAGGTGTTCGGATTCGTGGGTGCATTGCTAATTTAGTAGTAGAGTATGTATGTGATGGCGAACTGCATAATAGGGATGGATGGTTTTGAGGCATGAAGAAAGATAATCTGGAGCCGTGCTTGAAGTGAACAGGTGAGAGATTTTGGACCAAACCGAGCCTACTGAACGAATACTGCGAGGGTTTGCATCGGTACTGAGCTTGTATTTGATGGGGATCGATACTATGGGATTATTTCTAGGACCTGACAAGCCAGTCTAAAAGAAATGTCAAATTTGATTGATAGTGGTATATATTTGGGAATTAGTGAACTGTGATTCTTTGAATGTCTATTGATACTTGGGTGAGATATGAACTTCCAAGTAACCGATCGCCTGCCGACCGAAACTCCCTAATCTTGAAAACTTCAGCGCGCTGTAAAACGACTTATGTATGGTAGTCACCGATCATCTTCTCCAACTTCCCAAATGTGTGCCCCCGTCTGGCTTACATATCCATCGAACCTCCAGCTCTTCCACCCCGTCCATGCCCTCTTCCACCCCGTCCATGCCCTCTGCCGCCTTGACGTCCGTGTCCTTCACGCCCTTCACGCCCTTCACGTCCTCCACCTCCTTCACGACGTTGTTCACGGCCCTCTGCCCGGTTCTTCTCGACGGCACCTCTGTGGACGCGCGGCTTGGTAGAGGGGCGAACCTCACTTCCGTTCCCATAGTTCAATCCGGGAACGCCCTTCAAGCCCATCTTACCAGCAGTCTTCTTCTCAACGATTGGCGGTTCAGGACAGGCCATGGCATCCATAGCGAAGTCGTTCGCCATGCGAACAAGGCCGGGCTTATCCAGCCGCATACGCTTCATCCAAGGCGATCCAGCAAAGAAACCCAGGTAAGACCGATAGGCGCGGTCCTTCGCCGTTTCGTCAAGGCCGTGCATAATCTGAGTGACTTTCGTGGCGTGGAAGGGAACGCTCGCGGCGATCGCCTCGGTGTCGGGATGGGGCTTGATGGGCAAGAAGGGGTAAGCCTTGATGAAGAAGCTCTCTGGTTCCGTGAACAGGATGATAGCGCGACCATCGTTACCAGCACGGGCGGTACGACCGACACGGTGAATGTACTGGTCGGTGTTCGAGGGCAAGCCGATCTGGATGACCAAGTCGACGTTGGGGAAATCCATACCACGACCAACCACATCCGAGGCGAACAGGATTCCGGACGTCGCGTTCTTGAATTGCTCCGTGGTCCTCGTACGCGAGGACTGGTTGAGTCTGGAATGGATTTGGTAGACCGGCATGTTGACCAAGCCTTGAGCAAATAGATCTCCGAACATTGCCACTACGTATGAAGTGGGACCGAAAACAATGATCTTGGAGCAGTTCTTGGTCTCGTGCTGGATAATGGCGGCGGTCATGTTGAAGGTATCTCCGACACTGGGCATAATCATGTGGTACTGGGGCACTCGCTCGTGCGTTGGGGTCTCGTTCTTTTCAATCGTCGAAATGTCACTGTAGCCTGGCTTCAACACCACCTTGACGACATCCCGGACCTTGGGAGGAACGGTGGCCGAGAAGCACATGCCTTGCCAGCCCGTGTTCTTGTGGGGGAGAAGTCTGAGGATTTCCTTCACATCAGCGAGGAAACCGGTCTCCAGCATGGTGTCGGCTTCGTCCAGGATCAGGGTTTGGATGTTCGACAGCTTGTCAGCCGCGTGGGCGTCGGACAGATAGTCCTTGAGTCGCCCGGGGGTTGCTACAAGAACAGTTGGGGTATCTTTCAGGAAGCGCGAATACGCAGAAGCGCGGGCCGTACCACCAACTGCAGTTGCACACTTAAGAGGTTGGTCGAGTTGCGATGTTAGTTGATCACATGATGTTGCCACTTGCTGGGCGAGTTCTCGCGTGGGGGTGATGATCAGGATAGCGACCTGGCCTCTCGGGGCCGCCGCAGTACCCTGCAGCAGGCAGTGCAAGGCAGGGAGCAGAAAGGCGAGCGTTTTCCCCGTACCCGTTTTGGCCTGGACAAGACAGTCTTTGCGCAGATCCGGCAGTGCGGTCAAAACACGGTGCTGGACAGGCGTCATAGACTGAAAGCCCATGACATCGAGGGCCTTGAGGAGTTTGGGATCCAGCTTCCCAGCCATGGAGGCATATGGGTGGGCGCCATCGGCGCCTCTGGGACCGTCCATGAGGGTGGAAGATGCTCTAATTTGGAAGGCGGCGAGTGAGTTATTATTGCTGGATAAGAATCCAAGCACGGGGAAACGTTTGAGTGTTCTAATGCCTTTGATAAACATGGGGCCAAACACAGGTTCAGTGGATGAAGAGGGTCCCTTTATATATTAACCCCTGACCTTGGATAGGTTTGGGGTGGCTTTCGCTGGAACTTGGGGGCGAATCAAATATCAAAGAAGTTTAGATTTCAGAAAGGGCGATAGAGATTTGTTGCCAAGAACAACGCAGGGCTGAGTAAGCAGGGCTTGATTGGCCGCGTGGAATCCACTATATTTGGTTGGGATTTTCCCCTCCGCACTGGTTCCGCAGAAAACATGTTTACGGCCAGTTTTGCGCCAGATAGACTGGAATTTAAGCAGCAAGATGGTGCATATGCTGTGGTTCTAGTGCCATGCCTGGCCAATTGCCGGTTTTCCATACTGCTAAGGCGTTGCGTATATCCCGATCTTTGTTCGTTCCGTATGAAAATTGCTCCGTTAAAATGGTGGGTCGGAGATTGACCCAGCCAATGATACGCCAGTCGGGGGCCAGGCACCCGAGCAGCCCAGCGTTTGGGCTTTGGGCCGGTGGGGGGTGCTTAAGGCCGGTCTGGACACTAACTCCGTAGTCTAATAGCCTAAATAGTCTACCGCGCGACAACGCGACATCACTTGGACAACTGATCGATTTGTGCCACCTTTCTTCTATAAATCCCTCAATATCGAAGAACCTACTCCATAAACTGCTTGTATCTCCCTATGAGTCTCCTCAGTCACGGCCTTGAGCGGCTGCCCAACCTCTGCCCAAATGTTGATGATGAAGCCTGACCGCGAATGCTTGTCGGAGCGCCCCCTGTTGGAGGATGCATAATCTCAATATTTTCTCGATATTGCAATCAATTCTTAGGCTAACCACTACTTGAATAGCCAATGAGCTCAGCTCACTGTGGCTGAATCATCTCCCCAGACTCCTCTGTTCCTGCAATGCACCTCAGCCGTGTCAACGCACGCTTGTCATCTGTGTCGCTTTAGACCTTGCTGGCGTGTACTTCACCCTCATCGTTGTCAGCCAAGTATGGTGTATCAATGCGTTCGCACTTCTGGCTAGTGTTAATCCATTGCATCCCACTGGATACGATAAGTGCCAAGCTAGCACCAGCAATAGAAAGGTACCACAGTGACTGTTAGTGCGATCCAGAGAACACAGTACCCGGAACTCACAAAAACGTTGGTAACGGCATCTTTATAGGCGGCAATTACCGCATCCAGACGATCAAGAAAGTCCTGACGAGCCATGTCTCGCACCTTCAAGCTCCCTGCATTTACAAGAATTGCAACCTGATCAGAGTCCAGGTTTGCGCGGGCTTCTAGCTGCTTCACGAGTCGATTTTGAAAGATAGCGCCTCCGATACTTTGCATGACCGAGCTCCCGAAATATTGTGCGAATAGAACGGTGAAGATACCGACTGGGATATACTGCGGTCTGTCTTTCATGACGTGCTGAATAGTCAGTAAGGGCATCTGGGCCGTAAAGCCACCGCCGAGCCCTTGGAGGATCTGGTATCATACCCAGGATGCGGTGGTGGAAGAGGAGAATACCCTTCCGATAAAACCGTGAAATAATTAATTGGCATTGAGTCACTTGTTCGAGAATCAGAACCAACCCAGGCGATTAGTTGGGAAGAATTATCAGAGGCTATGGGTATGCAACAGCAGCGGATAGAGCAGCTCCTCTCTCAGGAAGATCAGTACAATAGTTGTGAGTGTATTTGCTCGGTTACAAAGCCTGTTCTTTTCTGATATTCTTAGGGGCTCTGCGTCTAGAGCTCAATGCAATTCCTGTCGTTGTCCTCGGGCATGCTCTTCGTCAACAAAGGGATATCCACGGCCTTGACGAGAAGAAGCAACTGAAGAATCTTACACGTTCCGCTCTTAATATAGTGACCACGTTCCTGGCAGTTCCAACGTTGATTACAGTATCTCTACCCATGTCAAGCCATACAACAGTTTGGTATGGCCTTGTTCTGTCCAAGTTGAGCTTGCTATATGAAACCGAGATGGACGGAGATATTCCTGTGGTAGATAACACGAGTATTCACAATCTAGGACTCGCTGCTATGCAGAAGATGGAGGCAATGTCCAGAGGAAATGACGTATGGGATAATTGCCGGAAGGTAATCGGGTCCATGCTGTCATGGTTGAAGGGTAGTCAGACTGGATCACAGCAAAGAAAGGCACCGTGGCCTGAAGATTTGGAGAGAATTCATGGCTTCCGACAAGCGCGCACACCAGTATATACACCTTTACCAGATCAGGCTCAGCAGTCCTATTTAGAGGCGGCAGCCCATGATTGGGATGCTAACATGTGGCAGAAAATGCTGCAGGATCTCACCTGGCTCGGACATCCGATGGATAATCAATAGCTTTCGGGGTTGCCCGATATGTTTTAACTGAAGAACTATTTTCAGGGTGTCACTTCTTCACTCCCTTGAATAATGCTCTCACATGTTGCCCGTCGATAAGCGATAATGGGAAGTCTCCAGAGGTTTCCACATTGAAAATCACCTACTCTATGAATAGGACTTCTATTTAAACGGCCCTATACTTCATGGATGAGGGATGGGATGCAGGAAATCAGCCATACTCAGGCCTGTGCGCATGTAGCCACCATGTATGGGTTGATTACTTGAGTGGCTCTTGATGGCCGCAAAGCCTTTGCTTTTGGCAGCCTGATCAACTGCCCGTCACAGCCTCTCCAGTATAGCAAGCTGCTGACGATGGATGATGGTCTCGATCAAAGCGGTGCTATCTATCGATCAATTCTGTTTGGTTGACTGGCAGACCGTCTTACATGGGGGTAAGCACTAGCAACCGATGGATGGCCTAATCCACACGTGGTTGGTTAATGACTGCCACCCCCAATGGACTTTTCCAATTGCCATCCTTCCTGGTGACGGAAGATGCTGCCGAGAAACAGCTAACCCGGTGTGTGTTTCGTGGCTAAACTATGTAGCAATTCGTTATCAGGGGCAGGCAGCAAGAATACCATTTTAGGACCGATAACCCCACCAAGAAGGAGCGGATCAAATTTATGAGCTAGCCGGTGTGCCCATTATTGAGCGGCTCTTTTGACCTCATTGGGATTCTAATAGTTAGGCCACACTTATTTGTCAGACTTCTATATAACGGTCTTGAGAGCTCGATCATTCAGGACGACTGCGCTGCTTACTCCGACGCACATCAAGTGGGCAAGAAAGCAGCCAACGGGCTGAGTCGTTCAAGATGCCGTTCGCTACTGGAGATCAGGGCCTGCTCCAGCTGAACGGAAAGCAATTTGACTTCAGCATACAATTCGAGCAGCTTTTCTTCTCCATCATCCCGTCCGTTTTGTTTATTGTAACATCATTGTGGCGGACGCTCTCCCAGGCACGGAAGCCGACTGTGGTGGATGCTCCGGTGTTCCAGCTCATCAAACTGGTAGGTTCTTCCAAGTATACAGTCAGGACATAGAATTTAAACGTGCTGAATTACCTGGCGCAGGGTGCGATCACAGCATATGTTGGCCTCGAGCTTTCACTCCTCATCTTAGTTGCAGTCGGGTCCTTTGCTGTGACCAGCATATTCATCGCTGCCTCGGCCCTCAAGCTTGTGTCCGCTCTTTTCATGATAATGCTTAGTCTTCTTGATCACAGCAGAAGTCCAAGACCGTCCGTGCTGTTGAATGGCTACTTGTTTCTTACTTTAATTCTGGACGCAGCGCAGACAAGAACGCTGTTTCTCTCATCCGATAACAAGCCCGAGATCACCTATAGCAGCATCTTCAGTGCTGCTATAGCTCTAAAGGCTGGTATATTGTTGTTAGAGGCCCAACAAAAGTCCAAATGGATAAACTGGAACAAGAAGGAACACAGCCCAGAAGAAACGAGCGGCATATTCTCGCTTGGCGTTTTCTTCTGGCTCAACAAGATGTTTCTGGCGGGATACCGGAAGGTTTTGAAGATTGAGGACCTCTACCCCCTCGATAGCTCCATGAATGCCAAATCTCTTCACGATGAGTTTTCTACGAACATGGACTACTCCAAGCTGAAAGGCGATAAGTTCGGTCTAGTGAAGGTGCTAGCACGCACGTTGAGACCTGCTCTCCTACTTCCCATCCCTCCACGTCTGGCACTCCTTGCTTTCACGTTTTGTCAACCGCTGTTTATCGAAAGGTTGTTGGATTATTTATCACAACCTGCACTCGACCCCAATGTTGGTTACGGCTTTATCGGCGCTAGCATGCTGATATACTTGGGAATTGCTATTTCTACAGCCTTCTACTGGTATATTGAACCTTTTGACTGAACTGCCCTCGGGATATATTGCTTATAATCTGGAACAGGTACTTCCACCATCGTATGCGGACGATGGCAAGATCGATACTCGTTATTGAGACCTTTATCAAAGCAACACAAGCCCGAATCGGAACCGGCGATGACAGCGCTGCGCTGACTTTGATGAGCACAGATATGGAGCGTATAAAGATGGGATTCAGGAATCTCCACGAAGTCTGGGCTAGCGCAATCCAAGCTGCTCTGGCTGGGTGGATGTTGTACAACCGACTCGGCGCAGTCTTTGTCGTACCAATGGGGATGGTAATAGTCTGCTTTGTCGGCTTGGGGATTCTTATAAGGTTCACCGGGGACTCTCAGAGAACATGGATGGGAGGAGTTCAGAAGCGTGTTGGCTTGACGGCTACAGTAATTTCCAGCATGAAGAACTTGAAAATAAGTGGCCTCTCTGCTGAAGTCGGCGACTTTGTGCAGATGCTGCGCATCAATGAGCTCGCCGCAGGGTCCCGATTCCGCAAGATCCAGATTATTGCTGCTCTTCTCGGTTTCATTCCGATGTTGATCGCCCCGCCACTAACCTTTGCATTTACCCAACGAACACTGGATGCTTCGACAATGTTCACATGTCTGACTTTTCTCACGCTTTTGACCAACCCGTTAACAGAGGTCTTCCTGTCTATCCCTCAGATTGTCTCTGGGCTAGCTTGTCTGGGTCGAATCCAGGCCTTCTTGGAGTGCGAGACTCGTGATGATTTTCGCCGAGCTATTACTGAGATGAGACAGAATACAGAGAAGAATATACTAGATACCGCAGCAGGACAGGACTCGGCGTATCCTGTTGTTATCAATGATGGTAGCTTTGGTTGGGAATCAGACAAGCTCGTCCTGCGGAACATAAACACTCGAGTGTCCAAGTCCTCGCTTACCATTGTGGTTGGGCCAGTTGGATCGGGGAAATCTACACTCTGCAAGGCACTGCTCGGAGAAATTCCTTTCAACGGAGGCAGCGTGGTCTTGAGTGCTAGATTTTCCCACGTGGGATTCTGCGACCAAACGGCTTTCCTTTCCAACGGCTCCATCAAAGATAACATTATAGGATATTCTCCATTCAACAGTGAAAGATACGCTGAAGTCATCGAGGCAACAGCTCTGCGCTTTGACTTTGACACACTCCCGCAAGGAGACCGAACGAATATCGGATCGGATGGAATCACCCTATCCGGGGGCCAAAAACAACGTGTTTCTCTAGCACGAGCTTTGTATTTGCGGTCAGATCTGCTCGTACTAGATGATGTTTTCAGTGGCCTAGATGCAGATACCGAAAAGCAGGTCTTTCAGCAAGTCTTTGGTCCAGGTGGACTACTCAGACGGAGACGTTCTACAGTTGTGCTGTGCACACATAGCGTCAGACACCTACCCGCAGCGGATTATATCATAGCACTTGGAGATAGCACTGTTGTCGAGCAAGGAAGCTTTGACCAGCTGATGGCCAATAAAGGATATGTTCATCGGCTGGGTTTCAAGGAATCTTCCGACACTGATAATGCATCCGCGGAATCCACGGCTGAGAGAAAGGCTGGGGATTCACAGTCGAAAGCAGCCCTTGCAACGGTAACTGGGACATCATCTCCTGGGCTGAATGAGGATGGGTCGCGGCAATCTGGCGATAGGGCGGTATACAAGCAGTACTTTAAGAGCATGGGGTGGTTCGTGGCAGCGTCCTGTTTCATCCTTGCTGCTCTATTTGGCTTTTTCACTGACTTTCCGTCAATCTGTGAGTTAAACCTTTCTTCAGACAGCGGATCTCCGACCGGTCTGGCATTTGATCCCACAACAATGAAGCCTGTTACGGAGTTGTGAACTAATGTGATATGTTTCAGGGCTCACATACTGGACTGACGACGTCTATTCGGAACATCCGAAGCATTCCTGGGCTTACTATGCTGGGATATATGCCTTGCTCCAAGTCTGCGGCCTGATATCGCTGCTTTTCCTCGCCTTGGCAATCTATGTCATCTCTATAAAGAAAGTAGGTGCCCATCTCCACCAGGAGGCCTTACGAACGCTTTTTCGAGCACCACTCCGTTTTTTCACAAAGACGGACACCGGCGTTGTCACAAACTTGTTCTCGCAAGACCTCAATCTTATAGACACAGAGCTGCCGGAATCAACATTGAATGCTTTGTATTCTGTAAGTGTATAACCATGTTGTTAGCTTAAGAGCTCTCAGAAGAAAGCCGTCCACTTCTGACCATTGACTTGCAGGTCTCCATGGCAGTCGGACAAGCCGGTGTTATGCTTACTTCGTCTGTGTACCTGGCCATAAGCTACCCACTCCTCGCGATCCTACTATTTGTCGTGCAAAAGTTTTATCTGCGGACTTCCAGGCAGCTGAGATTGCTAGATCTCGAGGCTAAAAGCCCCTTGTAGTAAGTCCATGATCATTTACTATAATACGCTGGGTGGCTATGCAACTTATATCAATATTCATTTTAGCACGCATTTCCTTGACACAGTCAAGGGTATCACGACCCTGAGAGCTTTTGGTGAGTAGAATGCGGGATCGCACCCACATCAAAAAAAATGCTTTCTGGAGTACCAGGCTTAGCTGTTGCGTCGCTTCTGACACTGAACACGCAGGCTTCCTTCCCGAAGATGTCCGAAAGAACGCCCGCCTGATCGACTCCAGCCAGCGACCCGCTTACCTCCTCCTCATGATCCAGTCCTGGTTGAATCTTGTTCTCGACGTCGTGGTCATGATAATGGCAGTGGTCCTGACAACTCTCGCTGTTCGACTTCACTCAAATTCTGGTTTTGCTGGTGCTTCTCTGTACACCCTCGTAAGCTTCGGTGAGAATCTTTCAGGTATTGTCATATTCTACACCAGACTAGAAACTTCTCTTGGCGCGATAACCAGACTCGACACTTTCAAGAAAACCGTCCACCCAGAGGACAGGGATGAAGAAGACATTGTCCCTCCAAAGGAGTGGCCTTCAAGCGGTGTGGTGGAGTTGAAGGGGGTATCTGCGCAATATAAGTAAGAGAAACATCTCTCTATAAAATGACACTCGCACGCAATACTAACGCCCCAAGCAGTGCGGAAGACGACCAACCCAGCGACGAACCCAACCTAGCCCTCCGTAACATCCACCTCAAGATCAAGTCTGGCGAAAAGGTCGCGATCTGCGGCCGTACCGGCAGCGGCAAATCCAGCCTCATCGCCCTACTCCTCAAGCTCCTCGACCCTCTCTCCTCGACCGCAGAAAGCGCCTTCATCGACAACACGCCCATCCACCGCATAAATCGGTCCGCGTTACGGGAGCGCATAATCGCCGTTCCCCAAGAAGCCGTCTTCCTACCCGACGGATCCACCTTCCAGGCCAACCTCGACCCATCCAACGTCTCCACGCCCGAGGAATGCCAAGCTGTTCTTGTAGCAGTGGGACTATGGGAATTCATCCAGGATCGCGGCGGTCTGGATGCCGAAATGAGCGCGGGGACCCTCAGCGCTGGACAGCGGCAGCTTATGTCCCTTGGGCGCGCGCTTCTGCGGCGCTTTATCCGGGCGCGGGATACCGGGATGGGGGGTGGTGGTGGCTTGGACCGCGGGATATTGTTACTGGATGAAGTGAGCTCGAGCGTGGACCACGCGACGGAAGCCGTTATGCAGGAGATTGTCCGGGCGGAATTCAAGCAATACACAGTTGTTGCGGTTAGCCATCGCCTGGATATGATTATGGACTTTGACCGGGTTTTTGTTATGGATCAGGGCGAGATTGTGGAGGTGGGGAATCCTGCGGTGTTGGCTGGAGAGGCGGGCTCGCGGTTTGGGGACTTGGTGAGGGCTGGGGCTAAGTAGAAGGTGATAGTGTGGCTTTTTTTCTTTCTTATTGATGGATTGCGGTACTATATAGTGCATCAAGATCAGGCTCACCATTACAATCTCTGATAAATGCGACGTGTTTCCAGGACGGCCAGTTATGATGAAGGGCAGGATAGATGATATTTTGCTCATAACAACAAGAAAAAAATCCGATCAAAGACCTAGAATATCCAAAAGACCCTTGTCACTGAGATTAAGCTCCTCGTCTAATTTAACCCACAATCTCGATCTCGCATCCAGATCATGGCAATGGAAATTTGACGGCGCCTCCCAGATGCGATTGATATATTTCCCTCCACCACGCCCATTCGAAAACCCCTTAATCTGCCTCTCGGGGTCCGGTGCCAGCTCCGGACTCGTGGCAGCATGCGTGATAGCAAGACTACCCTGCTGGGGCGTAATCGCAATATAGCGCAGTAGAAATGCCAAAATTCGATCCGCAGTATTATGCGCTTTATTGACATCGTTCCAGATACCCGAAGCAACACAGCCGGGATTGACCCCGTTGATTGTGATATGAAGGTATTCTGGATGATTGAGAAACCGGGCCTGCATTTCCGCAACCCACATCTGGAAGTAAAGTTTGTTATTCCCGTAATCGCCGCCCTTCATCTCTGCGCCGCCGTTGAAGTGCTCCAGATCGAGGACTCCGCAGTGGTGGACGGATGACGTGGTGCAGATAATGCGTGGCTCTGCATTCCGTGCCAAGGACGGCAGGAGTCGGAGGGTCAGCAGGACGTGGGATAGGAAGTTGACCTAGGGGGACTTGGTAAGGCGTCTTATAGTGGTCAGAAGAGACAAATGAAAGCGGACCTGATGAACCAACTGGAACCCATCCTTCGTCATGCGAGTTTTCGATGTCGAGGCAACCCCGGCGTTGTTGCAGAGAATGTCTAATGCGCGATCGCTGTCAAGCCATCGCCGACAGAAAGCCTCGACGCTGTTGAGATCCGCCATGTCAATTTCCCACCATTCGATGGTTGATGCATGGCCCTGTGTTGAGGCAAGAGCTTTGCATTCTTCCACGGCTGCTGTGGGGTGGAGTTCCCATGCTGGTGGTTCGCGGCAGGCGAGGATCAGGTTTGCTCCCCAGGCTGCGAAGGATTTGGCCGCTTCAAACCCCACACCGTTGTTGGATCCGGTTATGATGATCCATTTTCCTGTCAAGTTGGCGCTAGGGACATGCTGGTCTGTGAGGAAGGTGTTGTTCAGTCCTCGTGTAACCTGGAATAAATCAAATAAGCTTGACAAGAAGGACGGCGCCATTTAGTTAGATGATTAGTGTCTGTAGAGAAGATAGTTTGGAGCTGATAGTGCTGCAGATCGCTGGGGAAAGTCTGCTTGGTAAATTAAGAACGTGGCAGGATTAGTTACTGCCATACACGTGATTGATAAGGAGTCTGCCAGAGAATTTATCATAGCAGTAAATCTTTCTGGATTTCCGGCATATTCACTCAGACTTGACTATTCACGCTAACATGCGCCAATGACGCCACAAGCCCCTTAAATCAGCGGGTTTGGCAGTATATCGGGAATTCCCGCGATGATCATAACAATCATCATCAGCAGATATGGGAGGTCACATCTTGGGGCCACTTGTAGCTTGTTAGTATGACGCAGTATGGGATATTACTCCTGTCTATGAGCACCCTCTGTATCCGAGACTGGAGGCGAATAGGGCTTCTGCAAATGCCAAGGTGATCGATCCCTGTCGGAGTGGGTCCCGCATATGTCGGTCTCCTGCAGGTCCAGAGTACTTATATACTACTCCGTATCGGGCTCTGGAAGGGGGATACGGTTCTACTATTTCCAATCACCAGCAGATAGCGCATTGGAATCTTATGAAAGAATCGGGAAAACAACTATGAAATTTACCTCTCAAACTGACCTTGCTAGATCTTTATGTTACACTCTATTAGATTTCAATAAAGAGTATTATTATATAAGTTTGTAAAATAACATTCTGCAAAGCATCAAGTGCAGCACAAGATACGTACTTGGCCACACAGCTTTTATTCATATGAACATTAACTCAAAAAAAAACCACACCGGATTCTAGAATCTGCCGGTGTGGCTGGCATACGGAACAGTGAATGAGGGTTTACTTTTCCGGCCCGCGGACCCCGCTCGAGTGGGGTTCAGTTCAGGTATTTTTGTTCAAAACAACGGCCCTACTCCAGGTTTCTCTTTTGTTTTCAGTCAATTAACTCAAAATCTCTCTCCAACTCACCATGGTCCCCAGCAAGATCCTTGTCGTTTTCGGTAGCACCGGAAATCAGGGTGGTTCTGTCATCGACTATGTCCTTAAGGATCCCTCCCTGTCCCAAGAATTCTCCATCCGCGCCGTGACTCGCGATGTGTCCGCCTCGGCGGCAGCGGCCCTCACAAGCCGAGGAGTCGAAGTGGTTCAAGCCGATGCCGATGACCTAGAATCCCTCGCGCATGCCACACAAGGCGCCAACACCACATTCATCATGACCCCCTCATCATTCGCGGGCGAAGACGCCGAAGCAATTGAACTCGCTCGAGGAAAAGCCATGGCCGATGCCGCCGTATCCGGAGGCTCGAAATACATTATCTTCAGCACCCTGCCGGACGTGATCAAAGCCAGTGGGGGAAAGTACACCAAAGCGACAAACTTCAACGCCAAGGCGCAAATCGAACAATATATCCGGGGTTTGCCCGTCAAGAGCATCTTTTACGCCCCGGGATGGTTCATGCAGAACTGCGCCCATGTGTGGGGACCCCGACGGATGGCCGACAACAGCCTCGCGCTGCTCGATATCGTCTCCCCTGGAACTAGGTTCCCGTTGATTGATGTTCAGGCGGACACGGGGAAGTTTCTCGCGCCGGTGCTGGCGCAGCCGGAGGCGTTCGCGGGCCAGACTTTGTCGCTGGCGAGTGAGATCCGGACCTATCGCGAGGTAGTGGAGATCATGAGTAAGGTCCGAGGGGAGACGGTGCACTATCGACAGGTTTCGGCGGACGAGGTCTTTGGGAGCCAGTGTCCTCCGTTGATTGTGGAGAGGATGGGGGCGATGATGAGGTTCTATGAGGAATACCCCGTTTTTGGTCCGGACATGGACCGCTTGGTTGCTCAGAGCGTCGCAATGGCAGGTGGCAGATTGACTACTTTTGAGGAGTTTCTTACAAGGCTTCAGGAGAGTGCTTAGGACGGCGTATATAGATTCTGTTGTAACGATGTCAAATCGGTAGCATATATGGACATCTACCACACCTATTCAGCTGTCGAAACAACTTTTTAGGCAGGTGGTTTTGCCTCACACGGGTTGTCGACTAATCTTTGGCAACTGGTAAATTCATTGTTCAAAACAATGATAAGACTATGTCACATGATATTTTACTTCCTAATTGGAGAAAGTGAGTGGCATGATGTTAGGGGTGTTGATATAGCGGCGCCCTAAGAGATTTCGGAAATCGGGAGCCGGTACGGCCACACATTCCTCACTAATCCCACGCAGTTTGACTGTGTTGGTTTACACTGTCCGCCTTCCATAATAGGAAATTTGTGTTGGCAGAATTCAACAGCGGAGGGGACCAAATGGCGTGTGGTTAGCAAGCGCGGTGTGGCCATAGCGTCTTCCAATATTTCTGGAATCTTTCTCGAACTCAATTGTTTAACACCCACCAAATTCATCTCAAGCATGCGGTCAAAAGTGCCTTTTCTTCCAACCCATCCAAGAGACAAGTAGGCTTCTTTATCAAACCTCTTGCTTTCCACGCCTTCTCATTCCGAAGCCATAACCGGAAGGCTAGAAAAAAAATCTACATCCCTCGGACCCCCCCCCACCACCGCGGGGCACTTCACAACCACGCCATCAACCACCACAATATACAACAAGCCACAACCGAACCCCGAGAGGCAAATAGACATCCATAGAAAAATGGCCTCAACCGGCCAACTCGAAGAACTTGCCATCCAACCCAGCGGCATCCTCTGGCAAAACGACTTCATCACACCCTCACACGAAGCCGAACTGATATCGATCTTCAAAAACCTAACCTGGCCGGGCCGCCCCGGCGGACGCCTCTCCCTGCACTACGGCTACACCTTCGACTACAAGACGTTCGGACTGGATCCGGACATCCCGTACAAGGAGTTCCCGGACTGGCTGCGCCCACTGATCCCCCAAACGGAGGGTCGACCTCCCGAGCAGGTGTGTCTGCAGTATTATCCGCCGGGCACGGGGATCCCGCCGCACGTAGACGCGCACAATGCGTACGACCAGCTGTATGCGTTATCGCTGGGAGCGCCGGTCATGATGCAGTTCAAGCGCGGGGAGGAGCGGACGGATGTCGATCTGACGCCGAGGAGTATGATGCAGATGACGGGCGATTCGAGGCTGCATTGGACGCATGGGATTAAGAAGCGGAAGACGGATACCCTGGCTGATGGGACGGTTAGGGTCAGGGGCGAGAGGTGGAGTCTCACGTATCGCTGGTCCAGGGAGGGGGAGTGTGAGTGTGGGGATGTTGCGTTGTGTGATGTTGCGCAGAGGCGGTTGGGGGTGGAGAAGGAGAAGAGGTCGGTGGCGGCGTTGAAGGCGATGGAAGGGGGTGAAGCTGGGGAGGAAGTTGTTGGGTAGTGGGTGGTGGTTATCTTCTTGGATTGAAAAATGTGTCGGTTACTGTACATATGCAATAGAAAGGCGCAGGGGATTACTTAGTCTTATGTTCAAGTCTTATGTTCAGGGGCAGGTTGATTCACTCCTTGCTATCATTGAAAAGACATGACTTTGCTCTGCCTGCCTGAGGCGGTTCAAGCACGTGGTATCTTTTTGTTCGTTCAACCGACTTAACGTTCGCGACGACAATTCTCTGCCATCACTTATCAACTGCAACATTTACTCTTCATACTGCCAGAGCCTCATTGCCCAATAATCCCTCAGATCTGAGATCTGTTCTGTATCCTTCAGGCCAAGAACAAGCCATTCAGCGAGCCTAGAGGAGATGCAGCATCCAACTCAAATAGGTACGAGATTTGCTTTGAACTTTGTGCCCCTGAATAATCCCAGAATAACTTTGACCCTCAATCTCCAGTCTTCCGCTTACGATCCGTCATATTTGCTATTCCAGTCTTCGTCTCAGTATGTTCCGAGCTCATGTGGCGCTGTTTGACGAACGGGCTGGCCAGTAGGCCGACAGCCGCAACAGCTGTGTACATGATGAACATATTCCGAATACTCCAGGCATAGGCACTCTGCACGGCGCGATGCTGCACCGGATCCTCGATCGACGCGACCATTTCGACATTTGCCGCCGCCTCGTCGCCCGAAAAAGCCGCGAGATAGGATTCGTTGAGCCCAACAGCGACAAGAGAAGAACGTTGAGATGACATACTGTCCTGGAAGACAATACCACCGAGAACAATGGATAGGGACGTGGCAATGCTGCGCGCAAAGCCTAATGTCGACGTTGCGACAGCCACATCGGCCTGATTGACGTTGTTTTGGATGGCAAGCATGGGGGTCGACAGAAGAAGGGAAAGGCCTATACCGCCGACTATTTCGAAACCGATGATTTGGCCGAGGGAGGTGTCGACACCGAGCATGATATATAGTCCTGTTCCTAAGGTCAAGAGAGTGGTCCCGGCCCAGATTATCTCCCTGTAGCGACCAGTCTGGTGGATCAATATCCCGACCGCGACGTCGGAAAGTGAAGCAGCGGCCATCATGGGGATAATGAGAACTCCGCTTTTGGTGGGCGATGCTTGTTTCACACTTTGGAAGTAGAATGGGAGGTAGTACTCTGATCCACGAGTGGCCATGCTGTGCGCAGCAGCGATAAGTATGACTGCGTTGTTTGACCACCCCTTGAAGACTCCAAGATCCATCAGTGGATACCTCGCGAGGCGCTTCTCAGCAAAAAGGAAAAAGCCGATCAAGACGGACCCAAACACGATCATGCAGATGACGGTCGGACTATTCCAGACGAATGTTACGCCACCGAAATCAAGTCCAAGGAGAAGAAGAAGAATTATGGTCAGGATCGAGACGGTCCCGAGCCAGTCGATGGCCTTGAGGCCATCTCCAAGCTTCGTGCGTGGGTTGTGCAAGTCAAGAAAAAATAACAAAATGAAAAATGAGAGGCCACAGATGGGCAGGTTGATCCAGAAGCACCAGCGCCAAGTCGCATATTCTGACAATGCTCCTCCAATGACGGGCCCGGTGGTTCCAGCGAGGACCCAGACAAGCGCAGTCGCACTGATGTATAACGCTCTATGCCGCATGCTGAAAAGGTCTGAGATTATTATACTGACCAAGGATGTGATTCCTCCCCCGGCGAGACCTTGAACCCCTCGCCCGGCAATCAACATGGGCATGCTTGTGCTGGCTGCCGCAATGGTGCTACCAATAGAGAAGACAATGATGGCTCCCAAAAGACCATGCTTGCGACCCCAGATATCGCTGATCCGGACCCACATTGGGTTGGTCGCACACATGGACAATAAGTACGCGGCACCGATCCACGTGTAGCCCGCAGCAGAGTGCAAATCCTTGGTCATGGAGGGAATGGCGGTCGAAACAATGGTTTGGTCGAGCGCCGAAATAAAGAGCACGAGCTGGAGATGGTTAGCTTATTACGGAAAGATGGAATGGATCTAACATACACACAGCATGATCATTATACTGAAGGTGCGCAGCTTTGAGCGGCCCTTTGGAGGGCTGTTAGGGTCTTCGGATACTTCGAAGGACTCCACCACGTTGGAGGGACTTTCTGGAAGACTACCCGTGTCCACCCCCACATCTTTCAATTTTGCCCTCTGTTCAGGAAGACAAGCTGCTTTTGTTGCTGTTGGATGCTCGATGACCGAGATCTCGTCTATCTGCTGATCTGCCATCTCGCAAGGGTCACTATGTTACAGAGCTTGTGAGCGAGATACGCAACTCTTAATTTATTCAGAGATGGAAAGAGGCTGGTAAAGGGGTCGATATCTGCGGGAATAGTTTGAGACAATTATTGCTGACCGCATGAGAGAGCATGCAACTGAATGTCACAGGGCGCGCCCTCGAATGTCCGGCGATCAGGGGCGCGGGTCATCACCGTGCCTGATTGGCACCCGATGAGCGTTTAGCGGGAGTCCGACGGGAGCCTAACTGTTAGACCACTCCGGGGCTGTCGCAGGCTAGCACGAACTTAAAGTATATAGTTAAGTATGTCTCTAACTAGAATAACCCTTGCAACAGTATCTCTCGGATCACGACATTGCATCTCTAATTCTGGATGTCGATTTCTCTATCCACGCAATCACCCAGTTGTTGACAACATTGGCGAAACTCTAACACAAGGATATATAAAGATCAAAATATACGAAGGCCGGTTTATTGTCATGTCGGATAAAGCCAGTTCTCTCGCATATCACAGGAGTGTTGAATCATTCGACAGCAGCTTGGTACGTTCTGAGATCTACAAATTGTGGAAACATACTGGGCGAAATGCTAACGGGAGAAAGTCTGAGATGAGTGTCAATTCTGACTACAATGCCGACTTCAATCTGGGCATGAGAGCAGAGATCCAGCAACTTTACCGCCCCGACGACCGATCGGCTTGGAGTGAGTCGGTCCCAGACAAGATTGTGACTGGGGTGGAGGCCGGTTCTTATGCCCAGGAGTGCGCGTTTATTGTACGCCGCGAGCCCCATCCAATCACTTACCAAGTCGCCATCGTTTCTATTACGATACAAAGCCCCTTGATCAAGAAGGTGCTCGACAGGACATTCAGAGGCTTGGAAGGTATCAACACTCAATTGAAACAGTTGACCTTTAAAGCACCTTTTCACTCCTTCTACTATCGATGGCATCGCTTTGAGAGGCTCTGCGAAGAAGAACAGAATAAGGAAGCTAAAACGCATTTAGACCTTTTGTATCAGATTCTCAGAGGCGAGATTGTGCCCCAAATTGAAGCCATGACTGACCTGGTCAAGAACAAGGTGATTACCTTCGACTATCTGTGGACTATCTTTGCCCCTGGCATGGAAGTATACACCAGGCTGGATGGCCATGACCGTCTCATGGAATTGACCGATAGTCGGTATGGAGCTAATATGAGCGGAGAGTTCTTTACATTGGAATGTCGATATATCGATTGCGATGGGTCGAATTTTGGTTATGTCTCAAGCTCAGTCGACATTGCAAAATTTGAGGGCGTGAAGAGGATTTTAGATCTGGACGCGTTTCCCAGCCATCTGCATCCGGACTCTGAGGGACTGGTTGATCGACTACATGTGCGTGGGGAGAAATTTGAGCAACTCAATGGATTTCATCACATGGCGTACTCAGGATTCTACACAGCCAGATCCTCGAGACAGATCCGAAAACGCCATGTAAGGGATATTTTTCTACTCTTCTGACGCAAAGTGTTGATCCTGTTTTTGTGCAGGTGGAAAACAGCCGTATCATTATTGATCCCCACACATTCAACCTCTACGGCGCATCTGGGCCTAGCCTTGAGCTGATCAACTCAGAGTCAGATTTGCATATGAGATCAGCAGAAGACGATCTACTTGCTGGAGCTCTTAATGTGATATACAGAGCGGCAAGTAAGGCTTTTGGGGTGTATCGGAATACACTGGGAAAGTATGAGAAGCGTTGGAAAGATGGCGAGACAGGTGGCTGTAAGACCGCTTTATATCCTTTGACTCACACAGGAATTCTTCGTGACACCAGATCAGGTCAGACATTGAGTCCTAAGCAGCGCTTGCTCTGTACCCCGATTGTACGTGGTTACTGTCTGACTTTCAAAACATGGGGTAAGATCTCGCCAAATGGGACCCCGATTTCTTCTACTAAGATGCTTGATCCTAGCCGAGTTTTATGTTGAAAATATTTGTCCAATTAATTGGAACAAGAATGCTTTCCCTGGGCTTGTTCTTCCCCACGGCTACAAAGAAATTATCCGAGCCTTTGTTGAGGAGGAACTGTCCCGCGACGATGGTTTTGATGATATCGTTTACGGAAAAGGTAAGAGACAGTCCTCTCGATGATTTATTTACTACTAATCAAGGAATCACAGGATTGGGCTTTATCATGTTGTTAAGCGGAGACCCTGGGGTTGGAAAGACACTTACAGCAGAATCAGGTGCGTTGACTACACTGATAGTGGCGTGGAGATCATATTAATTCTTCCAGTTGCCGAGGAGATGTGTCAGCCGCTGTACCTGATGAGTGCGAGCGAGCTAGGAGAAACAGTCACCGAGGTTGAAGAATCGCTCGAACAGGTTTTGGAACTGACCACCAAGTGGAATGCTATTTTACTGCTCGACGAGTGTGACATGTTTCTTGAGGCTCGCTCCACGGCCGACATGAGGCGCAATCGTCTTGTATCCGGTACGTTGAGCCAGCTGCCCTCAGACTCAGCTATAGAGTGCTACTCTAATCAATGCTAATATGTTGATTCTATCAGTATTCCTAAGACAGCTCGAATATTACCGAGGTGTAATGTTCCTCACCAGCAACCGTATCAACGACTTCGATGCTGCCTTTGAGTCGCGAATCCACCTAACCATCCACTATCCTCCCCTGGATTTACCAAGTCGACTCCATATCTGGAACACATTTGTTCAGATGGGAGATGTGGAGAGTCGACTGACCGAAAAAGATCTGGAAACACTGGCAAAGATCGAGGTTAACGGGAGACAGATTAAGAATATCGTCAAGACGGCTCGCTTGCTGTCCAAGCAGGCGGGAGTTCCCTTGGCGATGGAACATGTTGAAATGGTTCTTAAGGTGAAGAGGAGATTACTTGTGTGATGCATAAAGGTTAGAAAGGTGCGAACAGTGAGTTATGGGGCCGATCTAAAAGAGAGTTTCAAATATCAATTTAATTTTCCTCAATTCATGCTCTATTGACCTAGTTAATTGGGCCCACTAATTGTGGTAGCTATGCGAGGTCAAAACCAATCAATTCAAGTATCCGCCTCAGGAGAAAAAAATATACATCGTAGCTATGCTTCTTCCCTTGTAACCCTTGCCATCTCCTCCGCAGGAACCATCGCATCCAGCGTGCGAATACTCATCGCCTCCAGTTCATCATCCCGCCATTGCTCGTATTCCGACTCTGAGTCACATTTCAAGGGCCCCGACTCATATTACTCGATATCCGCATTATGATAGATCTCCCAGGGTGCGTCCTCCAGCGTCCAACGGAAATCAGCCGCCCCTTCCTCGATGAAATCATATATTGGCACGTTGCGGGCTGATAACTTTGCCCAAAACGCGTTCCTATTGACCCATGCTTGGCGCCTTTGGTCACGAATTGGATTCCGGGATGGGTAGTCCGTGTCTATGGACATCAAATGGACCATTCAGTCTTGATGGATCGGAGAAGGGAGTGCGGAAGGCAGCGAGGATTTCGGGTGCGGGGGGGGGGGGGGGGGGGGATCTGTTCGGCGGCTTGCTCGGCTAGGAAGCTCTCGTAGTCGGGGAGGGCCCTCGTGCTATCATAATCAGGTATTGGGTTGCAGTTAAGAGAAAGGATATAAGAGTCAGAGAAAACAGAGATGGGAGGGGGTTGAAGTGGGAAAAAAGGAACGAAATGAGAGGTGCGTAGAAGTGTTGGGAGAGTCATAGAAAGTCAGTTGAGAGATGAAAGAAGGAGATGGTGGCGCAGCTGCAAATCGTGCACCCCTGCCAGTTTGGGCTGACAGGATAACATGTTACACAATTTGACAGGTGATGCGTCTTCATTGAATGATATTGAATCCGGATTTCGAGTTAAAGGGGACAAGGTGTAACAGGCTTATCTATCTGTAGAATACAGAAGCTGTTGGCATATCCATTCAGACGTTGGTTTTCATTGTCTTAAATGTCTGATAGTGCTCTGAATAGAAAATTGTAGAATGCCAGGTACTAAACATATACAACCCATACCCAGTCTATAGACGGCAAAAAGAATGTATTTGTGTAGACTGTATTGTCGTGGCCTTCAGAAGGGAGAACATATTTCTAGGTATTCTAGTAGTCAAGCGATCTCAATGTACGGCTATATAAGAACTTATACGATTTGCCATGCCCCACGCAATCTTAGCACTTCGGAGGGCGTATTTCCTCCAGTATCTCTTTCACATCATTCTCACACATCTTCCTCTCCCTCTCGATAACCTCTCGGTGCTGCAGACTGCGAACAGTAAACACAATCCTCCTGGAGTCGCAATCGCCTTTCGCATCATCCCCAGTCGGCCCCCCCCGCTCAATGTGATACGCCCACAAGACCCGAGAGATAACAATGAAAAAGCTCGCTTTCGCCAAATGATACCCAGGACACGCTCTCCTCCCAAAGCCAAACCCAGGTAAGTGTCGATCCGGATTATCCATGTACCTCTCCGGTCGAAAGGTCTCAGGGGCGTCAAACACCGCCTCGTCCATATTGATACCCCACTGATTCGCAATAATTGTTGCGTCTTTTGGAATCCGAAATCCCAGGTACTCATCATCCTGAATGACCGCATGCGGAACTCCAATCGGAGAGATGGGTTTCCAACGCACCAACTCCGAAATAAACGCCCCGACGAACAGAAGCCGATCCATGTCCCCAAAATTGGGCAACCTCTCCGTTCCAACCACCGAGTCCAGTTCGTTCTGGGCTTTGCGCACCACATCCATGTGGTCCACACAGGTGGTCACAAATGTCTCGAGAACCATCTTCGTGGTGTATATCCCCGCAACATACAACTCACCCAAGGAGTAAGACACATCCTCCCACGGGATATCTTTCGATTCCGGACGCTCTTGGATCTCTTGTATCCAATTCCAGCTTTGCTCCTGCAGGGCTGAATTCGCACATTCGACATACACCTCCCGGGTTTTATCGTGAAGTTGCGCCGCCTCCTGACGCCATTTCATGAACTGCATCGGCAGTTTATCCAGCACTGGGAACAAATCTAATAGTGTGGTGCGAAACGATGCATTTTGAAGGATGAACGTTGCCATCTCGTTGATCTGCTGCAGTCGGCGATGGTCCGCATCATTCCAATCCCGTCCTTTCCCGTAGACTAGCCTCAACATCACATCGGAGGTATATCGGTAGAAGACCTCCGAGAAGTCATTTGTGGAGAGTAACTCGTGCACCAATTCCTTGCTCCCGATATCCTGGAGTCGACGGTAGGTCTGCGATGCCTTCATGTTTAACAAGGTCGAGTAGAATCGCCGATGAAGTCGCCAGTTTGGCCCGTACTGCATAAACGCCGGATTCAGACCTTTGTTAAGGTACCGGTCCATGAAAATCGATGTCGGACGGGAGCTGTAGATCGTTCCACGTCTCTCGAGGAGATCCTGGGCTGCTTGGCGCGTGCCTAGGATGATGATGGTGCGGAAACCGATTTTGACGCTCACAACCGGTCCGTATCGCTTGTTCCACGAGTGGAAGGTTCGGGCGATGTCGTTCTCGGGCCATGGTGCTGAGAGGAGGGTTGGACCTGGGGGGAGGGGGAGTCGCTGCGATGACGAGCGTTGGTGGTAGTACCAGGTGAGGGTGAGAGTGAGGAGAATGAACGCCGCGAGGGACAACATGGTTGGTTTTCTTCCTCGCGCGGGTGATTGGATGGTCGAGGGTTGGCGGATTCTGACGAACTTGTTGGTCGGGGAGGTGGCTGTTGTTGAAGAATGGACGAGCTGTTGATCAACCCGCGCGGGGTCGAAGTTACATCGCCGTAAGACAGGCCACCGCTGCCAATGGAAATGCTCGTTTGCATGGAAGTTCCTACCATTATGGTTTCGCAATGAAATCTTGTTTGATATGGGGATTTAAATCCGACTGGCCGAATGCGTGCTACGCTTACTATTCTAGTATTTCTCTATTTCTCTATTTATTCTAATGTCTCGGTTGGAACAAGGGCTTGGCCTGATGGTGGCCCAGGATTTAGCCGTTTGATTGACTTGACCTCGGCCCGATTGATCCTACCCCTCGGTTATTCCTGTATGACTTTATATACATCTTATTCTTATCTAATTCTATATCTATATAGCCTAACTGCTTGCGCAGCAGTATTATAGAATTAGATCTTTATTATCTTATTTTACTAGCCACTATCTATATTATCAGCACAACGAGGTCTTCCCGATCTCTGCCCGTGGACGGGGAACTGCTCTCTCGACCTGGACGAACTGGTTCGTAAACTTCTGGCTCGGGTTGTATATGCCAGAAGCGTTGAACAAGGCCTCTTGGAAACTGTATTATGTCTTTGGAGCTATTAATCTGGGTATCTCCGTTGTGACGTATCTGTTTTATCCGGAGACGGCGCAGAAGTCGCTCGAGGAGTTGGATTTGCTATTTACCCCGAATAGGAGGATACTGGCTTGCTTGGATCGGGAGGCGTGTCGGAAGGGGACAATGTTGGGCTCGGGTTTGGAGGGTGGGGTGGAGGTTGCGAGGGAGTTGCAGCCTGCGTTGGTTATGGGGGTTGTTGTGGACGAGAAGGCGATGGTCAGGGAGGAGGAGAGGGTTTAGCTTTGGGTAACGGGGCTATATATGTGGAGTATAGATTATACTATCTTCTACGGCATTCCAGGATCTTTGGAAGGTCCACTGGTGCTGGAAGGCTTTTTCCCATTGGACATGAAAGCACATGAAAGTCATACGTTGTCATGATGTCTTTGTTTATCAACAGTCTGATCTCAATGAAATGTTGTGGGAAATCTTCTCCGTCTATATAGTCTACTAGAGCTTCTACATCATACAGAAAACACACCATATACACATGGTGATGTATCGACTGGGAATGAACACATCCGTTGTGGTTCATCAGGGGGGTCATTAAAAGGTTTTCGGAGCACTCGTGGCAGGTTCATCGAGAATTGAACGATCGATCGCAAGATGGACTGACACACAAAGAGGCGGATGGGTAAATACTCTGGTCAAGAGCTCGGTAGACTGCCTGGAGTGCATTTCGAGCATATAACCCTCCATATGCAGGGACATTGATCACTAACAATTGGACCTCAGGCTTGGTCAAGTTTTTGATAAGCTCTCGACCTTTCGCATCGAGCCCCACTGCTGGAACAGTGGAACAACTGCAGCGCTTTCCATGATTATGTACTCGGTGTCAGCGGGGTTCGCACCATCGGAGGCCCAATAAAAAGCACGTGGAAAAAGGATGCTCGTGTGCTTTCTCATTTGTAGATTAATGTTCGCCACCTTTATCCGATGACAGGGGAAACAACCTCTTTTCCGTTTCCCCTTGTCTTTATGAGAGCCTTGCTAAATCCACCTTCCATCTTATCAACACGTATAATTCGAGATGATATCCCACCAGCCACCGCAGTAACGTCACAGAGAGCGTTGATGTCGAACTTCACGTAGCGGCGGTCGAATTGGCGCTCCTCGTTAACAGGAAAATTGCCATTGGTCTATCTAAAAGCTTTTTCGTGATTAACTCTTTTTCTTGAAGAGAAGATTGGAGATTCCGTGTCCAGATTTCTAATTCATTAATGCTCACCTCGGCAATAAGACGACAACGGTGCTGCGGTCTGGCCACGCCTCATGTGTTTTATATTTTTGAGACATGACAGCATGACATATCGCATGAAAATGCCTGGAAATTGAAGACGCTTGCCCTATATATTGAAAATGGTAAGCAACAACGACCAAGTCCCTGTGACGTAGGGGGAGTGACACAAGTCGGGCATTAATGACCATGTAAAAACTAAAACAGTAACTCCGTACTAACAGCCTAACAGGACACAAGGCAGCCGAATGTAGTTAGTTAAATCCGGGGTAATGGAGCTAACCGGATAGGGTGTAAGCGGGGTTAAGCGGAGATGTCTATTTTAGGTTAGTTCCACTTCCACCTCTCTTTTTCCTTTGATCCTATGAAACCGAGCCTATGTCTTTCCCATCGCTTTGTTGTTCCCACGATGTATACTGACCTTTTCGTGCGCAGAAAGGTGTTCCCCACACAGACACACGGAAATCCCCGAAGCCCTTTCCCAATAACTGAGGCATCTTCTCGTCCTGGAGAAAGAAAGGCTATATTCGAATTTACCCTTGATTACACAGACAAGAAGAAGATGGATGTCGGCAGTGTTCTATTCGGCCTATACCATCTAGGAAGGAGTATTGCCGCAGACCATAATGCATACCCCGTATGAAAAAGGGCTATGCCTATCTTCAAATTCCACAAACCAGATCGCATCTCAGCTTGTCCCTCGGAGCGCTGACTATAAAAGTAACCACATGCCTCACTCTAGAATGCCTTCTTTCATCAACACACTCGAGCCCCTGTGTCCAGCATTTGACCAGAAACCTACCCCATCACCTCAACGATCTCTTCTCATCATCTTTCATCAATACCTACATCATGGAATACATGCAGGATCCGGCTCATCCTGGGCAAGGTACCCTCTCGTCGGCGCAAGAAAACTGCGAACAGCTTGAACGCTCGGGCGTCGAATTAATGCGATACACGCCCACAAGTGGTCGCGTCATTGTGAGAGTGCAGTTCTCAATGAACAAGGTGATTGTACATGGTGGAAAAACGCCGTATTTCATTCTGATGGCAGCTAATGTCGTGCTTGAGGAAAGGATTCGACAGGCGAGGTGGGCTAACCCTCCCTGGCAGGCGGGATTGGTCACAGTGACGTTCCGATTCGCTGCCCAGACTGGCGATCCTGGGCATCTCTTCAGAGCTCTGAGAGCGGAGCTACAGATGATGCTACTCAGGTTGTCGCGTTCACCTCTTGAACCATTTCCACAAGCCTGGAACTCCATATGCCATGTGCAGATTAACTACGAACCTGATGAACATCGTAGGTTTGAGCTCCGGTTCGGCGGCCCTTGAGTAGTAGTTCTTGTTGTTGATTTCGGTGTGATTTCCCCATTTTATATGCTTTTCAAAGACTACATACATTCCATACCATCTTTGTAGTACAATATTATAGGCGCTACGTAAATCTCAATTACAACATAACCTCTACATAACGAAGGTTAGGTACCAGGAGAAACTCGTGATGAGTCGTATAAAGGGTTTAAAATATCAGGAAAAGTAAAATATAATGAAGGCCCTAGCCTATGCATTATAGATCGGGCTTTTCCAATGATATCCTCCAATACCACCTTCACCAGTACAGTCTTGTGAGGACCATATGGTCCCTCTTCCTGGAGAACCAGAAGGGAGTACTCCTTTTGCCGCAGTGTGGCTCATTAATCCTCGGGAGTAGGACTGACAATGCTCCAGGAATTCGCCAATTTTGGGGATCGAATGGGCTAGAGGTTGTCTGAAGATTGTTGGATTTGCTCTCTTTCATACGCTATCTACCGCGCTGAAGAGACGTTGGATAGACGAAATCCTATGCCTAGACGGAGGGATCCGAAAGAAAGCAGCCTCAATATCAGCCACTCATATAGGTGACTACCCCAAGAAAGCATATTGAGGAATGGCAAACTCCATGTGAATTACTTACGGCATTATCCACACCGCTCGGCTTCGGAGAAAGCTATATATACAACTTGACGGCCCACCAGGAGAATGGAGGGTCACCTCCGTCACTATGTATCGGCGGCCTACGTTCTGAAACAATCTATCAAAAGCCCAAGTCTGAAATTCCCCCCACATCATGTCAGTCTACAAGTGGTATAGAGGGTCGATGCCGATGAACAAGACACCCACGTCTCGTAGCAGGTTCGACTGTCTTCTCCTCGACTATCATTTGAATTTCGAGATGCACAAAGGTGATTTCAAAACGGGTGAAGTTATCGTGAGACTTCCCTTTCCCCCAGAATCGGTGCTGCAACGTTACAACGCTACAGTATCTCACCTTTGCCGGTTGGATCCCAATTATCATCATCCTGACAAATTGGAGACTTTGTACCAAGCCTGGAAGATGAACCTTCTGAAAGCCGCATACGATGCCTGCGAGGAGAGATATCAAACCAGAGCCTGGACAACCCCAGAGTATCACGATGGGAGAATCATGCTCTGTTGCCGATTCGTCCCTCCGTATAGTCAGCTTGGAATTAGCAGTTATGATGAAAGGGTCGAACAGCATGCCATGGACATCTTCAAAGCGCTGGGAAAGGAGTTGGCGAGAATGATACGAGTGGTCTGGACGGGTGGCCAGATCACATTCCCGTATCTTCGCGGAAAATGCACCGCGATATGGTTTGTCTGCCAGAACAGTCGCAGCACCGTGCAGCTCCCCCCCGGTCTGGAAGATCAACCGAACTACTACGAGCCTTGGCCCAATTTCCAGCTCCCTAGTGGGCACCATCCCAATCACCACGCCGATGTTTTTACGGACGACGACGCGTCTTCAGAGGTCGCGGCTTCTGAAGATGACTATACCGTTTTAGAAGACTACATAGACAACGACCCTCCTTCAGAGGATGGCGAGGTGTATCTCCATTCCGTCCCCCCACCTCCTGACGAGAACGGCAGTGATCAGGCGCCTCCAATGCCCATTTATCAGCCCACGTTGCAGCTCCCTATGGATTACCCTCTTCTGCATCCTGAACCCTACCCCGACCAGCACTTTATCCCAGAAGCTCCGGAGAACGTTTTCTGGCCATCTCAGCAACTTCCCCAGGACCCTAACATCTTCGCCGAAGAGATTGACAGTCTCATTCAAGACACATACAATCTCCCTCCCGGGTCCTATCGCCAGCTGCCATGGGATGACATCCCCCGAGACTGGATGAGTTGATAGGTCAAAGCACCCGAGGGCGCGCTCTGCTGGCAATTGTTAACTATGCGGACGCCCGTCGGGTGGTGACTACCAGCGTTGTTTGGCGTTCTGTCAGCTGTCCTGTGAAGCTGATACTTAGGGAAGGGTCGATGTATTTTGCTTATTTCATAGCAATATATTGTTGTTTTAACTGTCCTTAATATGGTTCCTGTGAGTACGTAGTTCAGTTGTGATTGTGTAAAGTACCCAGAGGGGCGGTGATAGTAGATTTCTCTCTTCCCGTAAAATTCTCTGGATTGGGCATATGGAATTTGCCAGGCCTTGCAGTAGTACTGGTTAGCAAGTTACTAAAGATTGGAGGATATTTACATGAAATGAGTCAGACCCAATAGTATACTGCCTGGGAATGCAGACGACTCTCTGAGCGAAGATGTATCATTAGCCTGGGCTGTAGTCTACGTATGTAAAGACTTGATGGAATAATCACTATCTACTACGCTAAACAAAACGCCAAACCAGGGAGAGCTAAAACCCCGCACATCATAAGCTATGAATCCATATCAAACGCCGCTTAAACGAGAATGAGAAACAAGAAAATTATCCATAGCTGGTTATGCATCGCTATCGGCATTGGGCGAACATCGGGCGGACACATTCATTTGCCGCGCAGGCAGAGTTGCGCCTGCCCAAGTGGTTTTGATCGCCAGCACCTGTCCCCGCGTCTCATTGCGAGCCCGTTCCCGTCCCTTTCCAGCCTTCAGAAGGGCTTCATACTCGGTTTTGGTGTGTCGAATATGTGCCTCGACAGCCAAATCGGCTTTTCGTTCGTCCGATAAGGTGGAGGATCGTCCCACACGGCCGGTTCCCTTCAAAAAGGCATGGTGTAGGATAGTCTGTAGAGATTCTGCGGGCATCAATGGGAAACGGGTGGCCAGGAGCTGGCGTGCTCGCGCAAAGTCCTTTTCATCGCGGAGTTTGACGGCCTTAGCGCGCGATTCGGCAGATTCGGCGGCGGATTCATGGACGGCTGCGTGAATATCCTTAGGCACACGAAGGCCAAGAGATCTCTTGCCGTTTTTGTCCTGTAAAAGGTTAGCGACCAGAATCAAGGTATTGGCGACGGGGATCATTCTCACATAAACCACGTAGACTAGACGACCAGACTCCTTGGTTCTACTTCGACAATTGCGAGTGACATAAACATCTCCCTTGGGGACAAACACATAATCTTCAGGTAATACCTCCCGTTCGAAGCAGTTCTATTCAAAGTGACAAGTTAGCAATAGGTACGTTGGTTATGCTAAGCTGTGCAAGCCAAGCAGGGTTCAAGGATGGTCCATCAGAACCCTACGACAGAACAAAGGATACAAAATTGGGAAGCACTCTGTGTTCCCTACTGACCTTTTCAAGATGCTCCGTCGACAACGGAAGGAGATTCAACTTGCGAAACCTCTTTGCCGGGGGGGCGCGTGCGGCTTTGGTCCTGGGAACATCAACTACGTCGCCCTGGTCCCGTCTTTTCAATAGACTGCTTCTGCGCGCCTGATCAAGGATCGATCGAGGCGACCTAGGCGCATCCAAAGACCTCATCAGAGCTTTTCTGGCGCCCTTGGGTCTTCTGCGAGCCCGAAATCGGGCATTTCGCTTCTGCGTGACCGTCATATTCTCTTGAGTGAAAGATAAAAATGTGTCGGAGATATAATACGTGGGGATTATGCTGGAGTAAGAGAGTGAGGAAATAGGCGGCACACGATTGTATTTCAAGTTGATCACTTCAGACGTGGGGGCGTATAATGCAATACTACTTCTGTCACAGAGCAATCAGCCGACCAGCGTGAGTCTTATAAGGAAGGTCGTGTCGAAAAGAATATCCGCCCTCTGTCGCTTTTTTCGATATAAAAGGAGAGTACCTTGGGGGTTTCAGATGAAAGAAGGTAAGAGCCTGATGCCCAAAGAGTGACCGGACGAGGGTCTCCTGCAACAACGAAATCAATGAAGATGAATGAATGGAATGGTTCGTCATTTCCTCATCGGGAAGCGGTGGATCTTGGCGGGGTCGTGGCGCTGTGGCGGCCGTGGCACAGCAATCACCTGTGGCTTAGCTTTATCCCTGCCTGATCAGGCATCTATCCACGGTCACATGACTAACAACATCACCGACTGCTGCCTTGAGCGCTGCTGCCTTGAGAGCTTCATCAACCTAGTAGTAGTCAGAGCGTAGTATTGATATTTTTGACCAGTCACATATCCACTGATGCAGGGTTTACGCAATCAATAACCATGAAGGACAAACCAGTACTCTACGGAGCAGTCTTTTTCAACTTGGACAGACGCAACCAAAACACCTCGAAATATGGGAAGAGCAGATGATTCGTGGTCTGTCTGTCTGCCTGATGTACCGGACACATGACATTACGACGCTGCTGCGGGCTTGACCGCATCAACTCCCCCGATCCGCTCCAACTCCCATCGCCCAGGGAACCACCAATTTATAGCACAATTTATCTACATACATGTTGTCAATGCATGCGATCATGTCGACACCAGCAGTAGTTGCCGCTAGCCCAGGAGTACCCTGCTCTCCTGGCTGGCAGAGCGGCGGGGTGGTCGATTTGGACCATTCACGCCTCTGGATTCATTGTCCTGGCACCTGCTAGATTGACCGTAAGCTGCGAACTCTAGTTACGCCGATAGGCGCAAGACCCTCCTGGAATCACAAATCACAGACCGGGTTGAAGAGATAAGGCCGACGCCCTCCACCTGGCCCTTTCATGCGTGGGATCGAGAAATCTTCTGCAGAAGAAAGGGCGGTCGATGGAAGGAGAACACAGACCCTAAAAAGGAAGCCGATGCTCCTTGCTGGTGTCTCCAACCTTAAATCCAGCCAAATGGAAGAACAAGAGGGCGGCTACTAAACCCGCACGCTGCATCCAGATTATGCCAGGGGCTGTTGAGAATATTACCTGGGGGAAAAGACTATCGCCGTGTCCTGCGGGTGACACAGCAGGGCGTCTAACTAACTGCTGCAGGTCCCGTTGCTCGCGTGCAGCTCTAGTGCCTGTAACTGCGCTTGCTGGACAGACCGTCGGACCCGGTAAAGGGGCAGAGCGGATTCTGGGGGGTTGATAGAACTGGATCATCGCGATCCTAGACTTGCACTGTTTCAACCCGCCAGAAGATCGATCTTCCTGGCTTCCAGCTGGGGATAGAATCAGGTGCAATCGGATTGGATTGTACCGACCTAGGCAGGTAGGTACTTTCGTCCATCGTCCCGACCGCCTTGGCTTAGCCGACCGGGGAGTTTTCCCCTGCTATAGGCTCCCCTTTTCGATGCGCTCTAACCAATGACGGTCGCGAAAGCCCGACGACGCATTGATATTAACAAGTTGCGGCAGACATCTGAATCGCCGTGCCCGAGATAGTCTAGACTTGGGTCGCCTCACGTCCGATCTTCGTGGCCCAATGAACCGCCGGGCGGGTCGCGGTGAACCTCCCAAACGGGTAATATTACTCTGGGCAGGGTGACCTCGAAGGGAGTACGGAGTAGATAGCTATCTAGCTAATAGCTAGTCATGACGGTGAGGATCTGGTGGCAGCCTCCTTCCTCCCCAGGACGCCGTGGTCCGTCCGGTCTTAAATCCAACGGTTTCTGGAGTGGCCCTTGGTTTGTCTACTGGGTGCGTTTCCTGTCACTTCGCCTCTCCCGATGCTGGACAATGGATAGCTGCAGCGGATGCAAATAGTCGCGTCTAGTTCAGGAGCCGTGAGCCAGGGATTATACGGGGCCGGACTCAGGTCGGGTGTTTCAATGTCGTCATCGATTTGGGTCAATCGGGGCCAGCTCCCCGGCCAAGAAGGGTCGTAATTACGGGAAGCTATTAATATTCCGGAACCCAGTCATGGGCACTCGTGAGACGGAGAGGTGGGATGTGATGGAGGCTGGAGCTGAAAAGAGGCCCCAGGGCCAGGGAACTAGTTTAGCGGTCGTCGTGGCCGGAAGTTCGGGGGATGAAGGGGACGGAGGAGAAACCCCAGGGCGCCCGAGGGTCGTTAGTGCTGGCGGTCGTTGCAAGGCTCAATCTCCCGCCGCCCAATGCGGCCTCGATCGACGGCCTCGTAAGGGAGTCTTGATCAATTTAAACCTTGTCTGGCGATGCAGTCCTCTTTTCTGGCGGGTTAGGGTTGGCGGGATGGATCGATCTACCGGGGGGGGGGGATGTGGGTGGGCAGTGGCCGCTGTATCAACCGGTCGGGGTTGAGAGTTGGCTGACACAGGTGAATATGATGTGAATCAGATGCTACAATTGAGAAACTCTCTCGTTCCTTGATACAAAGCCAATTGCAACCAACAGTCGGGGACGGCGCTGCAGGTCCAGAGCCGGTGTCAACACCACTGCGGCCAACCCGATCGTGCGGGAGACGCTGATGGACGATCCACGGAATGGGGCCGCCGTTCCTTGTTCTGGGAACGACGCCGGTGCCTTGGGAGGGGCCGTAGTCGTGGATGCTGAGGGCATTGGGTGGGAGAGTAATCTCGCTGGAAGGATCAATCGTGCGTAGCTTCCATCATTCATCGGTAGATAGGTATTGTTCCTCGAATACTCGTCATTATCACTTAAGTTCTGTGACGAACCCAGGTCGTGTATGGAGTACTCTCCATATACATATGAATTATGAAGAAGGCTTGGCGCTGGGGGGACCCCACCGACAAATTGGATGAACAGGAATTGTGACCTCTGTCGGGCACTCTCAGTTAGTACTCCGTACTTATCAACTGTTTCACGCTGTCCGCCAGCAGGGAACACGTCGTGTGCACTGGGATGGGCAGGTTCATCTGTCCAAGACTCCCAGGCCGGATCCCCAACGCAGAAAGTGGAGGGCGATCGGGGAAGTCGACATCGAAGGCTATAACGGCGGCATTAAGAGGGATGACTCGCGATTATTCGTAGCAGGCTCATTTGTCGCCCGCATTCAGCCGGATCCTGGCCCGTCTCTTGCTCAGTTGCTCCATTCAGTGTTGCTGGGCACAGGGCCGGGCAGGGCAACTGTTCATGGGAAAAAGTAGAATCGGGGTTGAGGAGAGGTGGATCTGCGGATGTAGTAAAAAGAAAAAAAGGGCAAAAAACCTGTCAACTCATTACCAAATTACAAACAGAGGAAAACGAAAACACAAAATTTCCCATGCGGCCTCGCTTTCTCTCTTTCTCCCTCTCTGGTTGATTGATTCATTCTCCTTCTCTCCTTTCTTCCTTTTCTCCTCCCAGGGCAAGGATCAGACCAACCCGCGGACCCCTCAAAGCCAGCCTGCCAGCCTGCAACCTGAACGCATTCCCGCTCCTCCCTTTGTTCGAGGACAGCTCCATCATTCTTGGAACCTCCATCCATACGACTACCACCACCACTCCTCCTCCTCCTCCTCCCTCCCTCCCTCCCTCCCTCCTCCCTCGACTCCTCCTCGGTCTTCCTCCCTCTCTTTCTTCATCTCCTTCCTCGCCGACCTGCCGGGTACATCCGTCTTTCAGTTCCCAACACAATCCTTCGGACTATGTGCTAGGGTCCTCCCTGTGGCCATCCCAATCGTTCCTTCGAGGGGCTCCCTCTGTCTGCTTGCCTGACACTACTAGCTTGGCTTCAATGACCCTGTGGAGGCTTACATTCGTCGGCACCGTGATCCCTACCGAACCCCTCCCCTCCCACATTCCTGACGGCTCCGAAGTATCTGGACGGTCGACAAGAGGGTTGCCTGGCAGCTTGTATTGAATGGTTGCTGGGATCACGACGTTGCTGACATGAGTTGGGACCAGCCTGTTCACAGGTATGTCCGCTGTCTTTCCTACACATACTGGTTCTCCGGCCCAGGCGGGGTTGTCTCTCCATCACCACTCGTCCTGCTAGCCACCGTCTTCTAGTCCGATCTTGGACGGTCGATTGCCCTCAATTCCAAGCTCTCTCCTATGCCCACAATATTCTGCCCACCTTGGACCCGTCTGTCACTCCATCTGGTGGTCTCCGGAGCTCCTGCCGAGCTCCGATCCCCCAGCGGTTACTAGTGTACAAGATGATGCTGACAGAGCCCTCCTTCACCTTTAGCTTCAGCTATCCAAACGGTGAACCTCAGACCCCCACGAGGACCCCCCCGACTACAACAATCTTCGGTGATTCGGCGTTCCAGACTCCCAAACTCGAGTCCAGCTTCTTCGATCCCAGAGTCACCTGGGATACCTCCGACCCCTATGCCTCGAGCCCCGAGTTCCTCCGCACCCCCCAGAAGTTCGGGCTGGGCACCCCGGTGATCAATCCCCTCCGCCTGCCGGACACCGCTCCCGACCACTTGGCAGACACAGAAGGACCCCTGCGGGGGATCAAGGCGGAACAGGACACCGATACAGCCAAGAGACGTCGTCCGTCAAGGCCCAATTGCATCGTGGGGGAGGATGGTCCTCGCACAGTGGATTCGGCCAAATCAGCTGCCACGATTCAGACCCCCCCGCCTAGCAGTGCTTCGAGGAAAAAGGTGACGGGACTTGAAGATGCCGCTGGAACGGGTCGACGACCGTCAGGGTCCAGTCTGGTGGGCGGCCATTTGGAGACTCCCAGTCGGTTAATGGGGGCTTCACCGCGGCTCTTTGGCGACCTCCAGTCGTCCCCTGACCCGTTTCAACTGGCATCGATAAATCCGTCCGGGTCTCCATTCTTTCCGCAGCAGAGGCTATTCTGGGACCAGGACTTCGATCACCATGCGGGCAACATGGGCCTGTCGGCCACCACCGGGGTCAACCTTTTCGATTCACACACACTCGATACCTACCACCTCAATCAAAATCACATTCAGGACTCTCATATTCCACAATTACCCCCCATTGAAGGAAACATGGATATCCCTGAGTTCAATGGCAGTACATACAACATCTCATCGGGAGTTACCACGACCGATGCCGCCCTATTTCCCGCGCCCTTCTCAACCTCCCCTCGACGTCCTATCACCAAGACAGAGGACCCAGCTATGTTCCTAAGCTCTCCCGCCCGCCGGTTTGGGGGTCCTCAGCCGAGTCCGGATAAGAGGCTCTTTTCCCGGCCCACTCGCCAACCCTACCATCACCAGACGGAGGAGTCCAAGCGAGAGGAGCTCCGCCGTGCTCAAAGCGTCACCCAACATATCCCAGTGTATGAAGATGAAGAGGATGATTACACCCCCCGACAAACGCGACCCTCCCTGACTCGCAGTCTAACACACAGTGCCGTCACCGGAAATGCATATCGTTCTGGGTCTGGCGGTATGGCTTCTAGCAATGGAATTCGGAAGAGTCCCTCCAAGGGTCGGTCCTCTCCAATTAAACCCTTCCGCCAGCAGCTCTCGAGGGCTAACTCGGTGGCCTCTACTCTTCCCACTCGTTCCCAGTCCGTAGTTCTGAAGATTGGCAAGGACGGTAGGGCAAAGACGGAGATGCAGCCCGTGCCCGAGTCAACAGGGCTGACGGATCCCGTCACTGGGATGGACCTCGATGGCTCCGCCACGGAAAGCGAGTATGACTCGGTAGACTTTTCTGAATACCCCACCATCCCCAGCCGCAATCCCTCTTATGCCTTCTCCGATGCCAGTGGGGCGACGATTGCCCGCAGCGAATCCGGCTCGCGACCCCATTCCAAGGGCTCCTACACCTCTACGGCCGCTTCGTCTTCAGGACGGGCGTCCCCTTGGGGGGGGAATGGTCGAGGGCCTTCCAGACGACCACAGTACAAACCTACGTTGGATGACTGGAAGCGGACCCCGAAAAGACAGTCGACGGTATTGCACTCGGATCTGTCGTATGTTAGCGCCGGATCGCTCGTGGAGCCCTTTGCAGAACCGGAGAACGACAGCGGCGATGCCCAACACGCACTGCGAAAGGTCCTCCAGGAAAGAGGCCGGATCCCTCGCCCGCACACTGTAAGCTATGGCTCGCGTGCTAGCCGCGGCGCACGCTCCCTGGCCCATCTGCGGTCGTCTCCGCCGCGTTTTGGAGCCGAGCTTGACCTCGCCTCACGCACGACCAATACGTCCCCCACGACTATGACTGACCCCGACCTTGCCACGCCCATCACCGACCGCTTCAGCAACCCAAGCAATGGAACCAGATGCATCTGCAATTCCATGGACAACGGTGGCCACTTGATGATTCAATGGTAAGCACTGTTGTCTAGAACGAGACCGAACGAACAGCGACTGATTGATGAGCAGTGAATCCTGTAGCCACTGGCTGCATACGAAGTGCGTTGGTCTGGAGCGGGCCAATCTGCCGTCGGTCTATGTCTGTCTCTTCTGTGCCCAGACTCCCACCCGCAAGAACAACCGTATCCGGGTGCCCGTGGGAGCTGTTGAGCCTGCCCCAACCTCACCTCTCGCTCATAAATCCTACCGATTCCGATGAAAGTAACGACCCAGCGTCCCCTTGGCGCCTTTCACTTTTCTGTGTACCATTCCCCTCCCCCCGGGTTCTTGTACGACTTTGTGCCGGTCTACTTCCCGGGTGAGTTCTTTATGCATGGAGTCTTGCCACGGCAGGCCATGCCTCTTTTCTTGCCGACCGGGTCTCCTTTGTTCCTCTATGCGCCCGAGCTTAGACATACCCTTTTCCTTGAGACATGCCGCTCCGTCCATTGACGGCCATGTATTCGCATCCCAGCTGAAGACTGGATGTTTCCTAATTGTCCTATTAATGGCGGTGAAGCCGAGATACCTGTACTGTGTATGTACCACTGTTACAAACATGAAGTTCTTCCTGTATTCTGGAATGTAGCCACAATGGTAGTAGTTGTACATTACTTGTTGTCCGAGCCTCCGAGCGCCGATCTATACCGTATACTTCGTAAACGCAATACCGTACCGATCAAGGCGGTGAGTGGTCCCTGGTGAGATCTGGAATTGGCGGTCTCCGATTGGCGGACCTGAGGCTTATCGGCTCACCGCCCGCGATAGCACGTGTGGTTCCCCGGGCTGAATGATTTTCGCCCGGCATCGGTGACTCCTCCGATTCCCTTCCTGTCCCTTCCTGAGCGTCTCTTCTTCTTCTTCCTGTCCCTCCCTCGCTCTCCTCTCCTCCTCGCCTCGCCTCGCCGCAGATGTCCGCCTCCCTCCCCGGCAATCGGGACCTCCCGTCGTCCCAGTATGACCTGACCACCTACTGGGGCCGCGTGCGCCATTCGGCCGATCTGGCCGACCCGCGGTGAGTGCGGTGAAAAAAACGAAAGTCCATTGTGTGTGCGCATGCTGATACCCATTTCCGCAGGACGCTGTTCGTCTCATCCGCTGGATTGGACCAGGCTAAGAAGCTGGTCTCTTCGTACAAGCAGAACCTCCTCCCCTCGATGACGCCGGATCTGTGGCACGCGAAGAAGGTGCTGGATTCCACCCTACACCCGGGTACGTTTCTCTCTTTTCGCTGATTTGTGGGCGAGTTGGATGCTCATGTTGAACGCAGACACCGGCGAGCCGGTCTTCCTCCCCTTCCGCATGTCCGCCTATGTCCTCTCCAACCTGGTCGTGACAGCTGGTATGCTCACGCCGGGACTTCAGGTAAGAAGAACTACTACACCGCTGTCTCCACAGAGACGCGTAGTGTACCTCTGAGGACGGTTCACTGACCATTCAAGACTACCGGAACCCTCCTGTGGCAGATCGCCAACCAGTCCCTCAACGTGGCGATCAACAACGCCAACGCGAACAAATCGACCCCGCTGTCCGTGTCGCAGATCGCCAAGTCCTACATGCTGGCGGTGTCCGCGTCGTGCTCCGTGGCGCTGGGTCTGAACGCCCTGGTACCCCGGCTGCGGGGTATCGCGCCCAGCACGAGGGTGATTCTGGGTCGGTTGGTGCCGTTCGCGGCGGTGTCGAGCGCCAGTGCGCTGAACGTGTTCCTCATGCGCGGCGAGGAGATCAGACGGGGTATCGACGTGTACCCGGTGCTGTCGGAGGCGGAGAAGAAGAAGCGCGAGGAGACGGGCGAGCCGATCGAGAGTCTGGGGAAGAGTAAGAAGGCGGCGACTATTGCCGTTGGGGAGACGGCTATCAGTCGTGTGCTGAACGCCACGCCCATCATGGTGGTTCCGCCGTTGGTGCTGGTCCGGCTAGAGAAGACGGCGTGGTTGAAGGCCCGGCCGCGCATGATTCTGCCTCTGAATCTGGGGCTGGTGTTGACGACCTCGCTGTTTGCTCTGCCGTTGGCGCTGGCGGCGTTCCCGCAGAGACAGTCTATCAGCGCGTCCAGCCTGGAGGAGGAGTTCTGGGAGAGGGGTGGCAAGGATGGCCTGGTGGAGTTTAATCGGGGCATGTAGATATAGATTTGGCCTTGGTGTTTTAGAACCCTGCATATTGTAGAGCATTGTGCATATAGAATTATATACATGTATTTTTTTTTTTTCATTCTCCATCATAGATCTGAATTTATTGGCATGCTCGGGATTCGGTTTTATATAACTACACATTTAGTACTCCATCCATCCTAATTCACTACCTTGCCACATGCGGAGAAGTTCTAGTGGATCTACTAGTAGTAGTCTTGTTTGTCTTCTGATTCCAAGACTCACCATGATCCGACAAGATAGCCCAGCCTAGCCCTATCCACTTCTACTTGCGATCCGTACCATACCTGTCCGGGTTATATCCGTATGGTTAGTTAGATCATACTTATGACTCACGCCACGTAACTACTACTATAGAACCACCCACACCGAAAACATGAGAACATGATAAATTCCTCCCTTCTAGCCCCCTGAATCCCATTCCCCAGAGCAAACGAAAAGCACCCCAATCCAATCCCATCCCAATATAGAGAGAGAGAGAAAAAGAAAAAAGGAGAACAAGACCGCCAAAATGAATACGGTCCCACCAATCCTCACCCCGCGGCTCACCCTAACCACCCTCACCATCTCCGATGCGGCAGACCTGTATGATATCCGTGGCCGCGACGAGGTCATGAAATGGAGGTACGCACTGCCCACTGCCACCCACCCACCCTCTTCTCCAAGCTCCACACCAACTCTCTCTCTCCGCAGCCAAAAAAAAAAAAAAGCAAAGAAACAACTGAAAGAAACAACGAATGAAAGAAACTAACCCTCGAACAGTGTAAAAGGCTCCCCCGACGCCACCCTCGAAGAAACAACCGCGTGGCTAGCCAGATTCATCGCCGAGGAATTGACCGCGGACTTCGGCCCAAGGGTCGGATTCGCTGTTCGCGAGCGATTCCCATCCCCATCCACACCATCCTCCTCCTCCTTATCACCATCACCATCGACATCACCACCACCACCACCACCACCACCACCATCAACCATCCCCCCCGGGAAAATGATCGGCATGCTCGGCATCCGCCTCGAACCGTACACATCATCCTTCTGCCCCGCCACGCAAGCAGCCAGCGGCAAAGACCGGTGGGAAATCGGGTACATCATGCACCCCGATGCCTGGGGGAAGGGGTACGCGAGCGAGGCGGTGGGGGCCGCAGTGGGGGCGTGGTTCGCGGGGATAGTGGGGTCGGAGGGGATTCAGCGGGGGTATGTGGGTGCGAGGGGGGAGGATGGCGTGGTGGAGGACGGTGTGTGGGCGATGGTGAATGGTGAGAATGGAGGGAGTATTAGGGTGTTGGGGAAGTGTGGGTTTGTTGGACGCGGTGGGGAGGGGGAGGGGGAGCCGGAGGTGGTGCGTGAGGGGGATGGGAGGGTGAGTTTGGTGTTTTGGAGGGGGAAATAGGATTGATTAGTAGGATTGAATTGAATTGAATTGAATTGAACAGACGGACATGAGAGGGAGGGATTGGATAATGGATGTATGTATATATGTATGATCATTGAATAGAGGTGTATGGTATGTTGTGTCTTGCATAAGCACATCATGTATGGTATGGTCTGTATGAGCTATCAAAGCAGGAAGGAAGTAACACCATATGTAACAGAAACAAAATAAGTAACCCCGACCCATAACCCATGCTCGATCCATTCGTGAAAACTCATAAGTCGGTATATATACATGGCAGTCGGACGGACGGTGCACTCTATCTCATGCCATGGGGATAGGCATGAGGTCGTGGGTACAGCACGCACGCACTACCTAGGCAAGAAGCGAACGGGAAGAAGGGGTCATAGAAAACACCCCCCCATGCAAGAAGAAAATCCGGTCATGTCACCAGCGCCTGAAAAGCAGACGGACGGTCAATAAGTTCCGAGTATAGAAGATGAGAAGAATCACATCGACGATGCTGCGATAGATAGAAACGAAGAAAGAGAAAAGCAACAACGAAATTCCCACAAGCCCATAAACCCAGCCCCTGGACGTAGAAATCGATCAAATCAAACATAAACGGTATGTCCCTCCGGTAATAGATATGTCGTCCTGCTTTTTTTTGCTCGCCGGGGATCGCGCGATGCCGCCGGCCGACTGTGTGTCCACAAGGAAGAGCGCAAATCCCATACACCTGGCCCTGTTCGGGCTTCAACTCCGTATCCCGGGGAATCCATCCTGTACCTCCACTGGCATACCACATCATAAACGGCAGCACGGTCCCATGCCATCCTGCTAATTATTATCCAAAATAACGATCCTCTATCGTAGCTGTACCCATACATTAACCGTCAAGGCACGCCCCTTGGTATCGAGGCTCGCATTAAGTGCCCTGCCGAGGCCAGAATCAGCGGCGTTGTTGGGTCGTACGTTGCAGCTGCTCCCCAATCCGCAGGGCTTCGGTGCCGTCATCCACCAGTGACTCCTTGAACCATGGGTGTTTCAAAGCCTCCTTGGCGGTGATGCGGTTCTTGGGGTCATACACGAAGATCCGCTGCAGAAGATCGAGGAACAGTTTGTGAAACTTGGTGTTGGTGGGGATAAAGTCCTGCTGCCGTTAGCATCGCACATCAGCAAGACTCGGACTGGCCTACCGGAAGTGGTTTCATGGCCCTCACGTACTTGCGTGAGGCCCGAGTGGTCTGATCGTTAGGATACTCGAGTCGATTCCTAAGGAAATATCTAGGACGGTCAGCACGTTCCACGTTACGACCGCGGGCTACATACTTGGCGGACTGGTTCTGGCTCCCGCTGCGCCCCCCCTGCATGACCTGTCTGACCAGCCGGAGGTCGATGCGATCTCCGATGACAGCCTCCATCATAGCAAGGTGCTCCAGATTATCATGGGTCTGGAACAGGGCATCACCCGTGAAGAACTCCACAAGGATGCAGCCGATACTCCAGATGTCGCACGGGAAACTCCACCCGAGGTTCAGGATAATCTCGGGCGCCCGATAGTGCCGTGTAGACACGACGGACGAGTGATACTCATCGTCGAATGTGGCAGATCCAAAGTCGATCAGACGGATCTCACTGTCCAGCAAGACCCGCCGTTGCCGGGCGCTCCGGGAGATGGCATGTGAGGAGGACGGGATGGTACGGTTGTAAGTGAAGGTCTGATAGGCGTTGCTGACAAGGAGAATGTTCTCGGGTTTGAGGTCGGTGTGGATGAGGTTGAGGTCGTGAAGAACTGGTGGGTCAGCATGGTTCAGAAGCAAAGGTCAGTTGCACTTACAGGCTACACTGGTGAAGAGTTGTCGGGCAAAGTTTTGAATCTGGCTGCTGGGGAAAGGCACGAAGCCGTTCCCCTTGAGAAAGTCGAACACACTCTGCCCCAGCAGATCCGTTACGATGCAAATGTGATTCCGGTAGTCGAAACAGTCACGTAAATGGATGCATTTGTTGCGGTTCTGCTTGTCGTTCGAGGCCAGTGTGGACAGAACTCGCAGTTCGATCCGCGAGGCATCTCGGTACTTCTGGATGGAGCGGATAATCTTGATTGCGCACCGGGTCTTGCGCTGCTTATCAACCGCCTCGACGACTTTTCCGAATGTCCCCTGTCCGAGGAGCTTCATGATCTGATCTGTAGGCACATTAGTATGCACTCAACGGAGTGACAGCGAAGAGCTTACATCGGTCGGTCAGGTCTGTAGTCGGGGTGACAATATAGTGGCCATCTTCGTCATCGTACTTCTCACCCCGGGTGGCATACTGCGGTCGCAGGTTAGCATGTAGCTCTCAGGGAGGCTTGTCAGTCACTTACATCGCGGATCACAGGTACCGGCACATCCTTGGCCTTTATGGGCGGCTTCGGCGGCGGCACGTAGCTCAAAAATGCATCACCCGCATTCTCCAACTCGCGGCGCTTCTGCTCGTCCCGAGCGGATTTCCGGGTTGTGACTCGCTTCCGCTTTTGGCCGACATTGGCATCGTCGTAGATAATTCCGTTGCCGGCCCCCGAGCTGCCCTGTGATAGGGAGGTGGGCGCTGTGGTGTGCAGAGATGTTGTGCGGTCCGTGGAGAGCGACGCGGCGGACGACTCTTCCCCGTAGTGCTGGGGGTTGATCGAAAATGAGGGCCGATCGTAGTACCCTAGATCGTACGCCGTCTCCATGCCCGTGCGACGTCTCTTGCCTGCGGGTTGGGGCACGTTGCCGTTGGGCGCCGGCACCGCAGACGTCGCCGCGAGCGTGCGCGAGGCAGCCTTGGACTGTTCCGGAGGAGGCGTATCGTCGATGACAATCACCTCCTTCGGAATACCGTTTTTATAGAACTCGCCCCAGTTTGGCTTCCTCCTGCTATTCTGCGCGGTGGGCCCGGCGCCCACACCGTTGTGGGCCGGAGGCATTGTGGTTGTTGTGGTCGTAGTCGAGGTCGTGGCAGCCGGGGTTGGTGCGGTAGGCATAATCTTCGGAGACTGAGCGAAAGGAAGCGTGGTGGTCGGTGCGGGGACGGGGTAGGGATACGAGGAAGTGACGAGGCGAGCGGTGCCTGCGGCGGACGTGGTCGGATAGGATGCGTTCGGTTGGTAGGGTTGGTGATGGGGGTATCCGTAGTGTTGCTGGTGATGCGAAGGATGCGTCGCGGTAGCCGTGGAAGGGGTGGACATGATGTAGTGAAAAAGAACACAACCGAGAGGACCAGCGGAGAGGGTGAAGGAAAGAGGAGAATGAGGGAGGGTAGCGGAGAGAGGATTTCAGCGTCGCCGGATCGTAGTTGGCCGTCCGAGTCGTCGAGGAGGAGGCAGTGGTTGTAGTCGGAATCTCTCTACCTGGGCGCAGGGGACTGCCTCGAGGCAAACCAGGTCGGCAACCCGGGGGTTCTCGCGTCGATCCCAGGCAAGTGGAACCACGACGGGGGAATTGAGGGGGTATCAAGAATAAAAAGACGAGGATCGTAAGGACGAGAGAAAGGAAATAGGAGGGAGGGAGCGGAAGAGAGAGAGGGAGGGAGGGAGAGAGAGAGAGAGGAAGAGGCGTGGGATGGGATGGGATGGATGAGCGACGAGGCGGTCGGTCGGGGGTGCGTCCAATCCGTACAGCCAGACAGAACACAGTGCGGACGGGCTCTCACAGCGGTCTCATTGGGTCACCGGTCGAGCCGAAAGAGGAACCATTGAGTCGGAGGAGAGGGTGCGCATCGGCCTGAGCAAGTCAAAGAATGGGGAGCATCATCGATTGATTGAGTGAAGGTGTGAAAGGGGGAGGGGGAAGTGTGTTATGGTGGTGGTGGGAGTGGAAGTGGAGGTGGTGATGTTCCGGGCAGGAATTTGGAAAAGGAAGAGGCGATGAGACCTGGTGACTGACGAGTAGACAGTTAGGAGTTGGGGCTGCAAAGGGAAGTCAGTCCCTAACCTGCAACCAGAGACCAGGAAAAAGGAACAGCAACGAGGCGATTAATCCTCATCATCGACTGACTGCAAACAAGAATCGACTGAAAGCCAAACACCCGTGCCAAGGTCTACAATAACACCGGATCTCTCCTTGAATAATGTCTACAATTGTAATCGGTATATGCTGCTCCAATGCGTACGTACTGCGTCCTGACCTCCCGAGTTGCCCTCCCTCCCCAGCAACAGCACCAGCATAGGTATTAATATGAACAGCAAGTGGATGGATGGCGCCTCGCCGCACGAGCGCCAGAGAAGGTTCGTTCGGTTACGACACACGCACCCCCAACCAACACCCTCTCTTGCGCGGCCATTCTGTCAGAGTTATTGGGCCTGCTGGATCAATCAAACCTCCGAGCCCTCGCTGGTCGGCGAAACACCCTCGAACGAGTCCAACCCGGGCTTCAGGCTATTCTGCTTCTTCTTTCTTCCTCCCCCTTTTCGCTTCAGTCCTGTCCGGTGATCCTGGAGCGCGGCAGCCGATTATTGACGGTGAATCATCAGAACCACCAGAACCACTAGTCATCCCCAATCCCAAACAACGATCTGGCACGGTGGTCGTAGGCGCAGATCGCAAGGCGCATCGCATCCCGTCAGCCCCGGAGGCAAAACATAGCGCCGGAGTTGAGGCGAGTCTAGGCTTCGCAGCGCTGGAATGATGCTCACTGGTCCAGTCCTTTCTTCCGTTCCCCGAAATGTCCCTTCCATTCAATAATTAAATCGAACCGATGGCCCGTTGTTAGGTTCTTAGAAAGAGGAGGGGGGGCACCAGAGGGGTCGGTCCATGGATGACGGCATGGCAGATATGTCCAGACCTCCCACATTTCAGTCCCTCCAGTCTCCCCTCATCTTCCCTTTCTCTGTCTCACTGTATCTCTGCTGTCTCTCCTGTCTCTGTGTGTCACAGGCACTGTCCGTCCACTCGAAAAAGTGGCGAAAACAGAAAAACCTGCGTGCCGGGCACCTTTACGCGGGCGGAGGGGGGGAGAGGGGGCCTGCATGACATGCATTTTCCGTCCATTAATCAGTAATCTGCCTGGGCGACGGAGGGTCAGCCCGGAGGTAGGTTCAACGATAACCCGGGGGCGGTTCTAATTGGAGGGGCCTGTGGGCATCTCCGCTTTTCGGCCTCTCCATCCACTTGTTTGGTTCCTGCTCCCTGATGTCATGTCTGGAGGCCTTGATCGTGTCTGGCGGGTTCTTCTCGCGAGTCGCTTGACCGCCCTTCGGCTCGCGACGCCGTTGTCTGCAGACGCAATTCACCCAAGGAGAGGAGGACAATGTGACCGTCAAGTTCAAGGGCATCGCATGCCCCCCCAGTAGATTGGAGGGCAGAGGACCGCCAGCCCGTCCGAGGCCTGCGCCTTTGGTCCCGCCCGGGTCCCGGAATGCTCTAGCGCCCGCCCTAGCCCCAACCGGCAACGCCGCGCTTGGCGTGCAGCCTCGATGCCTGATTTCTCAGGTATGAAATCGAGGTCTCAAGCCGCCCTCATATTCTACGCTGGACGGGTGCTACTGGATACTTAGCTACTGCAGTGTACATTCATCCGTCGGGGTGTTTTTACCGGATGACAATGCCATTGATTAATAAGAAGAAGATCCGAGACTGCGACTAGATGCTGCGGAACCAGCGTTGCTCCGCATTGCTTATTTCATTCCTGCTCGGTTGTTCGCCTCATTTTCCCGTCGCTGGTGGGTTGCCCGGCTCCCTCGGGGCGTCGAATCGTCACCCGCCAGGTGTCGTGGAACCTTCACCGATCATAAATTAAACAAGTATGGAAAGAAGGGGAAATGTCATCAGATGCAAAGGAACACGCAGAGGGGGTCTGGTAGTCTCGCAATACATGAGAATCCGATGAGTCAATGCACATACAATAAATAGTAGACACGAAGGGAGAGCGAGCGAAAGAGCACTGCTTTGGGAGTATGCCACATCGTCACATAACCACGATCCTGCGCAGTTACGGAGTAGCCCTGAAGGGTACGAAAGTTCAGTCGACTCGGTCCTCCTTGACATCTTTGGAATAGGCTTTTTGAACGTGTCGAGGGCCTCGCCCATCCAGCTCGAGCATAAACAGAACATCGCGGACCTGGATGCCAGCGCCCTTGTCCTTATCCTCTCGCCAGGTTCCAAGCCGTTTCACGGGAGCGGCCGCAGGCTCCCCGGAACGTCCAGCTTTGTCAGGGGTGGCAGTCGGCGTGGCGGTGTTGACTCGTGATGGGGTGGAGAATCCACTGCCTCCGGCTGATCCTCGATTTAACCATGAATATGACTTCTTAGCTCCGAACATGCGACCTGACAACATGCTGTTGGTAGCCATGCGTGCGGTCTCCACCGACTGTTGATGCTGCTGGGCCTCGTTGGCTTTCGCATCCATCATCTTCTTGGCTTCCTTCTTCGAGATCCCCTTTTTATCGAGACTAGGCGGTCTATCCCCGATCGGCGTAGAAGCACCGGACCCGGGGATGTCCGCGGACTCCGACCGACTCGGTGCACCTTCTCCCAGGATGGCACTCGCGCTACGCTTGGCACGTTTCGCGGCCCGTGTATCTTCACTGGAGTTATCCCGGTCCATAAGCAGACGATACTTCTCAGAGATTGCTTTCGTTCCCGATTGCTCGGTCGCAGGTAGGGGTCCTGTAGCACTGTTAGCTGTATCCAAATCGTTTCAGAGACATGCGCATCATACGTTTGGCTGGAGTGCTGGGGTTTTCAGTGTTCCCATTCACTGCCTTGGCCGCCGTCGCCACGTCCTCCCACTCTGAAGGAACAACTCCGTGAGAATGTGCGCGCCGACTTTTCGCTAATGTCGAAGAATAATCGACCACCGTTCGTAGCCGCTCCTCACACGAGATAGACATCAAGCTAAGAATATCCAGCAGAGGCGCCCCGGTTTGGTTCAGGATTGTCTGCCCGGACCGTATGATCGATGAACCATCGGGTCCGGTGACTTCAATCGGCTGTTGACGCCCTGGCACGGGATGGTACAAACCTTCCGCCGGGATGCGCACACCCAGCTCAAACCCCCGCTTCTGTAACTTCTGCTCCAATACCTTCGTCAATAGGAACGAGTGTTGCAAATGGTATTGCGCCCGCCTGGCTGCCTCAGTGTCTTCTCGAGTCGGCTCGTTCGGATCTTTGAAAGGAGCAGGAGGCTGCGGGGGTGGCTCCGTGTAGTAAGAATCCTGGCTCGACTGGGGTTTGTAAGGCGATGGATCACCATAGCCAGGTGTCGTAGAAACCGTCCCCGTGGTGGATGTCTGTGAAGTGAAAGAGGCGTTGACAGCGGGCGGTTGTGACTGCTGTTGTGGCATGGGCGGCTGCTGAGGGCGAGGTGCCTGTTGGGCTTGTACCCCAGGACCCGAATAACTGCTCGTCAGGTAGGCCTCTTCCTCACGTACGTCAATACCTGATGACGCCAGCACGTCCGTTAGCTCTGCAGCATCGGTCGCCTTGTCCGCCGGGCGGGACGGAGGACCCATAGCGCCAGGCGGGGGAGGTGGAGGAGCTGAAGTTTGAGGCATGCCGTTCATATTCATGTTGGGGTTCATGTTTTGATTCATGTTGGGGTTCATGTTGGGATTCATGCCCTGATTCATGCCCTGGTTCATGTTTTGGTTCATCCCGGGGCTCATGCTCTGATTCATACTCGGATTCATGTTGTGGTTCAGGTTAGGATTCATGTTGGGATTCATGCCGGTATTCATGCTGGGATTCATGCTGGGATTCATGCTGGGATTCATGCTGGGATTCATGCTCTGGTTCAGGCTTGGACTCATGTTGGCTCCATTTAACGGCGCGGGTGACTGGTGTTGTGGCTGTTGCGGTTGTTGTTGCGGTTGGTGTTGAGGCAGTTGCAGAGTTCCAAAGCTGGGAGAAGCGTAAGGGGATTGCGACTGAGGAAGAGGTGAAAGACGCTGCCGCTTGAAAGGCGGAGGAAGACCACCACCACCATTCACTGGCGACGGGGCACCAGGCGAGGGTGAAGAACCCGGCGGGGAAAAAGACTGGGTGAGATGTTGAGGTGGGGGTTGAGGTTGCGCCATGATGACTTATATCTCTAGGTCCAGCAATAAATTTGAAATAAGAGGATGAAGGTCGAATGGGGTCGCGACTATGGACGCCGGATGGGGATGTTTCGCGTCTGTAGAGAACTGAGCGGATTGCTTGAACCGCCACCGCCACCAAGTGTAACCATCTCAAGACATCGGAAGTGACATAGGAGGCAGTGAATGGCGCTGGGATGTGTTATTTTGGGCGGAGGTCGGGGGTGTATGTTGGTCGGTGGGGGGATGAATATCAGCTTGGCCGGGGGAAGTGTTGCTGCTGCGCGAACGGGAAGGGGAGCTTCCACCGGCGACGAGGTTTGCTTCCAGAGATCCGCTCGGGACGGGTCACGTGGTGCGGCTTAGGTAAGGCCAGCCGCGCCATGTCGGGCCTGCGCTTCTTTTTCCCATCCCCGTGTCTTGTCTGTCTGGCTCGTTTTGCTACAATCGGGACTGGGAATGGGCCACGATCGGAGTTATTACACTGTCGGGTCTGTCGCTTGAGGAATTGATCCCGCGCTCGTCTTGTCACTCCTATGATAGCCTGATTTTGGATTGCTCCTTACGCCTGCCATGCCCTGCGTATCCCGCGTCCACTAACATCAAACACAACAAAGGCAGCTAATTTGGAAGCCCGTCACTAATCTCAGGAGCTCCCATCTGCTATCGATTTGCGCATTCGAAACTCGCTACTCGACATTTTCCGCGGCCCAGTACTGCATTGCTGAGTTCAGTTAACTGAGCCATCTACATCATGGCGACAAAGCGCAAGGCATCGGCGTTGAATCCCCTGGTCGACGATGAACCGGTCGATCCGACAGACGAGCTGGCTTTCTACTGCCTAGGCGGTGGAAACGAGGTCGGGCGATCATGTCACATCATTCAATACAAGGGGAAGACGGTTATGGTGTGTTATCCTGGTGGTGTCTCTCGATCTCAACACTGCTAACTCCGACCTCCTTAGCTTGACGCCGGCATGCACCCTGCGAAAGAAGGGTTCTCGGCTCTTCCCTTCTTTGACGAGTTTGATTTGAGTACGGTGGATATTCTTCTGATAAGCCAGTACGTGGGACAATCTCTCCTTTGTATCCCCCGAGTGTTTCCTGTCTCGTCCTTTTTGAGCAAGACGGTTTCGTTCACAACCGACGGTGGTATTCTATCCCACGCCTGTCCCCAGTTTGCTCGCATGGGGGGCTATACTCGCCTTGGCGATGTCTGCCCTTACAATTGGTCATGTAACGAGAAAGCAATACAATATATGCTAGCTATTCATCTTGCGCTACACGTTGTACCTTTGTATTCATGCATTCCATGCAGTCTTCGCTCCTGCCGTTGCATCCAGCTCTTATTTGGCGATCTTAAATCGGACAACCGGCTGATAGATACCTTCGACGCATAGTTTCCACGTGGACCACTCTTCTGCGCTTCCCTATGTGCTCAGCAAGACCAATTTCAAGGGTCGCGTGTTTATGACCCACGCCACCAAAGCTATTTATAAGTGGCTGATCCAGGATAACGTGCGAGTGAGCAATACGGCATCGTCGTCCGATCAACGTACCACCCTGTACACTGAGCATGATCATCTGTCCACGCTTCCCTTGATCGAAACGATCGACTTTAACACCACACATACAATCAACAGCATTCGCATCACTCCCTACCCTGCTGGCCATGTGCTTGGCGCTGCGATGTTCCTGGTCTCAATTGCCGGTCTAAACATCCTTTTTACCGGCGACTACTCTCGCGAAGAAGACCGGCATCTGATCCCAGCAGAAGTCCCCAAGGGTGTGAAGATTGATGTCCTGATTACCGAGTCGACATTCGGTATCTCGTCCAATCCACCCCGGCTGGAACGTGAAGCGGCTCTGATGAAAGCCATCACCGGAGTTTTGAATCGCGGTGGCAGAGTCTTGATGCCTGTCTTTGCCCTAGGTCGCGCCCAGGAATTGTTGCTCATTCTTGATGAATACTGGGAGACCCATCCGGAGCTGCAAAAAATACCCATCTATTATATCGGAAATACGGCTAGAAGATGTATGGTCGTGTATCAGACATATATAGGTGCAATGAACGATAACATTAAGCGGCTCTTTCGTCAGCGTATGGCGGAGGCGGAGGCTAGCGGCGACAAAAGTATCAGTGCGGGGCCCTGGGATTTCAGATTCGTCCGAAGTTTGCGCAGTCTGGAACGCTTCGACGATGTAGGAGGATGTGTCATGCTGGCCTCTCCGGGTATGCTTCAAACGGGAACAAGTAGGGAGCTACTGGAGCGGTGGGCCCCGAATGAGCGCAACGGTGTTGTCATGACGGGCTATAGCGTGGAGGGTACAATGGCCAAACAGATCCTGAACGAGCCGGAACAGATCCCTGCGGTGATGTCAAGAGCGTCAACCGGCCTGGTGAGGCGAGTCATGACTGGAAATGAGGACGAGCAGAAGGTTATGATTCCCAGGAGGTGTACTGTGGATGAGATCAGTTTCGCCGCCCATGTAGATGGAGTGGAAAACCGAACTTTCATTGAAGAAGTTTCCGCGCCAGTTGTGGTATGTGGTCCATCATGTCCGCTTTATGCTTCTTTTTCTCACCTTTCCTAGATTCTCGTACATGGCGAGAAACACCAAATGATGCGACTCAAATCGAAGCTTCTCAGCCTGAATGCAGACAAGACCGTCAAAGTCAAGGTCTATACACCGGCAAATTGCGACGAGGTCCGCATTCCGTTTAGAAAAGACAAGATCGCGAAAGTTGTGGGCAAATTGGCTCAGATTTCGCCTCCCACAGAAGAGGAAGATGGCCACCTCATGGCTGGTGTCCTTGTTCAAAACGGGTTCAACCTGTCATTGATGGCACCTGATGACCTTCGCGAGTATGCTGGTCTGACAACGACGACGATCACATGCAAGCAGCACATCACATTGAGCTCTGCAAGCATGGACCTGATCAAGTGGGCTCTAGAGGGTACTTTTGGTGCCATCGAAGAGGTTGGCAACCCCCAACAAGAGAAAATAAAGGAAGAACCCAAAGCCGACTCGGAGACCCCCGATGGGGAGGAGCAGGAACCGAAAGAGGCTGCAGATGAGGAGATCCCGATGGAAGATACACAAACCTATCTGGTCATGGGCTGTGTGCTTCTCCGATACTACCCCCGTACTCGCGAGGTAGAGTTGGAATGGGAGGGAAACATGATGAATGACGGAGTCGCTGATGCAGTTATGGCCGTTCTTCTCACTGTTGAGAGCAGTCCTGCGTCTGTAAAGCGTATGAAGGCCCCCGCTGAACTGTTTTTGCGTATTTTGCTAATAATCTCTGCAGAATCTGCGAAGCAAAACCACCACCACCATCATCATCACAAGCACAACGACACCCCCCAACTGCCCAATCCCCATGGATATTCAGGCCCGGAAGAGCGTTTCCGTCGTCTTCTCATGATGCTTCAGGCGCAATTTGGATCCGATATCACCCCCATTGAGCGTCCCCGACTACCTCAAGATCAGACGACGAATGGCAAGGATGGAAAAGATGGAGAGACCCCTGTGAAGGAAGAAGAGGACGAGAATGAGGATGACTTCACGGAACTTGAGGCAGTTGAGCTTGCCCGTCTGCATGCTCTGGGCATGCCTTTCCCCGGCCTCGAGATCAAGGTCGACAAGCATGTTGCCCGCATCTGGCTCGAGGATCTTGAAGTGGAGTGTGCCAACGCGGTGCTGCGGGATCGGGTCCGCGTGGTCATTGAAAGGGCAGTGGAAACCGTGGCAAATATGTGGACGGAGGGCCCCCTTCCATCGGCTGCAAACGGTGAGGGGAAAGAGGTTGTCAAAGACCCTTCCCTCGCCAAGGCCGCCGCAATCGAAGCTGATGCTTGAAGATAAGTGACATGTATCATTAAATGTTTATTTTCCCTCTTGTATCTGCTCTGCTGTTCCATAAGGCGAACATCAAAAGACAATGCACAGCTGAGTTTGCTGTGTGCTTGTGAAGAGAATATAATGATTGAATATACACTCTGGTTTTGATTTTAAACTCCAATTTCAAATCCGATTGGCATAAGAGACATACTTAGATAGCTTGCACCATCCAAACTATTTCAATGATCCCTTATGAATTGTGTAAACTATACTCATATGGAAGCCCATTGCTGAGTGGCCGTAGGTCATGTGCTCCTCACCCAGATCTTCTGTCTACAGCCTCTTCTTGTCCATCTTCTTCCAACCACCCTAAGCCGCATTCACCTTCGCAAACACTGCCTCAATCACCCTCCCCGCGGTGTCAACGATAATATCAATCTCCTCCTTAGTCACATTATATGGCGGCGCGAGAAGCACATGATCCCCCTTCGTGCAATCCACAGTCCCATTCGAAGCATACAAAGAGATGCCATGCGACGGATCCAGTCCCGTCTCCTGAACTTGAAACGCCACTCCTGTCTCGGGACTAAAGGGCTCTTTACTTTCCCTATCCTTGACGAACTCAATCTGCAGTATCAACAGTCAGCGTAACTCTATTCCCGCGCTTCATAAGGAAGTCAAACTTACCCCCCAAAACAATCCTCTCCCTCTAATGTCCCCTACGTTAGGATGATCTCCTAGACATCCCCGCAGCCGTTCCTCCAAGTACGCTCCCATCTTCCTGACATTCTCGAGCAAGTTGTCCCTCTGGATGATCTTCTGCACGGCTAACGCTGCAGCACACGCAACCGGGTGTCCTTGATATGTCTGTCCATGTCGGAATACGCCTGTGCCTCTGTCCATCACCTCAACGACCTTTTCTCCGATCAGAAGCCCCGAGACAGGGGCATATCCGCCTCCCAGCCCTTTGCCAATGGTCTGAAGGTCAGGAACAATGCCCTCCTGTTCCCAGACATGCAGGGTTCCACAACGACCCATTCCACTCATGACTTCGTCGAGGATGAATAGCGCGCCGTACTTTTCGCAGATTGCTTTCATGGCGGGGAAGTAGCCGGGCACGGCGGCGACGGCGCCGAGGGCCTGGATTGTGGTTAGTTATGAAGCTTATGTGAATGATACATTGGTAAAGAGCAGCTGGGAGGAGGCATACAGCACCGACAACCGGTTCTGCGATGAATGCGCAGACATTATCCGGTCCGACACGCTGGAATTCTCCATCCAGCTCCTCCGCAAGTCGGTTGACATAGTCTGCGTCGCTTTCTCCCGCTTTCTTCCCTCTGTAGGGATAGCAAGGGGACACATGCGAGGTATTGCTGGACAGAAGTGGCTCAAAAGGCTGTCGACGAATCATGTGTCCACCGACGGATAATGCACCGAGTGTGACGCCGTGATATGACGGCTTCCGGGCAATGAATCTGGTGCGTTGAGGCTGGGGGGTTGGTAGCTCAAGAAAATACTGACGTGCCAATTTCAACGCGGCCTCGACTGCTTCGGAACCTACAGTGTATAAGTTTCCTGCTTGCCCTCTTGGTAATATTACAGGCTCTTAAGAACGTACCAGAACTAACGACGAATAGCTTCGATAGCTTTCCCCCTGTGGACTCGGTCAAAAGGCGAGCAAGCTCTTCTGACGCCTCCGTTCCGAAAAAAGCCGTATGGCAGTATGATATCTGGTTAATCTGATTGATCACGGCCTGGCTGACTTCCTCGTGGCCATGGCCTAGACAAGATACGGCCGCACCGCCCGTCGAGTCGAGGAACTTGGTTCCATCCTCAAGGAAGATGTAGCTGCCTTTACCACCGACAGCTTTCTTGGGCACGAAGCGAGTGTCGCGATGAAGGACAGCGCTACGAGTGACGGAGTCTGATCTTTTTGTAAGTCATCTAGGGGCTTTGCGACCCGGTCTTAGGGCTTACCAGATTTGGCCATGACTGGACGAAACGGCAATGCGTAAACTTAACGTATGTGGGGTTAAGAGACTGGAATATTACAGCCAGGGCCAAAGTATGTGAGTCCGAATCCATGCTATTTATGCCTGCGATAACGGTCGCCTATCTAGCTCTCCCTCATTGCTTCGTCCTGTGACTTGGATGTGGAGAGCAAGCGGGAAGTCGGCAATCCGGTTTGAGAAGCCGAGCGGGTGGTTGGCCGTCTCCGCCGACGGGTCGATCTCCGAGCTCTCGTGGTTATCGCGGCCCCTTGAGTCGTCGAGGGCTCCAGCCAGGCGGGGTGTTATCCTCCGCTTCACGTACAGCAGGGAGATAGTTAGATCATTTCTTGACTCATCGACAGTAGATACGTGGAATGGCCCGTTCTGGAATACACGACTTTACATCCTGCCGTCTTCCATTAGTTGATTGCAGGGTGAGTCATGGGCCATGAGCTTCCAGGCATGTGAATGGCCTTTCCTTGGTGTATGACTTGTCAAGGTACTCTAAGTAATGAGCCTAGATTATGAGCTTAGTTGTGTCAGAGATAGCTCATCTTTATGGTGCTGAGTATGGCATATGTTAGTCAGTTTTGCCTTTTCCTGTGTAATTATCCATAAATGGTAGTTCCGCAAGTTGTTCTGGTAACTGTCAGTTACTTGTTAAACTTATTGGAGCTTGAGATAAATCAAAAATCACTTTATTTCCCCTTCAAATGTTAAATCAGTGATAAAAATAGAGGGGTCCCTCCACCATGGTATGTATATATATTGACATTTAAGTCGTCCTTTGGTAAAGGGCAGTATACTAGTAAAAGGAGGATGGAATGTCCGGGCACAGTTGGAACGAATTGGTTATGACCAATCCTGCCACCTGCTGCCCCTGAAAAGTTCACCCTTATCAATTGAATATCCTAGGCTACTTACAGCTGGTTTACAAAGTGATGAAGAAGCATTGATCCAGGATTGCGGGCGGTGGGCGGGAGGGAAGCTCTCCGCTCCGCAGTTGGTTGGCCACTAAAACTCCCTTCCACCATCCGCCATCCGCACAGAAAGGCCAGACTGACTTCAACACGCCCAGGCCACCTGCTCAACCCCCCCCCCCCCTCCCCGCTTTCAACACCACAAACCACCATGTCCCGGCACGCTCAAGTCGAGGAGGTGTACGACTCCGACCCGGAGGAAGTCGCTCCCTCCGAGCCCACCCCCGCCAACCTCGCAAATGAATCCATCCTATCGGCGGCCGGAATCCCCATGGCGGGCTCACAACCCATGAGACAGGCCCCCGAACCCCAGCGCGAAATCCCCAAACATTACCAGTGCCTGTACCCGATATACTTCGACAAGTCGCGAACCCGCGCGGAGGGCCGTAAGGTCGGAAGTGAGCTGGCCGTCGAGAATCCGTTGGCTCGGGACATTGTCGATGCGGTTCAGATGCTGGGGCTGAATGTGGGCTTTGAGCCGGAGAAGCTGCACCCTAAGGATTGGGCGAACCCCGGACGTGTGCGCGTGCTGTTGAAGGACGAGGATGGGAACATTGTTAACTCGAGGATCAAGAACAGTAAGTGCTTTGCCAACCACCGCTTCCGAGGCGCCTGTCTTTAAATGCGTAAAATGGGGTTGTCGTTCTAACCATCCCCAAAGAGCACCACCTCTACATCCTCGTGGCTCAGTACCTCCAAGCCCACCCCACCACGGAAGAATCCCCCTACCGCCTGAGAATCCGCGGACTCCCGATGCCCGAGAAACTGCCCGCCGCGCCTTCTGCCCCTCGTGGCTGGAAGATCGGAAAGATCCTCCCGATACACTCGCCCGCGTACAGTGGCGGCGGAGTCAGCGACAACCCACTCAAGGACGCCATGGCAGAAATGCAGAACATGCAGGGTATGCCTGGCATGCCCCAGATACCCGGAATGCCCGACCTGGCTGGGATGATGGGTGGTATGGGCATGGGCGGTATGGGCGGCGATTCGTCCGCGGGCGGCAACGAAAAGAAGAAGAAGGACAAGAAGAAGGGGAAGGCTTAGGCCGGGGTCGCTGGTCACCTACATAGCTGTTCATGTGGTACATATGCTTCGGGTTGCATTGGCACGGGCGAAAGGCGTTATGTTGCTTGCTTCATACATAGAGGGCACCTCTGCTGTTCTCTTGATACCATGTTGAATGAAATGATTATTGAGGAGGGGATTGATTCTAAGGTTAAGCTCCGTTGCGGATGATTGTCTGTTCCCAGAAAATGTAGATCATTGTTGCCTCTAGTAGTCGACATTTCCCGAAGTAGAAAGGAGCATGTGTACAGAGTGTTGTGTTGACTGCCTGCCAAATGCCATCGACTCATGGATGGTCGGGATTGCGTATGTGGTCGCTGTCATTGGCCGAGGCGGAGCGATCGCCGATAACGCGGGCAGTTTTACCCCAGAGTCACTCTCACTTCCGTCGCAACCCCTCGCGCTTCACCCTCTGCGTCTTGGTCGGCAGTTTCTCTGGAGATACTTACAGGCTAGCGCCCTACTGTCTACTGCTATCTATACGTTCCCCACATGGACTAGGAGACTCATGCGCAGCCCCCCCATGAACCGCCCCCTCGGCCCTGTCGACGGATTCCAGAACCCCGCCACTGCGACCGAGGGATCATGAACACGAGCCCACCAAGCAATCTGCCCGGCTACGGTCAGACAAATGGAAGCCCGGGATCCCAGTTGCAGATCAGCTACGATGGCGCTCCTGCTTCGGGGTCCTCCTCTTCCTCCGTGCTCAGGGCCGCGAAAGGTGGGGGTCGTCAGATCACCCGCAATCGCGCCAGCTACAGCTGTCATACCTGCCGGAGGCGGAAGGTCAAATGTGACAAGGTACACCCCAATCGGAAGCCATGAATTGGGGCCACGAGACTGAAGCATGCAATACCAGGTACACCCGATATGCGGCAACTGCGTGAAAAACGGAACGGAATGCGTCTACGATGTGGCGCCACAAAAGACGGAAGAGTCGCGTTCGGATCAGCCCAAAAATGGACATGGTGTGAAGCGGAGGAGGCAGTCGTCGCGACCACTGGAGGAGGATATCGATGATATACAGTCTATCTACGGCCATTTGAAGCAGACCGGGGCTTCGGAGCAGAGGTCGCAAGCGATTGAGGCGCGGTTGGATAAACTCACGTCGATGATTGAGAGGCTTAGCAAGACCAACCAGCCTTTAGATCCAAAGGAGAAGCAGATCCTCGCGCAGAATGCCAATCTCGAGCCGCCAAAATCGGATACGCGTTTGGGTAGAGGTCCGACCTTGAAGCCCCCCGGGGGTGGTTCTCGCCCAGAGAGCCCGCGTCGCGCGGCTGATTCGAGTGGCGACGAGTTTCCCATTCCTGCCGGCCACGCTACTGACTTGGTGGATCCGGTGGGGAGCTTGAATCTGGGCCATCTCAGCTTGGAGGATGGAGGGAGGTCGAGGTATGTGTTGCTTCGAATCAGGAGGGGTCCGTTCTGACCGTGGTGTAGATATGTGGGGACCACTTATTGGGCTTATATTTCCCATGAGGTATGCTTATTATTGCAACTACTCGGCTGGGCTATGCTAAAGGTCAATAGATAAACGAACTCAATCAGCTTCTCAGGGATCAGAACCGTTCCCATAATGAGGCGCCCGCCAATGAGAGCTCCGCTGACGAGGTCATGTCGGAACCCATGGCAACCGCTCCAAACCGCCACTGGAAGACATCAATTGATAGCACGAGTGAAGCTGCCGAGGAAAGTCTTACCAAAGGCCAATCATTTCAGAAGTCTGTACTGTTTCCGTCAGGTGAATCGCCTTCTGTCATTGACAAGGTCGTTGTACCGGAAATGCTTGAGCATATGCCGACCAAACGCCAGAGTCATATACTTTACAAAGGGTTCATGTCAGGGATACATGCGATTACTCCAGTGATTCATCCACCGACAATCCTTAGGCTTTATAATGCCTTTTGGAATTGGTATGACTCCAGTAGCTACTCAGGGGAGTTCTGCCCCGATCCGTCTTTTATCCCGTTGCTCTATGCGATCTGGTTTGGTGGGTCCGTCACAATTTCAATACGGACCATCAAATCTGAATTCAACCTCTCATCTCGCTCGGGATTGTCGAAAACATACAACGAGGAGGTCACGCGCTGGCTGTCTAAGATATCCTTTCCTCGGAGCCCGTCCCTGCAGGGATTGGCTGCATATCTCATAGTGCAGACGATTCTCTCGAAGGAAGAAGAGCCTTTAACAAGCAGTCTATTCATCAGCCTCGCCATGCGGGTTGCACAGACGATGGGTCTGCATCGAGATCCTGCCAAATTCGGAATTTGTCCCTCTGACGCGGAGTATCGCCGTCGAATCTGGTGGCATATTGTGCATATGGATGGGGTTGTTTCCATGTCCAGCGGTCTCCCCCCTTTGGTCAGTGACGAGAACTATTGGGACGTCCGTGAGACGAGTGAGGTGAAAGACACGATTCTTGGTAGTCCTAGTGCTGAAAAGTATGAGAGGCTTGTCATGACTGGCATGAGGCCCCCGGACAATCCTGACGACCCTACTATATGTGGAGGACCTTCCATGGTGAATGTATATTACTTGTCGGCTCGGGGCAAGTATACGATGGCCCGTAAGTATATTTTATCACATGGCACAAAGAGCTCGACCTAACAGGTTACCCAGGCGCCGTCCGCCGGATCATGAAAATCCAACTGGGCACGAAACCGGTAACCCGAAGGGATATGGAGGAGCTAAGATCGATCTTGGTTGATCTTCAATACAAGTTAAACTCGATCATCAACCGGATCCCGGAAGTCAGGTCTTTTGATGCATCCTCTGCATCATCTACGAGATCATGGTCGTTACCTTCTCAGAGTGAGGCCCACAGCGATACAGAACTTCCGGGAGATGGGCCAAATGGGTGCTCAGAGCAGTATCATTCCCCTGTCCTTGTGTCATTTCACAAGTGGGCGAGGATAGTAATGTCTCTCTTTATTGATAAGGTTAGTATGCCGATTTTGCGTACCTTAAGTCCCGCTGATCAAATTGGCTAGGCTTTCTGTGTTGCCTATCAGCCGTTCCTCAAGAACGCCAAAAGTCGGATCTGGCCGGTTGCCAGACAAAGGTAAGCGATACTCCGAATACTTCTGCAAATTGTCTAACAGCCTACAGTGCCCTGCGACATTGTCATGGGTTCATGGAGAAATTCGTCGCTCTTGCAACCGACCCGGAATTCCAGCCGTTCCAATGGAGCTGGCCTGGTAACCATCAACCGATGCATGCGACAATGATCATGCTTATTGACCTCTACGAGCGACCCTATAGCCCTGAGGCTTCCAAATCACGGGCCTATATCGACAGAATATTCTCCCTCACCGGGCCTGATGGTGGGGTGGTTGGTGGCGAAGACGGCGTCTCGACCCAGCGACCCCTGAAAGACGGAGGCCGCGAAGCATGGGACATGATTCGCCGACTGCGCCAGAAAGCATGGCAGAGAGCCGGTCTCGATCCGCATCGACTGTGGTCTGAACAGGCGCAGATCCAAGCGGGTGTGACTTCTGTTCCCGACGACCCCTGCTACTCCAGTAACACCTCAGTCGCAGGATCACCAACCGCCTATGCCCCAGCAACCTCCCGACGCCAGATAACGGACTTCTCCAAGGTGTTCTACAACATGACTCGGTCTCATCTCCTTCCCAACCCCACAAACAACAACCTACGTCCCAGCCCTCTGCGTTACCAACTCCCCCCTCCAGCCACCGCCTCCACGCAAGCACAAGCACAAGCACAAGCACAAGCACCCCCCAAGTCCCTCATCCACAATTCCCACTCTCCCCAACAGCAGCAGCACTCTCCCCACCTCTCAAGCAAGAACCCTCTCCCCTCCCCGGTTCACCCATTCCCTCACCCGAAAGCATGCCCCCGCTCAACGCCGTCTTCTCAAACACCTTCTCCCAACAACCCCAGCCCCCCATGACCAGCCCCCCCGCCCCCCCTTCCTTCATGGACGTCGCCGTCTCCCCCAATACCCAGCCCATGCCGGGCGTCCCCACCCCGCCGTCGATGGTGGACCCGAACCTAAACTTCGATTGGGACCAGTGGGACGCCGTCTTCGGCCAGCATCTGCCTGTCGCGGACGAACTGATGGAACTCGACCCCGTCACGGGCCTCGAGTTCGGGGATCTGGGCAGTACGAGACTTCCCGGCGCGAGACGCACCGCTAGTCTAGTGGGGAGCGAGGCTGGGATGAGCGAGGCTCATGGTCCCGATTGGGTGGGGTATTGTTGATTCGTTCCTTTCTAGCCTACATGTCTCTAATATTCACTACTACCCCGTTTGTGGAGATCTATTTTTCGAAACCGTTTTTTTCTTTTCTTTGTGACAGACGGCGTTTGGGGGGTTGTTTGGTTGGTTCATTGGTTGGTTGGGTTTAGCGGATATATCCATATTGGTATATAGTTATTGTTTATTTGTTAATGAGATGTCGCCTCTGGAGTGTGAAGATGCGGTTCTGCATGAGAGTAAGATACTACCGTAAGTGACATGGCGAAAAATCTCGATGGTTCTGCAAAGGGCGCGGATTTCGATACGCAGTTTACAGAGATACGAAACGAAGTGGATTGCTCCACATGTAGATAAGAATGAAAAGGGACGTTAACAGCTATGGGATTTCATGAGGCGTGACTTTAATTAAGAAGGACACGGGACAGAAATGCGACGTTGCGAGTGAAGCATAGAGATATCGAGGTCGTAGTTGGGGGGAGAGGAAATATAGCAATAGCCAGAAAGGGTGGAGAAGAGGAGGGAGGTAGAGGAATGGCCATTCCTCTATTTTTGCACCCGGTTGGTTTTTTTCGCTGTCGCTCGCAGGAGGATAATGGATCGCGCAGATCTTCCGGCATCCCATTCTCTCTTTCTTTTCAATTCAGGACAACATTTCTTTCACAAGACTGTTGGGAGGAATTTAGACCTTGATCTCCTCAAGACCGTGCTTCCAGAGGGTAGCGTAGGGGGTGACACCGTCCTCGCGGAAGTCGATGAGGATGTGCCTGGAGATAAGATGTTAGTACTCATGACCGGGAGGGAGAAGGGTTGTGTGGATGGGCCGGAAAAACGTACATAGCATCACCGTCCATGGACTGGCCCATCAGGACATCGTAGTTGTCGTAGTTGGCAAGGATCTTCTTGACGGCACCGGGGGCGCCGGCCTTGAACTCAGCGATCTTCTCGGCGGGGGCACCCTTCTCAGTGAGCTTGGTGAGGACCTTCTTCATGTAGGCTGTGCGGAGAGGCGCAGTCAGTATGGTGTTGTTGTGTTTCGAGAGCAATATGAGAGAAAGATAATATTATGTGGGTGTAGTGGCGGGTGGGAACGTACTCTTGAGGTGACCCTTGAAGGCATCCTTGGAGGGCTTCAGGCCCTCCTCGGTCTTGAGCCAGTTGAGACGGAACTGGTCCTCGATGTCGTGGACCATGACGGCCTCACCCTCACCACCGGCATCCTCATCACCGCCCTCGGCGGAGGGGTTGGCACCCTCGAGGACGAAGTCCTCACCAGCGCGCTTGAGGTACTTCTTGCAGTCGACAGTCCAGAGGACCTTGTCGACCTCCTCGATCTTGAAGGTGTCGGAGAGAACCTCGTCTCCGGAGATGATGTCCTAGAAAGTGAGCATCATGTTAGTCTGAGATGGGCGAAGGACAAGGCATGGCGCGAGGTAAAAGAAAAAAAAAAAAAGAAAAGTCGAAGAGCCAGGCAGAAATCTCCCTGGGTGACCAGAAGGGGGGAAAGAAAAACACGGCTGCATGTATGCATGCATCTGGGAGATTCTGCATTCGGGCTGCTCGCATCAAGTGGGGTGGGGGATGGATGATGGAGATGAGCAGGAACGTACCTGGTAGATAAGCATTTTGACGGTGGATGGAGGGGGGGGGAGGGTATGACAGGGAAAAGAAAGCAGAAGGCAGATGGGAGACGGAGAAGAGGAGAAGAGTGAAAGGAAGAGGGGAAAATTGAAGATTAATATTCCGTGGCGCCTCTCCCTCCCCAACCGCGTGGTGGGGTTTTTTCACGGTCGATTTTCCGTCGCTCGAGGGGCTCGCCCGCGCTAGGCTGCTTCGGGCCTGGTCGACTCGTCTGGCCCCGAACTGGCCTTTGCCGTCGTGATTTTTTTTTCTCCCGTTGCGACGGGCACCGATGGCAAACACTGGTAATCTCGCCTGCAGGGGACCAACTGCTGACTTGGTTAGGTAGGTCCATACGCGGAAATAACCACGGATCTTTCGAACTGGAATCTCAGTCAGTGGATTGGGTGGTGCCTGTCGTGCAGCCTCTGCCCGTAGATAAATACTACCACCACTATCTGCCTGCCTTAGTGTACTTCGTAGCACTAGTTATCTTGGGCAGTCGCCGTCTATGGCCTTGCTGCCTGAGGCGCCACTGGTGTGGCTAGAGAGGGAGACCGGCCTCCGGTACTTTACAGGGCGGTATTTCTGTGACCGAACTGCAGCACACCCTGGTCGGGTCAGCAGGTGCGCTGATACACCGTATGACCGGAAGTCATACCAGACAGTACTCTCCGGACTCGCGATCAGATAGGATGGATGGATCGGTCGGGCTCATCCTCCCGTGGCGCCACTCACGCTCTCCGCCCGTGATTTTTCTGTTTGCTCTCCGGTCGGTCGGTCCTTCATGCTGCGGTCACTCCTGGCATTACTACTGCTGCTGCTACTCCGTACCTACTGCTGCCACTGCCTTTATTCTTATCCTCTCCTGCTCCATTCCCTCTCTCATCCTTTATCCTCTACCCCGGCGCTGCTGCTACACGGTCATTAAAAGCTTTGTTCTTTCTGCGACTCGCCCTAATTAATTTCTTACACAACCAACCCCATCGGTTCTTCGGCACTTGGTGCCATCGCGTCCCCTGACTCTGTGGGCCTCCCTGGCCAGGATCTCGATCATCTAAGATATCTCGCCATCGCCTGCCCATCTTGAACCCTGTCCCGCAGGCCCTGAACCCCCTGGGTATATCTTCTGCCTCGAGCCCGACCGTTGCGCCCGTCTTTCACCCAGCCCTGGTTCCTGTGACATCCGGATTCTTCCACCTTCCGCATCCATCAACTGCCGCCCGCCACGGCCGATGTGGTAGCTCTTTCAAATACTGATCGCGCCTTTCACTGCACAGCACCGGCCCTTGGCCTACTATTTCCATCATGGCCGCCAATGCGTCGGTCGTCTTTGACCTCCCGCCTCTCCCGACTTATACCCTGCTTCCGCGTCCTCCCGTCCTGGCCCCGATCCCCGACAACATCCTCTCCCTGATCCTGCCCGTGGTTGCTTACTGGGCGCTGTCGATGGTGTATCACTACATCGATGTCAATGACTATTTCCCCCAATACCGCCTACATACTCCGGCGGAGGTGCTGAAGCGCAACCGGGTGACGCGCTGGGAGGTCGTAAAAGATGTACTTTTGCAGCAGGTCATCCAGACGATCGCGGGTTATGCCGTCAGCTATTTCGATCCGGCAGAAAGCTTAGGGAGGGAGGAATACGATGTTGCTGTCTGGGCTCGTCGGATTCGCATCTTGCAAAGGGGTCTACCCCATCTGTTGGCGCTGTTCGGAATAGACGCTTTGGGAGTAGGGAAGAGCTTGTCGCACAACGGTTGGGGCATGCTCGGAGGCGCCATCGCAGGCGGAAACTATCCTGGATTCACTCAGTCCGTCATTCTTGATACCGGCGCCGAAGTGGTGGCTCCGGCTTTCACCGGCTGGGAGCTTTCGACGGCCAGCTTTATCTACTGGTATTTCATTCCCGCGCTCCAGTTCATCTGGGGTGTCTGCGTGGTTGATACCTGGCAATATTTCCTGCACCGCGCGATGCATCTGAATCGGTGGCTTTATGGTGAGTACACGATATTCTTCCACGATAATATTGAAGCCGACTAACATCTGCTAGTGACCTTTCACTCTCGCCACCACCGCTTGTACGTCCCGTATGCGTTCGGTGCTCTCTACAACCATCCAGTTGAAGGGTTCCTTCTTGACACTGCTGGTACTGGAGTCGCATTCCTGACAGCCCGCATGACCACGCGCCAGAGCATGTGGTTCTTTACCCTTTCCACTATCAAGACCGTGGATGACCACTGCGGCTACGCCTTCCCTTGGGACCCGCTGCAGCACTTCACTTCTAACAACGCCGCTTACCACGACATTCATCACCAAAGCTGGGGCATCAAGACGAACTTTTCTCAGCCGTTCTTCACCTTCTGGGACCGTTGGTTCGGCACTCAGTGGCGCGGCGATGTGAAGCTCCGCTATGAACGCTCTCGCGAGTCTGCCCAGAAGCAGTTGGACAACGACGCCACTTCTGCTTCTAACTCTGGGACTGACACGCCGGCTTCTGGGAGTGTTACTCCCGCACCCGCCCCCATCCAAGAATCAACGTCTCGATCCCGACGCAGAAAGACCGTGACTCTTTCCCCCCATGTCGAAGGGTTCAAAAGTGTGAATCACGGCGTTGCCAGCAGCGTCCTATAACCGAATGCTTTTTTTCGTGTGAATACTTGGTTCTAATACTTTCTTTACTTATGACGTCTTTCATCGCTCAACGGGCTTTTGGAGTTGCGGGACGCCTCCTGACTACGGCCGTTTATTGTCTGTTTTACATTATCCTTATATGTAATAATACTTCTGGGTCGATGAGTGCCTAATTCTTGTACAATGTCTTACCTCTTGCTCGGGTTCACTGTTAAATCAGACCCCTCTCATGGCCGTGAAATTGGAGAAATGATGACTACCATTCTTTCCTACAATCCTATCCCTCTCAACCCGCTTTCCAACTGATTTATATGAAATGCCATCTCAGCTGTTCTGTCATGTCTTATGTCATTGAATGACCTACAGGTCAAGTAGGAGGCGCGTCTTAAAAACACACATGAAATCAGATTCTATTATACGGATGTATGAACTATAAAAGGCTACTTTCCAAGAACTGAGCGCGAATGCCAAATTACGCCTGCAGTGGCAAGATCAAATCGGCGACGAATACCTCCCATACGCTCCCGGATCCTCTACCCTTCCTCCCTCGGGTTCGGTTTCGGGGAAAGTCATAATCGTCGATCGACCTCGGGGGAAGCCATCTTCATCCAAAGCTTCTTCCTCGATGTCGTGTTCAAAGTGTTCCGGATTGTCGTCGTACTCAAATTGTTCCGAGTTCTCCTCATACTCAAATTGATCCGGGTCCTCTTCCTCGGTGTCCGGATCTATGCGAAGAATGTCCTCCATGTGACTTACGAGATCGGTTAAGTCAGATGTCAAGTCTTCCAGGTTTTCTATCTCGTGGATGGTCAGTAGCCGGTTGTTACGCGAATCGGCATCTTCATCATCGGCAGACCACGAATCCTCCTGCTGCCCATCCGACCTCGCATGATTACTGTTTGCTCGGATGCTGAACGGACGAGCGATTGCTGTCCTGCTGGACGATACCGACCGTGGGCCATTCGAGATAGTGCCCTGACTCCAGGACGCGTACTTGGCAACGATCCCATCGGCAATGGTGTCATAACCCTCACTCCAATTGGCAATGGTGTCATACTCCTCGCTCCAATCTGGCTCACCACCCTCCTGCGCTGTTGCCTCCCTCTCACTCCCCATATATACCTGTACCGTCTCCCCGATATGACCGCTGCCACTTCCACTACCATTGCCAGCATCATTGCCACTGCCACTGCTGTCGCCACCTACGCAACTTCTGATATAACGTTTATCTTCTGCGTCAGCCGTTTGCTCCTTTGCCTGTGCCCTTGCAAGGCTAAACGCTTTTTGCCTGGTGATCTTCACCGTACGCGCCATTTTCGAGCTGCTCAACAGGAGCTCATATGCCTGATCCTCGAAGCAGCTGATTCCCGCCTCAACAAAGGGATACATCCTCCTCAGACGATGCCGGCCCCTTGTCTCATGTCGACTCACCAACGAGACCCGCAAATTATGGAGCGCAGAAGGGTCCGTAACGATCCGAGCCAGCATACACGCCTCACACCTATTTACCTGGAAAGGCAGCGCCCCAATCGGCGGAAAATGGGACTCCCCCTTCTCTTGCTTCCGCCACATGCCCTCAAACGTCTGCAGCGAGCGCAGTAGAGCCAAGACATTGCGATCCAGGTAATCGACAAACCATTCCAATATGGCGTTGTTGAAGGTGACTTCGTTTTTGAGGAGCAAGAACGCGTCGTTGATCACGAACGGGTTGAGCCGTTTGTGCGATTTGCAGAGCGTCGCTGGCTTGGCCAGCCGTTTGGGAATCAGGCGCAAGACCGGATTGCGGTATAGCTGCCAGGGGAGGTGGCAGATGGCAGTGTTGATTTTCTGATGGGTTTCGCATGTGCGATATTGGCCCAAGAAGCGGTTGTGTTTCTGGTCCTTGTCGCTGTCGATGGAGAGAACGTCGATTAGAGCATCGAGTTGAGAGCCGGTGAGATCGGATAGTAGGAGAGGGTACTTGAGTTTGTCTTTCACTTTCGTTCTGTCGTCTTTGTTGTTGTTGTTGCCTTTCCGGCTGTGCTTGATTTTATGGCCGTGTTTGGCTTCATGGTTGGGTTTGTCTTCCTCGCTGTGTCTCTTCCTGCGTTCGGTATGATAGCCAAATTCCTCCTTGTGTCTGTGCTTATGGCCATGCTCATGGCTGTGTTTGTGCTTGTGGTTGTGCTTATGACTGTGCCTGCGACTGTGGTGGCCTTTCCCATAGACTCTGTTGCTTTGGCCGTCCTCGCTGCAACGACAATGGCTGCGAACGCTGTAACTGGGGCTGAAATAGTGGTTGTATCTGCGGCGGTAACTGCGGTCATGACTGCTGCAGCTGTGGCTACCACTGCGACTGTGACCGCGACCGCGACCGCGATCGCGACTCCGACTCTTGCTGCTCTCATATGCGTAAGTGTATCGCGTCCTCCTGCCGCTGCTGTAGCTGTTTTTACCACGGCGACTGCGACTGCGACTGCGACTGCTACCTGGCCCAGGACTGACACTGTCCCACCTGCGTTGGTGTATATTCCCCTGCATACCCGCATGGTATATCTTCGTTGCCTTCACAAACCGTAACATTTCAATGGGATTTAGCGCGATAACTGGTTGCTGTAGCGCGAATGGGCTCTCCTCCTTGGTGCTTGGGCGCGGCTTGCTGAAGAACAAGATAAGGATGGAGAATAGCAAACTCAAAACCCAAATCAGAGACATTTTAACAAAAAGTGACCGGGGTCTGGGGTGCAGATTTATAGGCGGAAATGGGATTCTTCATAGTCGTGTCTCAGGTCTCTCGCTGTAATATAAGGTTTCTGGGCTTGTAGTATTGTAGTAGGGGAGTTCATCGGAGGGTGGCCTCCGAGGATAAGATGGGGAGTATAGGGTTTGGGTTCAAGGATTTCACTGCGGAATGGTATTGCTGGGTTGTGGGTACGGAGGTTATCGTGCTTTTTCTACACTCTTGGGCTGCAGTTTCCGCGATTTGGGGTGTATGGAATAGTATAGAAAGGAATGGTGCCGCTCTGGGGTCGGGTCCTTCCGAGACGTTCTTGGTTCACAAAGGCCTTTGTGTTGGAAGAAACCATGGCTACTTTCTGGGGGATCGACGAGTGGCAGAAAGCTGGAGCTTAGTGGGAAATTCAATTGGCATGGAGAGTTTACTGTCCCTGGGCGATTGCCTCGGTTTCTTCCTACTTGCCCTGACTTGCGGGGGTTTCCTGGGATTCGTCTGGTTGTTGGATGTGGCGCATTACCTTTTTTGTAGAGGGTTGGTGTTCTTTTTTTTTTTTTTTTTTTGAATTGCTCCGGAGTTTGGCATCCTGGAGATTGCTAGAATATGCTGATAGGATTTATTCGAGGAGTGTAGGCTATCGAGTACAGTTTGTTGGTTTTGCCATTCATGATGTTAGGGCTGCATACTATAGCGAGGGATTTTAGTACTGGTTTATTATTAACCAGGGTTATGGTCATGTGGAGAGCTGTAAAAACATTGAGGATGGGAAAAATATATGAGAGACAATAGCAATGGGGTATTAGGGCAAACATTACCATTACTGTGATAGCTGATGGTGTTGTGTTTTATAAAATTGATTTGGGCAGGTCTTGCGGTGGCTTGCGGGTGTATAATAAAATTTGGAAACCGAGAAAAATGAATGAATGAATGGTAGATGAGAACAAAGAAGAGAGAAACAAAGGGTGAAATGTAGATTTCTGGGGTTTGTATGGGAACTGAGAGTTAGTTATGGGCTGTAATACATGGAGTGGAGGGCTATGTAACTTTCATATTGAGGTTCATTATGGCGGTGACATACGAAAATGTAAGGTATATGGATTTGGATATACTTCTTTCATTGCCCGAATAATAATTTTATATCTTTGCAATAAAAGAATGAAGATACTTCGTTAAATGGCTGCCATGAGCATTTCTCATCGTATTTTCACAAGGGATGTCAGCTTCCCGGCGTTTGGAAACTTGACAGCATTCGTCCTTGCAATCAAGAAAGATATCCCCATGACATTTGGATCCGCGGGAATGAAGTTAAGTGGGAAACCCGAATTAAAAAGTTTCACGTTCTCAAGGAAAGAAATTTGCTCGTCAGTATATCTCAGAAAGTCAATGCACCAATGTAATCTGTCTGCAGCTTCCGAAGCGAGTCTCTGAATTCGACATGAATGCTGCGTCGAGAATTACCCGCGAAATTGGCGGACTGGGGTCCCTTGCCCAAGGTATGACCATGGAGCCAGCCCATGAATCACCGATGGACATGGCTCCCAGTTGCAGTGGGGAGACACTCATATTTGGGGGCAAGATATGATGGGGAAGTGAACCGTCGGATCGTAGTACAACCGATCTAGACGGGCTGTACCCAAAAGTCTAGACCCTTTGAGCATCCTGGATGAAGCTCATGGCAAAGCCGCGGTCCTGGACCGGAGGTACGACGAAATATGCAAGGAGGTGCATTTTCGATGCTAGGGCTTAGCGCTGTTTGATGCCTGCGGGGTTGTTCGGCAATTCTGTATGCTACAGACACTATCGTCCTGCTTTCACACCCCTTTCGAGGCTCATCTCTTATGTGCCGCAGGCATGGAGTCCCCCGACCCGTCGCATCCCATAATCTCACCTGGGCTTCAAGTCCCGGCTTCATCGTCTACTGTGGACGTCAGGGTCATTGACACGTAGGTCGAAGTGTAGATATTCCAACCCATGCACAGACCTAATCCTCTACATAGCAATACACGCCTCTACCTGAAGCCAGGGGTCTTCTGGGAACCCATCCTGCGCGGCTTCGACGGGCCACACGCGCCGATATATTGCTTCCTCATATCCCACGACAAACACCACATACTATTTGACTTGGGCGTGCGTACAGACTGGGAGAATCATGCTCCGAAGATCGTGCGGCTCATCAAATCCACCACAGAGGTGACATGCTGCGAGAAGGACGTCGCATCCATCCTAGACGACGACACCACCGACCTAGGTATTCGCAGCACTGACATCGAAGCCATCGTGTGGTCTCACAGTGACTTCGACCACGTAGGCGACCCATCTCGATTCCCCCATACCACCGAGCTTGTTGTTGGACCTGGCGTTAGGAAGCGTTCATGGCCCGGTTATCCGTCCAACCCCGATGGCACCGTTCTCGATAGCGATGCTGCTGGTCGCGTCGTACGCGAAATCAGCTTTGATGGAACCAGCATGAAAGTAGGCGGTTTTGACGCGTTTGATTATTTTGGTGACGGCTCTTTCTATCTCCTTGACGCTCCTGGCCATGCCCCTGGGCACATGTGTGCTCTGGCCCGCACCACGGCCGATCCGCCCTCGTTTGTTTTTATGGGTGCCGATGCGTGCCATCATGCTGGGGTGTTGAGGCCGTCAAAGTATATCCCGCTTCCTCGCCCTATGCCTTCGCGGAATTGGGAGAGCTGTGGTGGGTGTCCGGGGGCTTTGTTGGTGAAGCTTGCGGCGTGGCAGTCTTCCAGTGAGCCGTTCTTCCAGGTCGCGCGCGGGCCGTTGTTCTGCGATCACGAAGCTTCCATGGAGACTGTAGCGAAGATACAGAAGCTGGATGCTGTGGGGAATGTTTTGGTTATTCTTGCGCATGATGCCTCGCTGGATGGACGCCTGGTGTTATTTCCTGAGTGTGTGAATGATTGGAAGGCAAAGGGGCTGGGGGAGGCGACGAGGTGGCTGTTTTGTCGGGAGTTGGAGAACGTGGAGCCTTGATCAAATCCCATGCTAGTGAGGGACACGCATGTGCAAGGCAGGGGGAGACGGCAAACTCTTGGATTTGAAAGCAGCTGGAGATGTCTATTAGAAGGAAGTAAACCGTGGCTTCATGTGACCGTCTTCCAATCTCCAAGAAGCAAGTCTATAGAAGTAACTCATCTGTACTCATGCAGACTAATGTCATACCGTGGGCCAGGTCCTTATCCAGAGTCAAGGGTGAGTATCGCCAAACTCTCATGCAGGCTTATTTACAAGTCTGAACTCGATATGTTTTTTCCACTGATGAGCAGAGAGTGAGAGATCATAGGATATCAGTCTTTCAACCGACTCGGTCTTGAGGGGTCTGATGAAGACAAAATGAACATACTTGATGGCACAGACAGAGGTTCGGGGACTCGATGCTCACCGTACACCCAGACCTGGAATAACCAGGAAGATCATATTAAGGCGAAAGAGTTCAATACATGATTCTTCGACCTGGCGATATCCGCGAACCTATTAGCTTTGCTTTTCCTCACAAGCATTCAATTTCTCTTTGTCCACATTTACGATCTCCACTTAGTACCTCTTATCGTCTTCCTTTCTGCTGTCTACACACTTGTTCCCTTAGCATCAACCACCTACCGGGGGATCCGTAGTGACCTCTAATATGTCGAGACTCGTGGGCGTCAACAGATCTATTCGCCAGGTAAGTTGACTGTCACAAACATGGTCGGATGGATTTGATTACGGCCCATTGACCGATTTGCAATAGAATCTCGACTCTAGGTTCACCAAGAATAATAGCATGGCAGCCTTCCTGGCGAGGATCCCGATCACTTTTACAGAGAAGCAACTTGTATTACCAGTAGATCCCGTCTCCCCTCCAGCGCCCGTTTGTAGGTGCCACTTTATTCCATCGACCATCTATCGAGACAGCGAGCAACTATACTGATTCACTATTTCAACCAAATGTAGATCAGACATTCCATCTAAACGACCAGGGCAAAGCTATATCCAAAAACGCGTCTACTAGCATCTTCTTCACGAGAACATTGATACTCCATGCCGTGCGCGAGGTCACAAAGCCGAAGTGCCACGATTTGGCTGAATTGTTTACTGGGGCAACAGTCCCCTATGGCTATCTGACCAGCTCCAACAATTCTTCTCGCTTTTATCTGGATTTTGAGAAGGAATTTGAACACCTTCATATCTGCGAAACTGCTCCTGACATTCGGTATGCCGGGAGCGCCGACATGGCAATCATAGTGCATCAAGAGAAGATGGAACCTGGAATTCACGTATGCGTTATGGCCAAAGCACCCGGAGTATTTCATATCGCCTTTGATGAGATGATCAGATCACTGGCAGTGATCCAGGCAGGGCGGCATCGGCTAGAGAATGGGGGCACGTATCCGGTGGTCTGGGGAGTTTTGTCTTTGGGGATGAGATACAGATTCATTCATCTCGGCGAGAATCGTGAGTGCTACTGGTCCGGTTAGATTAATGCACACTCGCATTTAGGCACAATCTATGGGTGAATCTGTTGTTTATTATTCGCGAGGCTTACTCGTTGGCACCACAACAGGGATCGGAAAAAAGAAAACGGGAAAGCAGTGAATAAAAACTTCTGGTGATCATAGTTCTCCCGTCAGCCCGTCAGGAGCCGCAAGGTGGAAAGACAACATACATGCTCACCGAGTTCCCTCGATTGACCTTTGCTGGGGAGGGGAGGTGGAAATGTGCTTTCCAGTGGTGACCAGGATTCCCTGTTCCATAGCATGAATCTGAAAGCCCCCATAGCTTGTACATACACACTGGCAACAACACGTGCTTATGGGAGACAGAAGTTCAGCTTCCTGCCACCATGATCCATTCTGATAGCCTGCATAGGACGTAGGAAATATAAAACGGTGCGACCTAGGCTGTCACTGTATAAAAAGATAAAGCGCGTCGCTTATTCAAGTGTGTGTGTCAACAATTCCTGATATGAACCGTAGAAAGTGCCACGACAGATGAGCTGGGAGAGAGTGCTCGATGAGAAAAGAAAAAAAAATTGTTTAGAGAGCTATTTAGCCTGTGGAAGGTACATTAAGATAAGCAAAACCCCTTCGAGAAGGATGTATAGCGGCCGTGATGCCTGACGCTGACAAATGGGGGCCCGTAACTATCTCGCGCCGCTCCGAGGCGGTGCCGATCCATCGCGAAGCTCCACCGTTATCGGCAATGGCCGTCGAATTCTCTCCCCTCGCGCCCCTCTCCCCCTCTGCAACTCGCAATTTGCCAACTCCGCCCCTCCCACTCCCACCAGCCTTGATCTAGTCCAGCCTAGCGCTGACCCCAGAGCACGCCGTCTTCCTGGAGCATTCGCAAGCGATGGCCTTTGTCGGCTCGACCCGTGCGCAATAACAATAAAGAGACGGCACCGCCAATGCCGCGTTGCAATTCCCCGAGAGCTCGCGCCTGGTTATGACGGAAGTGCAAGTGGCCCATGAGTGAGCTCGGTATTGCTGTCGTGCTCCCCCGCTTCAACCACCCATGATGGAGCACTTCGCAGCTATTGTGCCTCTGACGGCCCAGGGCCTGGCCGGGGAGATGCACTATACTCCCGACAATGGTCTGGTGCAGAGGTTGGTTTACTGTTTGGAACGGAAATCCCGTGGTATCTTTACTGAGAATTGTGTCTCTAGGGGAATATGGCAACATCGAACCCGGAATGCTTCGGCCTTTATCGGCACTGGAGATTTACACCTGGCGGCCCTCCTGTCATCGTGCGCCGTTATCATTTTGTCGATCGCTGTGCGCTATGTTGCTCGATGCTACCGTCCGAAATCGCGGAACCCCGCGGAGACCTCCGATGGCCAGTCCGAAATCAAGACACCTCTGCCCTTTGCATTTGCACACCTGGGGACCGCGATAGCGGCCTGTTGCCTTGGTTGGCTAGACATACACAATGGAGGGAGCTGGAAGCGGTCCCTTTTGTTCACATACGTGGTGCTGCTCGGTATTGGACGATTTTGCTGCAGCAACTATGGCTGCCGGACCCATCTGTATCGGCACATGAATGCAATGGCTACCGTGGCTTGCATTCTGGCGGTCGTTCAAGATCTGGTACCAATGACAATTGTCGGAGCCACGTATCGGCCAAGTCCAGTTGGGGCTGCTATTGTGGGGTGTCTGGCTGCCATGGTGGTAATCGCACTGGCGGCCCCCCGTCCACGACGTCTCCTGGCTCGCGGCACGGAAACAGATGGCTTGGTAGTGGAAGAAGCATCGCCCGAAGAGACATGCTCCCTATTTTCGTACTACTGCTCATACGAATGGATCACCTACGTCATCCTCCGGGGCTGTCAGCGGGATTTGACTCTGGATGATCTGCCTCCCTTGCCCTCATACGACGACCCCTTGAAGTGGTTGGAGAAGATCAAAACCCAGCGCCTCAAAGGTGGCAAGACATTCCGGACTCTTTGCCGGATGCTCAAAACGGAAATCAGGACAATGATGTTTTGGGCGGCACTTACATCGGTGGTGGAATTTCTCGCCCCGTATTCCATGTTGCACTTGTTGGCATATCTGGAGAACCCCTCGAGTGTTATCCTCCATCCTGCGTTGTGGATTGCTCTTCTGTTTGCTGGTCCCGCAATCCGCTCACTCTGCTACCAGCAGTATATCTTTACGGCTACCCGACTTCTGGTTCGCGTCAATGTTTCACTGGTCCAGGAGCTCTATCAGACTGCCATGCGGTCATATATCTACGACGATTCTGTAGGTCCGAAGCAGACGAAATCGCGCCACAGAGCGGAGTCCAAGGGCGCTTCCAAGACTAGTCAAGCAAACTTGACGAGTTTGATGTCGTACGATGTGGACGCCATCTACAACTCGCGTGATATCTTTTATGTAGCTACAGCAGGTCCGATCTCTACTACCCTTGCTCTGGTGTTCCTTTACCAGATGCTCGGGTGGCCGTCACTTTTCGGAGTCATGACATTGCTTTGTCTATCGCCCCTCCCTGCTCTAGCGTCGCGCAAAGTATCCCGCATTCAACGGACCGTCATGCAAGCCACAGATGCCCGTCTTTCCAAAATCTCCGAGTATCTGCAGTCGATCCGTACTTTGAAGTACTTTGGCTGGGAGCACGCTGCGATGGACTCCATCAACGATGTCCGTCGTGTCGAACAGCGCCGTCTTTGGAGACGGAGCGTCTTCGTGGCGCTCATCTCAATGGCTGGGGAACTCCTGCCGTTGTTGAGTCTGTTGGTCATGTTTTCCGTATATATTCTCTTCACTGATCTTCCTTTGCGAGCCCCCATTGCCTTCACCTCCTTGTCCATTATGGAAACACTACGAGTTCAGTTTGTCTGGCTTTCGAATGTCAGCCGATTCACCGCGCAAGGGTCAGAGTCCCTCCGCCGTGTGGACCGCTTCTTCGAGACCGCGACTGCAATCAAGCGACACCCCGAAGGGCCACTAGAGTTCAAGAACGCAACATTCAGAAGGACCCCAATTGCTGATTTTCGACTGCAAGATGTATCTGTGAGTTTCAAACAGAATGCTCTTAATGTGGTGACGGGCCCGACCGGCAGCGGAAAGACATCTTTTCTACTGTCATTCTTGGGCGAGACTGTCCTGGAATCCGGAACTGCTACGTGCCCAAAGGACGTTGCATATGTTCCGCAGGCGCCGTGGCTTCAAAACGACACGATCCGCCAAAATATCATTTTCTACAGTCCATTCGACGAGGCTAAATACGCCGCTGTAATTGAGGCCAGTGGCCTGGTACAGGACCTGCGACAGCTACCCGCAGGCGATTCTACTATGGTGGGTGAGCGAGGTACATCGCTATCTGGTGGTCAAAAGCAACGAGTCTCTCTGGCAAGGGCTCTCTATTCACCCTCATCTACCCTTTTGCTCGATGACATATTCTCCGCACTTGACACTCACACTACGACTCTTGTCTACGAAAAGTGCTTCCGCAGCGGTCTACTCAAGGACCGAACTGTTGTGCTTATCACCCACTATCCAGCAGCTTTGCAGGATGCGGAGTTGGTGATTCGGTTGGAGCATGGGAAAGTCCTCCCTGCTCGGACTTTTTCGAAAGCCACGCAAGCTCTTATGTCTCTATCCCGAAGCTCCACACCGGGAACCGATACAGACTCTTCTGCTTCTGAAAGTGGGGCTCGCATGACCGAGGAAGCATTTGACTCTCCGTCGGAGCTCCCAGCACCTACCGCCCCTGGTGTCAGCGGACAACAGCCTGTTCAAACGGCACACATAGCGAAGGAAACATCCGCTTCGGGACGCGTGCCTCGCTCATTAGGTAAGTTATTCCCTAAAAGCATCTTGTGTTGTTAGCTAACCCAAGAAGGATTCCGCTACATGCTACTGTTTGGCGGTGCCTCATATGTTCCTCTCGTCGTATTTGCAACCATTTCGGTGCAATTTGCTTATTTCGGAATCACGTACTGGCTTTCAATCTGGACGGGAGCGTACGAAACAGATGACCATCCCAACACACTTTTCTACCTGGGAATATACGCAGCTTTCATTTTCACCTTCCTCTCTCTTCAGTTTTGCAACAACCTCATATACCAGTTCGGCAGCTGGACAGCTGCGAAGAAGATGCACAACAAGCTTGTGACTGCGGTACTGTCTGCTCCGATAGCCTGGTTTGACCAGAATCCGATTGGACGCGCAATCAATCGATTCGGGAACGATACTCGGTCGATGGATACTGTGCTAGTCGAATGGCTGCGGATGTCGATTGAGAACATGCTGCGTTTCTTGCTACGTATTGCGAGTGTCGCTTCTATCATGCCAATATTCGCGCTCCCGGCTGCTGTCATCTGCGCTGCGGGTTTTGTCATTGGAGAGATGTACACCCGCGCTCAAGTTTCGATTAAGAGACTGACTTCTATAAACTACTCGCCCGTTTTCTCCCACTTCACGGATTCGCTGTCTGGGTTGAGTGTTATCCGAGCCCGAAACGGCATGGACCAAGTGTTCCAGAACTTGCTAGCGGATAAGCTGGCTGTCCATGCCCGTTCCTCGGAGGCACAGTACAACTGCAACCGCTGGGTCTCCGTCCGCTCCGATTTCTGTGCCGCTTCAGTTGCAGCAGCAGCGGGTTGCGTGGCTTATTTCTGGTCTGGATCGGCCGGACTGGTTGGATTCTCGCTTACGAATGCCATTGGACTCAGTCAGACCATCCTTACCTTGGTGAGGACAATGAATGAACTGGAAGTGGAGCTGAACTCATTCCAGCGAATGAATGAGTATGCAGAGATTGAGCCAGAAGAGAAGCTAGACACGGAGGAGCGACGCAAGGCTCAGGCTCTCCCTGCCAGCTGGCCAACGTCTGGACGCGTCGAGTTCGAAGCTGTCACCGCTAGATATCAGTCCGACGGTCCTGATGTGCTGCGCAAAGTGTCGTTCGTCGCGCACCCAGGGGAGCGGGTAGGCATTGTTGGACGAACGGGCAGTGGAAAATCCACCCTAGGACTATCACTACTCAGGTTCGTGGACGTTGTGGGCGGCCGCGTGACCATTGACGGTGTCGATATTAATGAGATCCTGTTGAATCGGTTGCGAACTAGCGTGACTCTGATTCCACAAGAGCCGGTGCTTTTCTCTGGCGACGTGCAGTCGAATCTCGACCCATTTGGCGAATCCAGTGAAACAGAGCTTGCTTCTGCTTTGTCGGCTTGTACCTCCATCCGCGTCCCAGGGAATACCGAAGGCGAGCAATCCGGAAAAACAACACGAGCCCTCTCCCTGGACACACCTGTTGCAGCCAACGGAGAGAACTTCAGTCAGGGACAGCGTCAGGTACTCAGTCTGGCCAGAGCTATGTGTCGACGGTCGAAGGTCGTGCTGCTGGACGAGGCGACTGCGTCCGTGGATCACGAGACAGATATGCACATGCAAAAGGTTCTTCGGACAATGTTCTCGGACTGTACGATCATTGCCATTGCGCATCGCCTGCGGACCATCATGGACTATGACCGGGTCCTTGTCATGGCCGATGGGGAGATCCTAGAGTAAGTTAACCTTTTTCCTTTTCGGGTTACGATAGACTGACTCACTGCCCAGAAATGATTCGCCTGTCAACCTTGTCGCAAAGAAGGGGGTGTTCTGGGACATGTTGCAGAACACAGGTGAATATGAAGAGTTGATACAGATGATCGGGAAGTCCGAAGATGAGTGATGGTATGTATGACGATGATCATGATGGATTACAGCTTCAATTTAGAGAAAGATTCAGAGAGAATCTATAACCACAACATAGACTTGTATATTTTCGCATGCACATGTCAACATAGTTAGATTAGATCATTCTTCCGAAAAAGAACAAAACGGCTAGTATTTTGAGGATTATAACTTAATATGTGCCCTCAAAATCTTTATTTTATAGTCACAGCAGACTGTGTTAACTATTACTACTCAACCCAAAGAAAGTCACTGGATTATCAAAACAATCATTCCCTGTCATAGCTTTTGCAGTGGAAGCTGCAGTGATTGGTACCCCCATTCTGAATATTCCCAGATGCACACCCCTGTTCAACACCCTCTTTCAGCATTACAATTCACAACCACCATGCCAGTATAAAATCCCTCCCAGCAACCCCAGAACCATGAATCCGACCATCCTTCCCAACCAACTCTCCTTATAATACTTGCTCCATCACTTCTCATCAGACCACTATCCTATATCTCAAATCACCCAATGCGATATAGTTCGAGTGGATATATTTCCTACACCCAAACAATCTTTGTCCACAAGCTATTTACAGCACCCTCTTCGCTGATGGTAGAATAGACAATGGCAGGGCAGGCCCAGAGGACTGCAGAAGGCACTGCGGTTGGCCGACGAGAAAGCATGTAATTGAATTACACGTCCTTCGTATACACCACAAGATCGATAAAGCTGCTACATATCCTGTACGCAATTCCGAAAGATGAACATCCCAGATATGTCACATGCTGGCAAGCCCTGAGACACGGAACCTTCGGCCAGATCGGTGCTTAATTGGCATAACTGCAGAGTCAGCTAAACAATAATAAATGCAATGTCATCAGCAAAGGATAACGGAATAATCGCCAACAATCCGTCTTGGGGACAGGGTATAAAAAGCCAATGATTACTATGAGGTACTGGAGACTCCGGTAGTCTAATATGTCCCCATGGTTTACTTACCGCTGCTGGCTATTTGTTTGCGAGACCGTCAATGGGAGATGAGCATACAGTAGAAGCAATGATCATCTCCCCATAGCTATTTAAAGGAGTTCTTTCCATTCCCGACACGACCAGTTTTGTATCCACTAGTCCTTGCCGAAGGACTCTTTGGTCGATACATATAATACACAGCAGCTGGAACTAGATATATACTTATTATACCTTCAGGCCAGGAAAGTTCAATTTTCCCTTGTGTACCACCCACACAAACTTCAAGTTGTTTTCAATTTTGGGGTTCTTGACAGGGCTCCAAGTTATCAGACCGTTTGCAGAAACAGAAGACCTTCATTCCCAGGCTGCTGAGCCGACTGATCAGCAAAGCCCCGCTACCAGATGAAGCAGCTGTAAAAGGGTTTTACAGCACCTTCAAAGGCCAGCACCAATCCCATAAGGACAGTCTGTGGACGCGGGCGACCTCGCTATGATGGTGCGAGGGTCGCCGAAAATGCGGTAATGCCGAATTTGCGCGATCAGGTGTCCCTGCACGGCGAGAAAGAAATGTCATTATCCCAGGCAGGGCCTTTCGATTTGCCCGTGGGGCTGGTATCTCCTGAAATATGCCTGTGACTCGATAATTATATACTAGTTTATAGTACTTAAGTTATCGTTCTAATTCTAGCAATCTAACTGACCGCGTGTTCCGCAATTATCTTTAATAATATAATATTAAATAGATTGTACTTGGCCAGTAGTAGATAGCTCGTCAAGAGTATAATTATTTGCAATAACAATCGTGTATCCATCTTATTCACGTAGGTTTGCTTCAAGTGTGGAGGTATCAATTACCCATGTAAGTAAGACCTGTCCCGGAGTGAAAGCAAAGGCATCCCCAATGCGGGGTTGCGGCGAGAGGTCGGGTTACCCCGCTCCAAAGAATCAGGGACCCCAAATATCAGGCAGGCTCTTGGCTTTGTGACGTGGCCCTTGACAACAACACTCCCACCTTCCTCTCTGACGGACTCTCATTGAGAGAACTTCATATCTTGCAAGTTCAGCCTTTGTATCCAATACTTGTCCTCAATAGACTTATCTATTATCGAACCACATTCCCGTCCTCGAGCAAACCATGTCGTCCAACACCAAATTCCACACGTTTACTTACGAGGGGAATCATACCGCGCCCAAATCAATCCGCAATGTCGAGCTTTTTATTGACAACGAGCTGGTTTCCTCCAAGGCCAGCAGATGGATCGACGTTCACGACCCTGCAACGAACAACATAGTCTGTCGAGTACCAGAAGCCACACCCGAAGAGCTCCAAGCCGCAGTCACTTCCGCCAAAAATGCATTCCCCGCATGGAGCAGCACCAGCATCATGAAGCGACAAAACATGATGTTCAAATTAACCCACTTGATCCAGAACAACATGGACGCTCTTGCGGTTTCAATCGTCACCGAGCAAGGCAAGACCCAGGCTGACGCGAAAGGCGATGTGCTTCGGGGATTGCAAGTCTGCGAAACGGCCTGTGGCATTACCACCCAACTTCCCGGCGAAGTCCTCGAGGTTGCGAAAGACATGGAAACCCGCTCCTACCAACTTCCGCTCGGAGTTGTGGCAGCTATCTGTCCCTTTAACTTCCCCGCCATGATTCCCCTGTGGAGTCTTCCCCTTGCCGTGATCACCGGCAATTGCATGATCTTGAAGCCCACCGAACGGGCGCCCGGAGCTGCCATGATGATCGCAGAACTCTGCAAGGAAGCGGGATTTCCTCCGGGCGTCGTCAACGTGATCCACGGATCCAAGCCAGCCGTCGACTTCATTCTCGAGGCACCAGAGATCAAAGCCATCTCATTTGTCGGTTCCAACAAAGTCGGTGAGTATATCTATAACCGTGGTACATCGCTAGGAAAGCGTGTTCAGGCCAATCTCGGGGCCAAAAACCATGCCGTTGTGCTTCCGGACTGCGCGAAGAACCACGCCCTCAGCGCTATTGCGGGAGCGGCTTTCGGGGCCGCGGGTCAGCGGTGCATGGCACTGAGCGTTCTTTTGACTGTTGGCTCGGCCCGCGAATGGATCCCTGATTTGGTTGCCAAGGCAAAGGAGTATCGAGCCGGAAGCGGGTTCCATGAGCGATCGGACTTGGGCCCGTTGATAACCCCTCAAAGTCGGGATCGGTGTGTGGATCTTATTGCCAGCGCTGAAGCTGAAGGCGCAACTGTTGTCTTGGATGGTCGGGAATATAAGCCGGATGGCTACCCCAATGGAAACTGGGTATGATTTTCGAACATCCTGATTACAACTACCCACTATACTGACACGAATGAACCTAGGTTGGTCCAACAATTATCACCGGCGTGAGAAAGGACATGAAATGCTACCGAGAGGAGATCTTCGGACCCGTCCTACTTTGTATGGAAAGCGACACCATCAACAGCGCCATCGACCTAGTCAACTCAAATGACTGGGGAAATGGGGCAGTGATATTTACTCAGTCCGGTTCAAGTGCGACACATTTTCAGAAGAATATCGAGGCAGGGCAGATTGGAATCAATGTCCCTATTCCCGTCCCCCTTCCCATGTTCTCGTTCACTGGAAACAAGAGGAGTGTTGGGGGCACGGGACTGCTCAACTTCTATGGAAAGGATGGGCTGAGATTCTACACGCAGTGGAAGACTGTCACGTCGCTTTGGAAGTCCGAAGATGCGACGGAGCTGTCGAGACCAACTGCGATGGTGTAAATACGTTTTCAAACTGTTTTAAAGCCAATTACATGATTACTTTAGGTATTTGGGTGGGACAGAGCAAAACCTGGCAGTCCGCCATTCACTAACCTAGCTCGAAATCCCTTTTAATTATCCAAGTGCCGTTAGTCTGCACCCATCAAGACTCTCAATAATTGTATGGACTATCTAGCACAGCAACAAGATTCCCCCTCAATCTGGCCGAGGAACTAAACCCAAGTATCTAGCATTTTACGGCATACCGGGGATAAAGCGTTTCAAAACACTCTATCCCATCAACTCAGGAATCTGTGGATAGCAACGGTGACATTTGCATCTCCAAGCCCATGGGATTTCACAGCGTATAGAGCGTCAAGTTGAAAAGCTTTCTGTCCATCTGTTACCCGATGAACAGCATCGGCCTTCAAAGCCAGGTAAATTTGCTGTGGTATATTTTAGTCTCCTCTAGCCGACTTGGATATTTACATCGACTCAATCTACAGCAGCACAAGCTCCGGGGAGTGAGAGGAAGCCTGCTGCCATCTTTTGATGATGATTTTCACTGAACTGGTATTCGAGACGAGGGAGTAACTCCCACTTGCAAACCTCGTGTCCCTGATTCATAATAGTCACTGACACGGCGGTTTCAATGACCCAGAATCGCTATCGAGAAAGTCACCGCAAGACAACTGACAAGATCGAGATATCGGAAACAAGCCGATTAAATTAACCACATCTGCTGGCTTAAGTTGCGCTTCATCGTGTATGCCCTTTTGTTAGACGGGAGGGGGTAATGCACCACCTTGTGCACATTCAATACCTTCACCGAGTTGAAGGGCAGAGATCTATCAAGGATAGTGGGGGCTATTCGGGATTTGAGTACACCCGGTAGCAGGTACATTATTCGTCGGTCTTGATGCATTTCAAGTCGGATGGACCCCGCTGTTAACCACTCAAGACAAGAATGGGACTTTTTTCCCGTTTAAATATTCGAAACCCTTTTTGATCACTAAGATGCTTGAGTATCATCTCGGAGACGCTGAGAATGCGCGTACCCTGGACTGTAACAACCTGATGGATACCTGCCAGTTGCCGATAGCCCGCCTAAAGGAGGGGGGGAGAGAGGAAGATGGAGAGATGGGAGGAGAAAGATAGCTTTTCTTGTGGCGATTACATGGCACGGACACAGTGGCTTGGAGGCTTGAATATACTGTGTGAATATACATTTCAATCCAGTTCACTATAGTTGAGGAAGAAATTGTGAATTACTGTCAGTTTAGGAATTTAGGTGTGGGAATTTATATTTCCTGTATATGAGTCAGTTGCATCATGGATGTTAGCCGAGTGAATGGGTTTCATCCGATCTGAAATTCCTATAGTAACCAGAAACAACATTCCATGGAGGATAGAGGTATGAAACGATAACTATAACCAAGATATAGACATTCGTTATTAAATTAAAGGCCCAGTAGACTTATCCACCTCCATCATAAAACACATGAAAAGGTATATTCATCCCAGCACCGCTCACAGGAACTTATTAACCTCCTGGTTAACACCCTGGTTCACAGAGCTATCCATCCCAGAAGGAATGTACTGATCGACCTTGCTATCGACCATCGAATCAACAAAGTTTCCAGAGCCACCGTTGCCAGAACCGCTGTTGTTCCCACTGCTGTTGTTGCTGCCGCTGTTGCCCAAGAAACCTACAGTCAACCCCGTCAGTCACCACCCAACAATCCCCAACGCCACCTGATGAAGGAAGACATACTCTTAGCCTCATTCATGAGACCCCCAAAACCACCCGAGGAGCCACCTCCCTGGTTCCCAGACTGGCCATATGAGCCACCACCGTTCCCACCCGAACCGCCGTAGTTGTCCTGTCCACCCTGTCCTCCGAAGTTGTCATTCCCAGAGCCACCATAGTTGCCAGAGCCGGAACCTCCGTAGCCGCCGGATCCAGATCCGCCATAGTTATCCTGGCCACCTTGACCACCGAAGCTGTTTCCGCCGCCGCCGTAGCCGGAGTCGTTTCCGCCGAAACCGCCGCCGCCGCCTTGGTTACCACCGAAGTTGTTGGAGCCTTGGCCGAAGGAGTCCATTGTGAATATTATTGGAGGTAGGTTTAATTTGTTGTAGATGAGGGTTTTGGAAGTAGAAAGTAATAGAAAGTAGAAAATGAAAAGATAGAGAATAAGCCGATCGATCGAGAGACCCCTCCCACCTTTTAAAACACCAGCAGAAGCAAGCAAGCAACAACCCATCTCAGCCCTCAGCCCTCAGCCCTCAGCCCTCTTATCTCGCGCCATTTGCCCCTCAGCAGCTCCAGGCCAGAAGGGGGAATCCCCAAAATTAAAATGATGTAACTAGTTCGTTTTCCGGGACCTCAGTCTGGAGCTAAGCTCGGACTAGTGGAATTCGGTTTCTGGGTCTGGTCCCTGGTTTTCCGATTATAAAACCCGCTGATATTGGCACGTTCAGCTTATCTCAATGAAACGGGTCTAGCTGATCAAGGTGTTTTTGTCCAATGGTGGGGTGAGATCTAGTGTATGGTCATGGAGATCGGACATAAACTGAAATTTGGCCTCAGGTTTGGCTTGGTGTTGTTGATGATGGTGGTTGAATGGAGGAAAAAACTCTTACCTGTAGACACAATACTGTTAGCTTCTTTGAGGTAGGTATGTAGGTAGCTCCCCAAAACACTACCAAATTCGGCTATGTAATATTACTCCGTCTAGTAAGGCTCCACCCGATCCCGACCGATCCGGAATTACCTACTAGATACCACTGTGATGATAGTTAGTGGATAGATAGTGGGCGTGCAGGAGCAAGTGGCGAAATCCAGGGCCTGCCGGTCTGGCCCCAGCGCGAAGGGATCTGGCACGGGCACAGGCACAGGCACAACCACATGCACACACCCCACGAAACATGATTCTCTGTGTCGAGAGTCCTGCTCATGCTGAGGTCATGATCAGCCACGTTCCCCAAAATATCGACTCGTCTGGAGGGGGGAAGTTGACGTAGGGATCATCGTGGGGAGATCTGTCGCGGTCATTGGCCTTGTTGTCGCGGTGGCGCCCCCACACTACTGGCCAGGGCGCGGCCAACCACAGGCCCCGGCCAAGCCCCGGTGGCTCAACCAAGCTTTCAGTCAAGCTCCAATATTTCCGGCCGGGCGGGCGGGCGTCCAGCTGGTTCCGTTTGAGCGAGGGTTATTCTATTTGGCGTATGGTTTCTGTATCATTTGGTGAGATGGGTGTGGTTCGGGATTTGCTAGGTAGGTCAGCTATCTACTGTGCATGTACCTATGTTCAGCCACTGAGTGGCAATCTTTAGGTGGCTGGCTGATGGGTGGATGTACTTTTACTCGATAATATGTGCAGGACAGGGGGTGCGGAGTAAATATATCCCGTCCTTTTTTTTTTTTTTTTTTTTCGTAAAAAGCTACATTGCAGAGTGGATTCATAGTGAGACATGGCTTTTCTAGTAATATCATCTTTGAGTATAGTCTGGTAAATGCCAACAGGGGCGTTCGATTTCAATCCCAGAGTGACAGACAATAACCGTCTGGCTGCTACCGCACTCAGTAAGAATCGTAACCCTAACCAGTTGGCGCCCCCAAAGCCTTATCCAGAACTGCCTATACCCCCCCCTACCACCCCTGTACACAGCAACCCCGAAAGGTCCAAGTAGATAAAAAGCCAAAAAATAACAACCTAACACCCCCCCTCCACCAAAGCCTCCGCCTCATCCAACCCACTAACCACAATATCCGCCACGCCCCCGTAATCCTTGCATATCTGGCCGAAGGAATTCTCCTCGTCGCCGGTGATGACGCACCGGTAGGGGTCCGGGTAGCATGGGCTCAGGGAGTCCGCGCAGGCGGGCGAGTCGACGGTGCAGTTGACGATGAGGTAGGTGTATTGCGCGGTGGCTGGTTTGATTATTTTGGTGGTGAGGAGGGCGAGGGAGAGGGATAGGAGGGTGACGGGGGTGGTTTTGATCATTGTTTTTGGAGGGGGTTTGGTTGGTTTTGGTTGTGGACCTGTGGTTGTGGTTGAATATTGAATATTATGGATGAAAGGAGGGACGGATAGTAAGTTGATGGTGCTGATTTCGGTCCGACGGATGATGGGTTAGGAAGAGAGAGGGGGCTTTATATATCCCAAAGTTCCAGAGGAAAGGCCGAAGAAAACCTTCTGAGATATACTTTGTTTTCCAGGTAGAAAGTCTACACTGACTGTTCATTCAAAATGGAAATACTGTTGTTGAAGCAACCCCATTCACTTATGTACTAAAGAGAGTATTCTCACATCAGATAGACACCTCACATGCAGGGCCTCGTTGCGGTGATCGATGGCTGGCCTGGCCATGAGATCGACACATGGAAGGCCTGAATCATGCGGGGTCTTTTGGTGGCCTAATGTCTCACTATAATACCCCAATACCCCATTCTCAGGATATAGATTCTGATATAAAGGTCTGAGCGGGTTAGGCAACCGGTACTTTTGCATCAATATAGCGATCACCATTGGGTCTATCGGAGCATTGTTTCAAACCAGAGGTCATGAGATAGCTTTAAGGCCTTCATGGCTGATGTGATTCTCACACTGAGATAGACACATTAACATTGAACAATAATCCTACCAAACAGCCCAACCCCTCTACCCCGACTCACTAGGCCACTTCACCAGCACCGCCTCCTCACCCACCAACTCAAACTCCCCCACAACACTGCGCTCATTGTTCAACGCCAACTCATACCTCCCGGGATAAACCACCCAATCCCCCGCCTCACTTACCCTAGCAATGCTCTCCACCGTCACCGGCACAGTAAACACCTGCGTCTCACCCCCCTTCATAACCCCCAACCGATCAAACCCCACCACCCACTTATTCGGATACGGCGCCGGCCCGGCCGTGGTATTCGCGAAAACGATACCAGTGTACCCGGACGCGGTATCGCCTGTATTCGTGACTGTAGCCGTGAAATTCAAAAAAATGCTCTGCGCCACGGAATTCAGGCCCGAGTGTGGCTGGGACAGGATCTCCTGGATATTATACGTGCCCCCGGTTGTCTCGTTAGTGGAGGCTGAGAAGGTGGTGTAGAATAATCCATGACCGAATTCGTACACCGGTGTCCCGGTATACCATTTATATGTCTGTCCTGGGTTATCACCATCCGGACGAAGGTTCATATCTGTGGCGGGGAAAGCGTCCGCATAGGACGCGGGGTACTGTGTCGTGACGAGACGGCCAGCGGGGGCGTGTTTCCCCGTGATGACATCCCGCAGGGCATAGCCGCCTGATTGTCCTGGGTAGCCGCCCCAGATCAGGGCGCTGACGTTAGGGTTACTTTTCAACGAGGAGGAATCGACTTGTCCGCCGCCCATTTGTAGGACGATGAGAGGTTTGCCGTAGCTTTGGTCGGCGAGTTGTTGGATCAGGCTGAGTTGGTTGCCGGGCCAGGCGATGGATTCGCGGTCTAGGGCTTCGGCTTCGATGGTGTTGTCGATGCCGCCGGCGAAGATGGTCACGTCGGCGGATTGGGCAGCCGCGAGAGCGGCGGAGAAGTTGGCGGTGGATTTTGAGGAGATTTCCGTGCCCAGGGCGTAGTTGACTGTGTATCCGGCAGCCTCGAAGGCGGAGAGGGGGCTGATGAGGTATGGGGGCGTGCCGTAGTAGTTGCCTTGGAGTTGGGTGGTGGCGTTGGCCCACGGGCCGATTAGGGCGATGGTGGTGTTGGTTGGAGAGGAGGTGAGGGGGAGGGCGCCATTGTTCTTCAGCAGTACGATGCCTTGGATGGCGGCTTCGTAGGAGACGTTCCAAGCGTCTGTTTTCTGGACATCATTCCAGGTGAGGGATCGGTAGGCGGAGGTGTTGGCACTCGTGTCAAAGTAGCCCAGACGAACGAGGGTCGAGTAGAGTCGGATGACTCCGCGTTCGATGTCGTCCCGGGAAACTTCCCCGGAGGCGAGGGATTCGTTAAATGTCCACTGGTATGTGGTGCCGCAGTCGATGTCCGTGCCTGCGAGAAGCGAGTCCGCAGCGGCTTGGGATTCGTTGGCCGCGTAGCCATGCGGGTTGAAGACGTTGTAGACGGAGTCGCAGTCACTTGACACATAGCCGTCCGAGACGAAGGAGAAGGTGTCGCGCAGGAGGGACTGAAGGAAGAAGGAGCTGGCGCAGGAGGGCACCCCGTTGACGGCGTTGTAGGAGCACATCACGCTGTGGACGTGAGCGTCGCGGGTGGCGACGTGGAACTGGGGGGTGAAGTATTCGGATAAGTCCTGTTGGGTGATGTTCAGGTCGTTGCCCAGACGCGAGTGGTTATGCCAGTTCTCCAGATCATAGCCCGCAAAATGCTTTGCCGTGGCTGCCAGCTTGAGGTGCACCGGATCGTCGCCCTGGATGCCGGTGATGTACTCGTAAGCGTAGATCGAGGCGATGGTAACGTCCTCACCAGGGGTCTCCTGGCCTCGACCCCAGACGGGGTGGCGATAGGCGTTAATGTTGGGGGCGTAGACGTCGAGGCCGTAGCGGCCGGCGTTGTTAAAGGCGCGGCCCTGGGTGGAGATGATGGACGCGATCTGGTGGATCAGCGTGCGGTTGAGCGAGGCAGTGGTAAGAATGGGCATCGGAAATGAGGTGGCCCAGCTGTAGGCACCATCGTCTGTGAAGTTGGCCCGGTCGAGGCCGTGTAGAGCTTCGCTCCATACTTCATAGTTGGGAAGGCCTAACCGGGGCACCCCCAGTCCTGAATTTCCCGTGTTGGCAATGAGTTCGTCCACAGTGAAAAGAGAAATCAATGACGCCGCACGATCATAAGGAGAGGCAGACGAATTGCAGATGAGGTGCGTGCTAAGAGGACCATTGTGGCAGTCAGGGAAAGACAGGTCCAGGGTAGCCAGGCAGAGGGGGTACAGGTCCGGGTTGGCTTCGGTGAGGTAGTCGACGTAGCTGGTGTTGGCCTGCGACAGAGCAGTGGGCAGCAGAGCTGCAAGAGCCAGGAGAGTAGCCATGGTCGGTTAATAGTGTGCTGGCAAGACCCTGCAGGGAGAGGAAGTGAATGCCGCATTTATAGCGGGTGGCCTGATGAAGCCAAGGGTCGTCACGGAGCAGCCCCGATCTCCGCAATGCGGGGTTTAGCCTGAATGCAGGGCCGGGGATTCTGTGGTTTATTTAGCCATGCTGGTTGAAGACGACCCAATTCTTCCGAATGGTGGACTGCAGAATGCCCAGGCTCCCTGCGTCATGCGGGTAAATGCGTGGAGGGATTCCCCCGTGGTAGTTTGACAAGCCCTAAATGAGGCTATCCGAATGCATTGGTAATCCATGACTATGACCCAGCTTCTTCTTCCTCAATCTCAACACTCAAATCTAATCCTCCAAAACATTCACTGTTTCCGGAGCCAACAGCCCCGCCAGCTTCCCCACCACGTCATCCACGTCCTCCAGATGCAAGACGACCGCCTCAATCTCCCTCTGTCTCTCCTCCGCAATCACCCCTCTCGTCACAGCCCTCCACTTCTCCAGAATCTCCTCATTCGACAACGCCGGCTTGACTCCTCTCGGCGCCAGAACCGTCGTCTCCAACACTTCCCCATCCTCAAACACCACCTTCACCCTCTGCGCCCAAGAATGATCAAACTCGTCCACCTCTCGACACTCCACCTTGCCAATAATCTCCCAAATCTCCTCTCTATTCAACTTCGCCGGCGCAAACTGCCCAGGAACAATCTCCCCATCAAGAACCTGCAACGCGACCGCATACGGGACACACATCTGCGCAGCAGTCACCGTGGCGGGCCTCTCAGGCCTCCAGCCCCCCTTCTTATACGCCGCGCGGGCCATCTCCGCCTCAATCCGCACAATCCCCTTCCAATCCCTCATTCTCTCCGGATGCTCCTTCTGCAACACCCTCACGCAATCCACCGTACAATGCGTGCCCGCCATAAGCGGATACGGCTTTTCGCGGATCCTCTCCGTCTGCCAAACTTCCCCGAGATCCTTACTTACCTCCTCCTTCACAAACCGCGGCTCCTTCTCCGCTCCCAGAGAATACATTCCCAGGAACCCGCCGTACTCACGATCGAAGATCTCCTTGATACCTGTGAACCCCTCCCGGGCGAGATAGGTCGCCAGCACACCACTCCGCGCCGCGAAACCGTGCTGCATCCGCTTAACCATGCTCTCGAACTGCGCGGACATGAGCCCGCAGGCTTGCGTGCAGGCCATGCCGAGCGCGTCTTCGATGTGGTCGGTCGAGAGATGGAGAAGCTTCGATACGGCGGCTGCGGAGGCTGCGGGGCCGAAGATCGCGCCGGAATGCCACCCGATGGTCAGCATGTGGGAGCCACCCAGGGCCAGACCGACTCGGGGTCCAGTCTCGTACCCGGCTATCATAGCTGTGAGGAAGTCGGCGCCTCCTATGGGAAGACCCGTGGTATGGGTTTGTTGTTCTGCGGCGGCGAGGACGGCGGGTAGGATCACGGAGCTGGCGTGGATGGGCGCCTCGATGTGGTAGTCGTCGAGGTCGAAGGCCTGGAGGAATGTGCTGTTGAGGAGGGCGGCGGAGGTGGGGGGGAGGGTCTGGGTGTGGTTAGCGGAATGGAAGTGTGGAGGGGGTGGGGACCGGAGGAGGATGAGGTTCGGGAGTCAGGCAGGATCAGCGTAAGGGTTGGGAGTATGGAGAGGGTATCGAACCTTGTTCCATCCGATGACAGTGCAGTTCCCCGTTCCCTCGATGGCAGTAATGGCATCGTGGGCCTTGACGGACCACGGTAGACGCGAGCCCAGTAAAGCACAACCGAGGCCGTCCAGGATCAGATACTTGGCGCGGGTCTGGATCTCCGCCGGGATGGAGGAGGGGTTGACTTCCTCGATCCAGGTGGCGAGGTTGCGAGTCACGGAGGTGGAGGGGGATGTCCGAGCAGCCATTGCGAACACGGAGGGTGGGTTGAGGGATGAGAGAGGGTGTGTGAAGCAGGATGAAGAGTGCGAGTGATGGGGTCCATTTATAGATATGGGAGCGTGGGCGGGCGGCGAGCAGCGGATGCGCACCCCCCGAGCTTCTCCGACCATAAGGACAGCAGCAGGCCGATCGGTCATCCCACATGCACACTGACAGGAAAAGTAAGTAAGTATACAGCGCACTGCTGATCGCCGTGTCTTCATCAGATTTTGGATCGAGACGATCTCTCGGCTATTAACGCCTCCTCCGCCTGTCAATCTCGGACTATATCGACGGCTGCAGATGCAAGGGACTATTGAGTGCTGACATTAACCTAATGAATATACTATTGACAACTACTACTAGTAATTGAATCGGAACAGATAAATAAATACTCCGAGTTAGTCACCCGCTCCGTACACTTCCGAAAATACCGAACCATCCAGTCCACAGTCTGTCTCTCAGTTGGGGACGTACACCTGCAGAGGCCGCCAAAGGTCCGGAGTGCGTTCTACATTATTAGCATGGATCTGCATCGATCAAGGAAGAGGCTGGCTCACCTGTCTGTTCCTTCCAATGTGCCATCACACCAGACACCCGCGAGCACGCAGCCAGCACTGTCGCAAACTGGGGAGTGATGCCCCTGCATCTCGTTAGCGTGCATACCGATCCCGAAAAGGAAATACGTACAGCGCTGTGTAAACGAAACTCCCGTACAGGTCCGCATTGGCCTGCAGGTTTCGCTTGACAAAGTACTCATTGGTACTGGCAACTCGGTCGATTTCCATTGCCACCTGCAGGATCGGGTCCATCTCGCGAATATCGCGGTTCCGCGTCAGCTCGTCCAGCATCTCCCGCACGTACTTGGCCCGCGGATCTACCTGCTTGTAGATCCGATGTCCGTACCCAGAAAGTCGGCACTCCTTTCTGACGACCCTTTCGATCAATTTGGGCACGTTCTCAACGCCACCGATGTCGCGCATGCCCTTGTAGGCTGCGTCGATCGCTCCTCCGTGCAAAAGCCCGTATCCGGACATCGCGCACGCCACCATTGCTGACAGCGGATCGGTTAGTGTCGACGAGGTGTGGAGAAAGGCCGACGTCGAGTTGGTCATCTCATGGTCCGCATACAGAGCCCATGCCTTCGTGAGGATCTCGGCCGCCTTCTCAGGCGTCACAGCCGCGTTGTCGTCCACGAATCCTCCCATGTGTAAGATGTTCTCAATGTAGCTGAGATTCAGGTCCGGGTTTCGGAATGTGCGGCCAGTCATGTGGCAGTGAGCAAGTGCAGCACTGACAGCCACAATCGCCAGGGTGCGGATTATCTGTGCATCGACCATCTCTGGCCGCTTGTTGTAGAGGTTCGCGCCTGCGTGGGCTGGGATCAGCTCGGGCTGGTCCGCCAGAAACCCCGTCAGTGCTGCGCCAAGGACTACCATAGGAGGCGTGGTGCGTCTGGATGATACGAATCAGCAATGAATACCCAAGGGATCTTAAGAGGGACATACGGGAAAGATGCGATGAGCTGAAACACGTTGTCCGGAACCACCATCGCCTGCGCAATTCGGCGCTGGAAGTGAAGGCGCTGCTCCGAAGTGGGCAAAGATCCCCAGATAAGCAAGTGTGTGATCTCCTCGTAGCTCTTGCCGATGAGGGATCCCAAGGGATGGTCGCGATACAGGATGATCCCTTCGTTGCCATTACTGAATTTGTTAGCAGCATGCGGCATTTGAGGATCGATATGCTTACATGTATGTAATGCTCGACATCTTCACGGCCGTGTTGCGATAGCCCGGGTCAATCACTCTAAGGCCATCCTCAAACTGCTGGCGCAGGGTCTTATCTGCACGGTCGACACAGATTTGACGGAATCCCATGGCTGGCACCGCGTTCCGCACAATGGGAATGGTATACTTCGAGCCCGTTCGATTGTCGCGCACGGTCAGCGTGCCCTCACGCTCGCCCGGCAGCTCATGCTCGAGCAGGGCATTGATGTAGTTTCCCTGTAGCGGCAGCAGACTCTTGCCGGCGTCGAAAAATCGACCCAGCCAGGATGACAGTGTGTATATCATTGTGAAAGCAAGTGTGATAGAAGACAAGATGGTGACTCTGTTTCATTGTAATTCCTTGGATCCAAGGCCCTTATTTGTACCCGACTGAGCAGCCCTTGGCGTGACGAGACCCCGGCTGGGATGCAATGGATCGAGATCAACAGCCAAGCTTTGGTCCAGTCACTAGCGACGGCCGGCATCGACTATCGGTGTCGATCAGAAGATGTCCTTCGTCCACGAGCTCCCGCCGGGGATAAAAGGGCGGTCTTGTTCACGTCTCGTCCTTCTTCACTCTCATTACTCCCCCGGCCAATCCAAATTATCCCGCGAAGTCTATCAGTCTGAAGTGCTCCCGTTTCCTCTTTTGACCATGGCCACCTCCGATCGGCGCTACGATGAGCCCATCGCTCGCCTCGTCGAGTATGTCTACCACTATGAAGTGACCAGCGATTTGGCGATTCTGCGGGCCCGGCATGCCCTCATGGACGCGCTGGGCTGTGCTCTGGAGACTCTTCAGCAGAGTCCCGAGTGTCGCGCCCTTGTCGGCCCCTATACCCCGGGGCTTGTCGCCTCCTATGGCTTCAAGCTCCCTGGCACCTGCCACCAGCTCGATCCGGTCAAAGGCGCTTTCGATCTGGCCACTTTGATCCGCTTCTTGGACCACAATGATGCCTATCCCGGTGCCGAATGGGGACATCCGTCAGGTACGTCCGCATCAGGATGACCCTGAACTGCGGGAGCTCAAAGTGTTAACCGATCGACAGACAACCTGGGCGCTATTCTGGCGGTGTCCGACTGGCTAAGCCGTACGGGAGCCACCAGCCAGCCACTGACCGTCAAAGAGGTTTTGATCGCCATGATCAAAGCTTACGAGATCCAGGGCTGCTATCAGGTGCGGAATGCCTTCAACAAAGTGGGCCTCGATCACACCCTTCTTGTGAAAATTGCCTCCACCGCTGTGGTGGCGTGGCTGATGGGTCTCACGGAGGAACAAGCCGCCGTAGCCCTCTCTCACGCTTGGGCAGACGGTCACCCTCTGCGAATCTTCCGTCAGAGTCCGAACGCGGGTCCACGAAAGGGCTGGGCTGCCGGTGATGCGGCCATGCGTGCGGTACATCTGTGCCTGTTGGCTCGCGCCGGGCAGCCGGGTATTCCCAGTGCTCTAAGTGAGCCTAGTTGGGGCTTCCTTGCGGTGAGCTTTGGCGGAAAGGAACTGGAGCTGCCGCGCCCCTTCAAGTCCAGGGTTATGGAGGAGGTTTTTTTCAAGCTGATGGCCGCTGAAGGTCATGGTATTTCCGCGGTTCAGGCGGCCATGACACTGGCAGAGTCCCTGGCTAGCCGGGGCATTGACCCTGCTACGCAAATCAGTCGGATTGATATCCGAACACACGAGGCTGCTATGCGCATTATTGACAAGCAGGGTGCGCTCACCAATGCCGCCGACCGCGATCACTGCATGCGATACATGGTATCAGTGGTGTTGTTGAAGAACGCAGTCATCGAGGCGGACGACTACCACGATACAAGTGTGTGGGCTCGCGATCCACGCGTCGAGGCCCTGCGCCAGCGGATCCAGATGGTTGAGGACCCGCAGTTCACTCACGACTATCACCATCGACGCACTGCTGCCAGCGGACTCACCGTTATATTGGCTGACGGGCAGCACCTGAATGAGGTGGTCGTCGAATACCCTATTGGCCACCCCATGCATGAGGATACACTGGCCAAAGTGCGGGCTAAGTTTCAGCGCAATATGGAAGGCATGTTTACAGCGGAGGAGACAAAGCGGGTGATCGACGCGATCCATCAGGACCGCATGCCAGTGCATCGGCTGGTGGATCTGCTTGGTCGGTGATCTCCGCGATAGGTGGATCCGGGCTGGATGGGCGGCGATCAGTGTTAGTAGTCGGGTTCTGGATTTTGGGTCGATTAGTATACCTGCAAGATAGGGCAATAGTATATTATTTCGATCGTGAAATTGATGTAAGATAATAACCATGTCTAATGAGCGGTGAGGATGTGTCATGGCCGTCATGAGTTCCATGCATCATCCACGATCCGATGCATCTCCCTGCAGTCCTACCCCCAATATTCCGCGTTCAGTACTCGGGAAATAATTCCTGGACGCTAGATTCGGCCATCCTTTGACTCCATGCATCATCAGTCGCACGACCGCACCATTACGCAGGCCATCGTCCGTTGCTTTTGTGATTGTTGAATTATCAGTTAGACCGCACTTCCTCACTTTTGGCTTTGCTTGTGTTCGGGATAATATATTGGTATTAGACTTCAAGGAGTATAATTACTCCGCTAAAGTAGGCCTACCACTGCCTTCGAAAGATTGTCGGGTCCTGATAGATTCTGGCTCACGAGGAGCAATTATCCGAGCCGCCTTTGAACTCAACCTGCCTTTGGTGATCGTCAAAATGGTCCGCAGGGCTTTCGTCCTTGTGGATTCCTTCATTACGGTTTTGCTGGTCATATCCAATCGCGTCAACGTGGTTGCCTGGCACCCCTTCGGCAGCGCCAGATTGATACTATTCCTGGAATGGACGCACGCCGCAGGTCAACCACGGCTGTTTTGGGATAGAGGCAATGTCGGCTCCGTGAAGTGGCCTTTATTTAAGTCCGTCACGCTGGAGCTATACGCTACGGTATTCCCTAAACTCCGTGACTCTCCTTTTGGAAAGCCTAGAGAGCAGGTTTCCTGTCGTCCCCATGTAGTTCGTATTTCCGTTCCAGCAAAAGGTCTGATCTGAATAGCGGCAAATGCAGGAAACGATGAATTTCCCATACTTTGGTTCGGAGGCCCCGAGCCCCTGCAGATTGATCACACGTGGATGCGGCGTAGCTGATGAGGGGAGACTATCGACCATGCGACGGACTTTTCATTCGGCAAATCCGTTAGCACATCACAAACCGAACCACCTGGGTCTGTGACACAGTTATCATACACTTATCATGTATCCCAACGCAGTATGATCGCCTATGGGAGATGCTGTGGCTTCTATCTACCTGTGACCCCGCTTTACGCAGCGATCTTGCCTGCTATTGCCGGACGAAGAGCATGTTCCAATCATTCCATTGAACATGATATCGGCACACTCTTTCTGAGCCCTTTCAAATGCCCAGACTGCTTCTAGACTCGGACGTCTAAGATCTCTGCATATGGAAATAGAAACCCCTTCGCGCTACTCAACATTGTCCTACCACAAGACAAAATGCCACCCCTGGTCAATTCTGCCATTTTTGAATTTACCGCGCCCCATCTGAGGCAAGTCGAAGGACTTCAAGAGATAACGGCATACTTCGGCAAAGTGCGTGAGCTAAAACATCACAAAGGTACCCCATTAGAACAGGTACGTTCATCCTACCTTGCACTTCCATGGTAAAACGACATGAGAACTTACAGTTCCTGTCTAGTTCTCTGCCTCTGCCTCACTACCTTGTGTAACGGCAATAAAGGCCGTCACCGAAATAAAGCTTCTGATGAGCGGATGCCCGGTTGTAGTGGAGGTACAGTTGTCACGGTGGATGTCCACGCGTGAATGGTTTCAATGGTTTGACGGGCAATGCTTCGGGTTAGAAATGTGGCAGAGTGTGGTCTACTCTGGGGTGAAGTCGTGTAAATGTAGCGAGAAACCGATTACACTGAAGCAGGCAGCATAAACAACGGTCCGACTAACACGTAGAAGTGGGTTCTCTTCGTCAGGACAGACTCGGGCTAATGGAGAAGACGGCTGGGCACCACACTTCCGAATCGTTAGGAGTTGCGGTGTTTTTATTTCCATTGCTGTTGTCTCCGGGGAGACGGAGACGACATCGTTACCATCATGTGGGGGTACATGTGAACCTAAGTATAGTAGGAAATGATCGATTAGTTAGTGAACACACATTGTGTTTTCGGAGTGGAACAGAAGAAATGCAAAGAGAGACCGCAAACGAGTCGGCTTCACAGTGTCACTTGACCATGCCACACGGGTACGCAGACGCAAAATATATTTTTGGTTGGAGCTCGCAGCGTGATTGTTGTATGGACACATCGCCAAACGCAAGCCCACTCGAATCTATTTCCTTCCTACTACTGGGATAAGTATATACATTTGTCTCCTCACTGACGCCTATCCGCTCTCGACACCACTATTCACAAAATAATCATCACGACGCTTTGGGCTTGCCACTTTTGGTCCCCCCCGTCTTCACCTCCGTCTCAAGCACATCCAGAGCGGATGCATACCTCAACTTGACCTCCTTCATGTTGCCCAACGTGATGGGAAGCCTCTCAATCTTGGTAGACCGGGTGATCTTGCCGTCAGACCCCTTGGCTATTTGGCTGGCGAACCACTTGCCTTCCCGATGTGCGACAAGCGTCCAGGCGGATCCCTCTTGCTCAGCACGCGCTGTACGACCAACCCGGTGCACGTATGTTGTGATGCTAGTCGGGATATCGTAGTTGACAACGTGCGTGAGCGACCGCAGATCCAGACCACGCGAGGCACGGTCCGTCGCGATAATGATGGAGATTTTGCCTTGGCGGTACGCCGTAAGAGTCTTGCGCGAGGCAGATGACTTGTTAGACTTGATGATAGTGCCGATGCGGTCTGCCAGAGAGGGTTCCACCAGTGCCAAGAGACGAGCCAGACGCGAGGCAGATTCAGATGACTTGGTAAAGACCAGGGCGGTTGTCTGGGTAGGGGACTTGCTCGGTTTGGCTGTCTCTTCGCCGTCCGATTCGGAATCGCTATCCGAGTCGGATTCATCGCTAGATGTTTCATCGTCTGAGGTGTCATCGGAGTCTGATGCCGACTCAGAACTTGTGTCAGAGTCAGAGTCCGAACCCGAACCATCGGAGCTTGTGTCATCTAAGCTGTCGTCAGAGTCAGAATCGGAGTCAGAGCTCGATTCGTCAGAGCTGGTCTCATCAGAGCTGGTTTCGTCGGATTTGGACACAGGCTTGGAAGGCTTGGTGTTCTTCGTTTCAATTTTGATGTGTGACAGCAAGAGACGAAGGAGATATAGTGGCTTCTGTGCTTCATCGGCAACCGACAGTGAGTATTCCTTCAAGGTAGAGGGGAGAGTGAACTGCTCGTCCGAGACAGCAATGACACCATTCTCATCTTCATCCGCAGCAGCAGCATCAGAGCCAATGACGACCATCTTAGGATTTGCGAGGCGCAGGGAATTCAATTTTGTTACATCCCTAGTCATGGTGGCACTCAGGATAACCTTTCGCGGGTCTTTACTCTGGATAGGGAGTCCGAGTCCAGACAAAAAGTTCCCACTGGAGCCAAAAGCTTCAGGCGATTTCCGGGCATCCAAGGAGGTCATGATCACATCTACCCATTCCTGGAAGCTCTCGTTAAGAAGCCGATCTGCTTCATCAATTACGAGCCATTCAAGGTTTTTCAACGTAAATCCCTTGGTGTAGCGGAGATGGTCAACCAGACGACCGGGAGTACAGATGAGGATGTCAACATTAGGCTCAGACCGGTGGACGTAGCCCGGCAAAGACTCGCTGAGATCTCCAGCATCAGAAATATAGTCCTGGAGACTAAAGTTAGTCCAATCTTCGCCCGTCAACTGAACATTTTGGCGGAGCTTGAAGGTCGCAGGGCCATAGACTTGGTCGACACGCATCAATGACCGTTGTTCCTCTTTGATCGCCACATTACCCACTGCAGACGCGACGCGGAGGCCAGATCCCGCGGCTAGGAGTTCACAAGCCTCTCTTGCTTGCTTCACCAGTTCACGAGTAGGTACCACGATAAGACCCCTGAGACGGGGAGCAGGGACCGGCTCCAACGCTGTGACCAACGGGAGCACGTAAGACAGAGTTTTTCCTGATCCAGTGGCAGCGGAGATGCAAACATCTCCAGGGTGATTTTTAGGTCCCTGCAGAAGGAGGGGAATGACGGTGGACTGCACAGCAAATGCTTCTTTATAGCCATTGTCCTCCAGAGCCCGAAGGAGGGTAGAGTCGATGCCCAAGTCAGAGAATTTGCTTCTTTCCTGAGCAGATGCACGCAAAGGATTGGCCAGCCAGGGAGGAAGAGAGGAGTATGCTGGCTTCTCGTCCGATTCAGGGGCTGCTTCAGGCTGCGGCAGCGGCTCCAAACCTTGCGCAACAACCGGCTCAGCCGTCGTTGGGTCGGTGGACTCTGCAACATCCGTTTCGATCTCCCGTGATTTTTCCAGCTCCCTCGCCTTCTTTGACTTCTCGAATTTCGATAGAATGCCAGCGAACTTGTTCTTTGCGACTTTGGTGTTGGCCTCGTCCCCCGATGCGGGCTCAGGACTGCGTGGGGCCTTTTTCGAGGCTTTGTCACCCTTTTCTTGAACCTTTTCGGTGTCGTCTGCGTCGTAGACCGCATCTTTCATATCTGCATCCTCTTCAGCCGCATCGCCAGCCGCTCCGGTTCGGTGTTTCTTATCCTTCGATTTCTTCTTCTTCTTAGCGAGGCCGTCGTCTTTGCCTGGAGCAGTCGCTTTGCCGCTGACCGGCGGGACAGGACTCTCTTTCCGGGACGATTTCTCTTGAACAGCAACGTCCTCCGTAGCCTCAGATCGCCTTCGCTTCTTTCGACTTTCTGGAACCGGGGTGGAGGCGGCAGGAGAACCCTGATTTTTTTTGGGTTTCTTGGTCGGTGTTGGTGTCGAGGTAGAGACGGTGGAGCCATCGAGGTCTCTCTTTCTCTTCTGAGATTTCTTCGAGCTGGACGGGGTTCCTGACGTTAGTCTGGAAGTATCATCATTTGAAGAGCGATCGCCGGCCATTGTAGCAGTGGTAGCGCAGGCCCAGCGCGACGTCAACGAGGAGGCAACGAGTGGCTTGAGTAGTCGGTGTTAAAGGAAGAGGAGCTCCCGAATAATTATTTCTTTTCCCAGCGGGGAATCCTGCGATCGGCAGAGCCCCCCACCGCCCTGGATGCCGCCCGCGGCTGGACCAATCCCAAGCGCATCGCGTCTCTCCGTCGCCGCAGCTTCGATCGACGGCCACCTGCTCGACCCCTGACACCCTTCGTTCTCGTCGACGTTGGACTACCGGAGTAGTCTGACCATGGACATGCTGGACGGCAATACACTGCTCATGATTCTTTTTTAGAGTCTTCTGCGGTAAGCCAAAGGCAACCGCTCGCCAATATGCCTTACAACATTGCGTGAGTCTCTCGTATTTAGCCCGAGGCCTTCCATACTGACTGCAGGTTCTCAGCATGGTCAGTGACTTTTTCTTTCCTCAGCCAGGTTGGTGACCAAGTATCTGATTAGACGTGCGGGGCTGTGGCTAATTTCTCCAGGTGGAATTGAAAGCCACATCTACCAATTGTCGACCGTAAGATTGCCAACCCTCTCGTCTCGACTGCATACTTATCGGGCATTAGAAGCTTATCGACCGTGGCCACAAAGTCATAATCATCACCCATGCCTACAAAGGTCGCACTGGTGTTAGATACTTGACCAACGGACTCAAGGTCTACCATGTGCCGTTCTTCGTTATATACCGTGAGACGACGATGCCGACGGTCTTCTCTTTCTTTCCGATCTTTAGAAATATTGTGATTCGGGAGCAGATACAAATTGTGCATGGACATGCGAGCTTGAGTAGTTTCTGCCATGAAGCTATCCTCCATGCCCGCACCATGGGGATCCGGACGGTGTTTACGGACCACTCGTTGTTCGGGTTCGCGGATGCGGCGTCGATCCTGACGAACAAGCTGCTTAAGTTCATTCTGAGTGATGTGGATCATGTTATTTGCGTCAGCCACACATGGTAGGTTACAAGCTGGCTTTTGATCAGGTCGACTGTACTAACATATTTTCTCAGTAAGGAAAACACAGTCCTACGAGCCTCTCTAGACCCCTTGATGGTCTCCGTTATCCCAAATGCGGTTGTTGCGGAGAACTTTCACCCGTCAGAACCACCGTCCGTGCCTAGAAATATGGGACCTACGGACATTATCACAATCGTCGTCATATCTCGTTTATTCTACAACAAGGGAACCGATCTCCTAATTGCTGCCATCCCTCGGATTTTGGCATCTCACCCGAACGTACGGTTCATAATTGCTGGAAACGGACCCAAGGCTATCGATCTCGAGCAAATGTTGGAAAGAAATGTGCTGCAGGACAAGGTTGAAATGCTTGGGTCGGTACGCCATGAGGAAGTCCGGGACGTGATGGTTCGCGGCCACATCTACCTGCATCCCAGCTTAACTGAGGCTTTCGGTACGGTATTAGTGGAAGCTGCGAGTTGTGGGCTGTATGTCGTGTGCACTCGCGTGGGTGGTATTCCCGAGGTGCTTCCGCAACACATGACCACATTTGCAAAGCCAGAAGAGGACGACCTTGTTCTGGCGACCGGAAAAGCCATTGCCGCATTGCGTTCGAACAAAGTCCGAACGGATCGATTCCACGATCAAGTCAAGATGATGTACTCTTGGACAGATGTCGCCCACCGCACGGAGCGTGTCTACAACGGAATTTCGGGAGACATTAGCCCCGAGGAATTCTATGGCTACTACCCTGGACAAGACTGGGAGGCGGGCCGCGATCGCGTGCGTAGCTTTGCTCTCATTGACCGTCTCAAACGGTACTACGGCTGCGGTGTCTGGGCTGGAAAACTGTTTTGCCTCTGCGTGGTGATCGACTTTTTACTCTATGTCTTCCTGGAGATGTGGTTCCCCCGCGCAAACATTGATATGGCACGCAGCTGGCCAAGAAAACTCAACCAAAAGGAAAACAACCGATTGGCCATTGCATCGAAGAACGACCGTCTGGGACCTGCGTCTTGACTGGTACCTGACTGACAGGTCCATCCGTTCATGCCATCGACCTTACGACCAGCGAAATGCGTTTCGAACCGCTATTTATGATTTTTATGTGTATTCAGGAATTTCACGATACCCATGCAGACTTGCGGTTATTTTCATTAATACATCACTTCGTTAAGATAAGCTCATTTCACCTATTCAGTGATATTTCCTTAAAGGTCCAGCCCCGCAGATTTGCCTGATTTCCGTGAATTAATCCCTCTTCGTCGAGGGCTCATACTTCCACTCAGCAGCTGCCGTCTCTGCTGGCTCAGGGATCCTATCCTCAGCAGACAAAGCGCCCTTATCTCCGCGCTGGCCAGGCCGGGCTTCATCGCGCTCCAGTCCCCGCTGGCTTGGAATCTGCCGCTCGTATTTACCGGTCTGGAAGGCTCCGACTTGCTCCAGACCCGCGCTCTGACCCTTGCGACCGGCCTGTCCGTCGTGGTGAAGCTCCTGGCTAGTCTGTCCAGAGCCGGGATGGCCCAGACCGGTGTACACGTCCTGCGAAGTAGCACCGATCAAGGTATCAGCGGCGGAGGTCTTGACTGATTCCTTGCCGTGAGCCCGCTCGACGTTGGGGTTCAATGCTTGGCCGCCAACCTCGTTGACGGGATTGGGGCGGTAGGAGCTGCTGGCGGGCGCAGTGCCGGGGGGATAGGATTCGGCGTGGAATTCGGGTACGAAGTCGCTGGGAGCAACCTTTCTGCCGGGTTGGTGCTAAGATTTAAGTTAGCATTTATCGGTATCCTAGTAGACAGCGTTGTTCACATACTCCTCTTTTCTCAATAGGACCTGTACGCTCGGCGGCAGGCTTGAACTCGCCCTGCTTAGCGTTGGCGACCGAGTTGACGTTGTGAAGGGTACTCATGATGGGTAGGTTATGTGGTTCAGTACTTTCAAGATATCGTTATAATGATAGGATACAGCTGGTACAGAAGGTGTTTCAATATGAAAGTTGATCTTGTTAATGGAAAATCGGATGGCTACAGACCAGAAACTTATATAGGCGCCACTTCCGAGTTAGGGCTGCACAGCATGACGTCAAGGTGACAGACCTTGACTTCATGGACTGTCATCCACTATGTATGTTAGACTAACGTCATGCACATGCATCTAGAATCTATTCGCGGAAAGCTTTCCGATTTTTGGGTCGCAGAGTGACCCTGGAAGCATTGTGATGATAATTATCGCCGCGGGTTATTGCGTGGATTGAGCCATCGCTGCATACAGGGTACAGTCATCGGTCTATCTGCCCAGACCGTCCGTCTTCTTTGCCCTTCTGGAAAGATCTGGACTCTTTAATCTCAGGCTAGATGAAAATCAATGGAGCAAGAAAAGCAAGGAATAATGAATTTTCTTGGAACATTACTTGGTTTCAGCTGGAATTTCTGGCAAAATGACCCCGCTGCGAAGAGCAGTACAGAAAGTTATCACATTTTTGCCCCGCCGATACTGAGAAGCTCATCACTTGCTCATCTAGAACTATCCACCTTGTCTTTCTTGGCCGATTTGAACTATCTTTAGCATCTCAGATACGTCAACATGCTGCGCAGAGCTCTATCTCCAGCCCAAATTGCTCATTAAATTTGTCCAAGGATTCTTCGCAGCCATCACAAGTTTCGCAGCTAAATAATCAATATAGTTGCCTCAGTCAACGAATATGGCGGCTTTGCTTTAGACCGAGCGATTAGAGGGTTCTGTGGCTTCCTGCTTCAGACCCGGGACCAAGTCATGATCAAGAAAAACACGATGATCAATAAAATACGCAATGAGCTGCTTCTCGGCATGGCGGGCATATTATTGCCCAAATATTCCTTGATCACAAGTATCGTCGCGAAATAGTTTGTGGCCAACAATTCGGGATATATAGGGAACCTCATCCGTCCATTGTTTAGGATTATCACCGGCTGTTGCCGCTCATTATGAGAAAACCCGGCCATGGCCGCTATGAAAGGGAAATTGACGCCCTTGTTTAATCGTGTAATTGTTTCCATAGGACCGGGGACTGGACAGCGCTTGATAGGGGCCTGAAGCACGATTGAGCTGCCCGATGGAGACGACATAAAGTCATAATACCCGAATCTTGATAAGGTTGGAGGGCTTCTAAGAGCAATTTTTGACTTGTTCGCGTTTCCGCTACGAGAACGTACTATAAGGACGGGATGCTTAATATCGTCGCTTCCAGAGGCGTCCTCGTTAACAGGATGCTGACTGCTGGTTCATGAATTGATGTATTAGTCTTGTCTGGGTCGGCTATACTTATATACTTATATCCGTTGTCGGTCCTCTTGACCTAATTGAGGAAGATCGTTGTCAAGCCGATTTTGATCACCACGCGAACTTTCGTCCACGACATGGTCCAGAAGTAGCTTCGCGTTATCCCATACCGCAAGCCGCCACTTCGAGCATCACGCTATCTTCAGCTTTGTTGGCAGCTTCTATCTTCGAATTGTGTCTGAGAAGGATAGAAACCGGTGTCCAACTTTCATCTGATGCCACAGAGATAAAATTATGATTTCCACGACTGTCTGGCTCTCCATTCCTCCCTGGCAGTACTACCTCTACCCCAGCCGTTAAATAACCCATAACTTCCACTCGACTCTAGAGCCCCCCCGCCATTCATCTTCTCTTCGCTAGCGAAGAGGGATTAAAACACCACGATGGGCACCATCTTCCTGTCGATGAGGAAAGCGACAGCGAGACGGACAAAGAGCTTAGCAATGGAAACTCAAATTCAGTGGACAAAAAGGAAAAGGGTTGAAGGAAGTTCAAGAATATCAGCAACCCTCAACAGCGCACCCTCAACGCTCGGAACGCGGGAAAGGAGAAACAGAAGCAGGAATTCAAAGACTCGTGTAGTTCATACCCCAATGATGGTCCTGAAGATGGTCTCGAAGACAATCTGGAAGGAAATCACGAATACGATCCTGAAGACTTCGAGGGAATCTAGCAGATGGTGCTAATGGGGATGCAGATGCCACGGGCAGGACTGGGGGATGCACTTATAAAACATGCGCTGCCGTGATGCTCACGATGGTTGGTTAATATAATAGTGGATGTTGTTTTACTATTCTTGGCTTCTATACAAAATATCTTTCTGCTCAATAAAGGTGCTAAAAAGATGGGGTCAGACATAGCGCCGATCCAAAACAAGGGGTGTGTATCTTTGGGGTGGATAGGGTTCGAAGGAACGAGGTATCTCTGCTACCTTTTCTAGTATGATTGCAACTGCTCATACGTGCCGGTGCCACGATTCTCGAAACAACATCCAAACCACAATCATCCATAAATTTCTTATTTCACATTCCAAATCGTAACCATGCAAATCCAGCATCACCTACCCGCCTCACGGAATAGGTGCATAAAAGCTAAACTTCCCATTAGGATCATACTTCTCCTTCAACGTCCTCAACCGCTGCTGACGCCACTTCTCACTCCCATACAACTGCTGAGGCGTCTCATCGCCATGAGCATAATTGACATAAGCCCGAAGATCCTCCCTCCCACTGCCATGGAAGAGAATATTCCGAAGCTCCTGTCCCAGGTTCGTCGCCCTCTGCTCCAGGTCCTCGCCCGCGGGGTAGTAATTGATCAGCGGGGCAGCAAGTAGATTCTCAGACCGGAAGGCGAACGCACTCGACCGACTATCGATCTTGTGTACGCCACCGACAGAGTATCCTTCGAACATGAAGATGGAGTTGTTAAAGGCCGACGATCCGCGGGTAGCGTTCGCGTAGACATCCCATGCCTTCTGCTGGGCGAGGATGTCGTATGTTTCGAGGTAGATGGGGTAACGGGGGTTGGCCATCCCGGCCTTTTCGCAGGGCGGGGAAGTGTCGGCGACTTCGGTCCATGCGGCGAGGTCCTTGTAGGTGCCTGATTCGGGGGTCGCGGATAGGGGTCCGATGGCGTGGAATGGCTCGGTGTAGATTGAGTCGACGGTGGTTACGCCTTCTTGGATGATATAGAAGACAATCACAGGCTGCGGAAGGTCAGGTTTATGAGAGTTTGTGGTGATAGCAGATTAATGCACTCACGTTATTCGGGTCTGCGTCTGCATCGTTCATCCAGTATGACCAGTTGATCACCCCCGCGGCTTGGGTGCCGTTCTTCACTAGGTAGTCGTTGGCAGCCTGGTATACCTCTCCGACCTTGTCACCGCTGAAGACTAGTGTGTCGATCGCCCAATCTCTATGTTGAATATCATAGATCTTCATCGTAATAGATGTGACGATGCCAAAGTTATGGCCTGCACCTTTGACTGCCCACCAGAGCTCCGAGGTAGAGTCCAGAGTGGTCAAAGTTCCATTCGCGAGGACGATGTTCATAGACACGAATTGGTCCAAGACAAGTCCATGGTGGCCTTGCAGCCAACCATGTCCGCCACCAAGCGCGGGTCCAAGCAGACTGACACATTCGCAAGTTCCCGTCACTGTCTGCTTTCCTGCTGCCCAGAGCTCGTCCGTGACGGTCTTGGACATGGTTCCACCACCCATCGTGGCGGTCTTCCCGTCTGTTGCGATATCGACACTGCTCAATTGGTCCATGTAGATTGCGATGCCATGGGTCATTCGCCCCAAGGAGGTGAGAGCCCCATGGACGCCATTGTACGTCAGGAAGGGGATGTCCTTCTTGTTGGCGAATCGGACCTGAATTCGGTTAATTGTTGGGTTCAATTTCACACCTCAATGAGCGCTAGGAGGACAGGTTGAATGGGAGAAACAAAAACGTACTATCTCCGCCACATCATCCTCCGTCCCGGGCACGATGACAACATTCACCTCGGGCTCATCCAAAACCGACCACCGTGTCGTCGCATTGGTGAACCCACTTGATCCAGGGAAATACACCTTGGATGAGTTCGAAAGCCTGCCTCCGAGCGACTTAAAGTCATTGTCGCCTAGGGGGCAGAGACCGTCAAGCCAGTTAGCGGAACTGGGCAACTGGTTACAGGCCGCAGCAAACGCCCATGCCGCGATTGCCGTCACCACCTCCATCTTGAACCGAGGCATTGAGAAATAGAAAACTTTCCGCCGGTAAACCTGCAGTCAGAATAATAGATAAATGGGGGGAAGGGGGGGGAGGGAGAAAAAGTGAAGTCACACCGAGTGGGAAAGTCAATGGCCAGGTGACAAACTTGCTCCAACCCTCGGTGTACGGTATCCTTGTCAGGTCCAGCGCCTGGGGCCCAGCTTTATTTCTAATTGATCTTCACGGCATCCCCACTAGTCTTGGTTGAGCGCCACGCATTCAATTCAGGCGATGTCATATGATCTAGCTTCTCAAGATCCACTCGAGCGCTTTCCAGCCGTGTGCTAATGTATAGATACTACCTTTAGTATGCCTTCGATAGCCATGTCTGTCCAAGTCGATGTAAACTAGCAGAGGGGATGGCGGGACGCGGAATAGGAAGGCAGGAAGGCCGAGGGCTAGTACGTAAACCCAGGGCTGGCTGGTGGGGACGCTAGGTGGTCAATCCCTGATGCTTTAGCTTCTGAGGTGGAGCATCTCCAATATAACCCCGGTCAATCTCATCAAAATAGATAGTATGGCGTTGTTTAGTGGTTAGCGGCAATTTAAAAGAAAAAGACATTGTGGTGTATTCTATACGAAGGCAGCCTTGCAAGGGTTACCTTCTCTGCTAACGCTTTCTCTGTATGTTAGTGGGATGGCATAATCCAAGGACTGTTTAGTGGCTGCACCTCCTTTTTTCATCTTTGGCCTTCTTGCATTCTTCTTAAATGAATGCTGTTGAGGGGGATGGAAGCCGCTTGCTGCTGTTTACAACAACTTAGTCCGATTTTTTTATGCGTCTCTCCGCATTGCAGGTCGGACTCCACCAATTGAATCATGTGGGTCAATATTGACACAAGAGACGAGGCATCAAAAGTTGCCTACGACAGCACCGTCCAGCTATTCACGCTATATTCAGTTGCCTGTGCGGTGACGGTTCTCAGAACTTACTCTCAATGCAGAGATATGGGCTGGCGCAGATTACGTCTCGACGACTACTTGATATGGCTTGCAATTGTTTGGCTCCCCGCAATCGATAGCTCAATAGATCGGTAGCTCGATCAGTGCTGATGCCAATTTCTCCAGATATTCTATACCGCACAGATAGCTCTGGCGTATAGTGTTGGCAAAGCCGCTGATGGTCTTGCAAACAATAGCATGACGGAGGCACAGCGGATCGCGCTTGCCCCAAACAGTGCGGAATATCGAGCTAGGTGAGTCTGTAAGGTCCGATTGAGATATTGAATGTAGTAACAAACAGCGACAACAGATTAATTGGCTCCAAGATACAAGTCGCAGGTTGGGCCACCTACACGGCATTGATAAACTCCCTCAAGTTGTCGATGTTGGCGTTCTATCTCCGACTTATGGTAGGTCTTTGACCATCTGTGCATCACGAAAGGGAAATAATTGACAACGGACAGGACGGCGTCAGTCGACATTATCGCATTCCCATTTGGGTTGGGTTTGGCCTTGTCATTGGGTGCTTTCTCACCAGTCTGATAACAATTCTTGCGGCATGTCGGCCCTTCCAGAAAAACTGGCAAATTAATCCAGATCCTGGGAGTAAGTCCTCCATTTCGGATAACAGCCTCTCAATGTCCATTCACACTTCAACTCACTAGATGTCTGTCAACCTGCCATTTCCAAACCGGTGATCGCAGCTACCTTTGCCGCAAATCTGGTCACAGATCCGTACTTGGTATTGATACCGATTCCTATGCTTTGGAAGTCGAGCCTGAAGCTATTGAAGAAAATTGCAGCGACCGTCGTTCTCAGTGCCGGTATTTTTGTCCTCGTCTGCGCGACTCTTAAAAGTGTTTTCCTCCTGGTGGTGAGACCCTGACACTATTCTCCATACATGGAACCACCTGTCTAATTCCTCTGTTTCTCGTTTCATTTTCCCCACAGGACCCTGGGAATGGCGCGTCAATTGCCGATGAATGGGGCACCCGAGAGACCTTTGTCGCGGTGATTACCACCAATCTCCCTATTGTGTTTCACCTTTTCAGAACTTGGCTCGCTCGAATATTTGGTGGGGCGTTCAAATCATCTCAGAAAACATACAAATCGCCCTCGGGGGAAATTCACACTGTTGGAGGCGGGAGTGGTGGAGATCTTGGCCGGAACCGTCGCAGAAAGGGTAGCGTGGATCGTATCACTGTCGGTTTGACCTTCACCGAGAGCGAGGAACGCATGATGGCAGACGTTGAAATGCAGACGTTGAAACCATACGAAGCGTCTGTCCCTGGAACTAATCCTAGAAGTGCCATTGTGGTCTCGAACCAGATCGAAATCACCCACGAGGCTAGTAGTATTCATCCAAGTGAGTCCTCTGCACAAGGGGGTGTTGAAAGCTGGTGATATCGGGGTAGCTAGCTGGGTCTATCCACTCCATTCCATGGCGCGTCTACGCAGTAGTCCTGTGATAATTAGCTGCGATGATTATCCCGTCATATTTTTGTGGTGCTGCGTAGATCCCAGTACAGGCGGGGATGCTAATAACAGGAGAAAAGCTCACTCTCAAGCTAGCACAAATATCCCTGCAACTCAACGCAGTCGGCGTACTTGAAACAAGTTGGCACTAAGCAGTAAGAAGTTACTGGGAACGGCCGAGTCGGCCATGCGGCGCAGGGCTTGCATCCGACTAGCGGGTTCCCCCGCCACTAAAGCCGCATACTGTCTAGTAGTGACCCGAGTCCAGGACTTGGAACAGGATGTTTTCGCGCGCGGTGGCTGCGGGAAAGTTCCCTACTTTGTCTCACGGGCTAGATACCCGACAAGCTGATCAGAATTCCGATATCCGAAACATGTGGAGCGATGAGCGAGGTCCGATTCGATGATTCACAGGTTGGTTGGATAAAGCTAGGTAGGCATACAAGGGGTTGAGGAGGAAGGAAGCAAGGCAGTCACCTGACTGGCGCATTTACGCCGGTAGCCTCCAACTTGAAATCGGGGATTTTATCTGACAGCTTTGGTCTCCTTCTCCAAAAGGCTCCTTCTCCAAAAGGAGCGGGATTCGGTTCTTTTCCCATGAATTTGTAGCAGCTGGTTACCGGCGTAGCGATTTCCCAGTAGCATCTCCCGGGCCTCGGCATTTATCGGCTCATGACCAAATGGTAGATAGCTTCGAAGAGTTGAGGTATTTCTGTATGTGCGCTGTCAAGCTGTCTGTTTCAGTCAAGTCTAAATCAAGAAAAACAGCCATCAATCGAGAAAATGCATCACTCAAGTGATTCAACGGCCAAACCTTCGGTATCAGGGTCCATAGCATTGTCACCAACGCTTCTTCGAAAGGATTGTAATGTAGGAATAGTTCTATTTCTGCAATCTTCCCGCAAATCCGGCAGGCCTGCGGTCGCTAAGATAGGCATCTTGATAGCTGGAACCTTTGGGATAATGGGATAAGTATATTATCGTGTCCATGTACATCCCTGCAAGTCGAGGTACAGGTCAGCAGTCGCAGCCGGCATGTCTAGATCGTTGACGTAGATCATAATCAAATCAAAAGGCGAATGGACAAATGTAAATGCACTGATCAGGTATCTTGCAGTATCGACAAAACCCGCTGACTCCAGAAATAAGCCGAATAACATGAATGGCAGTAAAATGCTGGATTCCGCTGCTGAATCCTCTCCAAGGTGTATATTCCTCAAAGCCAAATCACTTCATCACGGGCGGTCGTCCCTCCTTGTTCCACTTCACTCGGGTCTGAACCCACTCGACTGCCTCTTGCACTCCTGAGCCCATCAAAGCACTGATTGGCAAAACGCGACTATCACGAACACCAGCACCGGTCTCTCCCTCGAAGACCTTGCGCACAAATCCTTCCTTTATACGGACCACCTCGACCGAGTCTTCGCGATCTTGTTTGTTTGCTAGGACCAAGATCGGTACGCCAGCAACATCCGCATGTTGTAATACCGATTCCAGAACCTGGCGGCACTCACTGAGCCGACCGAAGTCACTCCCCGGGGCATTTATCCCGACCATTTCCTCCGTAAAAGCGCCGGGATGACCCCCCGCTGGTCCTGATGCAGAGCTGGGTCGCCGGGACGGGAGACGGGTGATGTCTGGATCCTGACCGACGTCCGCGCTGTCGACGACGAAGATAATCGCATGACAGCTCGCGTAGTAACTCTGCCACAGGTTCCGCATGGATATTTGTCCCCCCACATCCCAGATCTTCAAGTACATGTCGGGAAGAGAGACAGTAGCGACGTTTTGACCGACCGTGGGGACGGTTTTGCCGGGGTTGGGAGCGGAGGTGCCATCGGCACGAGGTAGGTAGAGGGCCTTGATCTGCGACAGAAGCGTGGTCTTGCCGGCATTGTCGAGTCCGAGGAGGAGAACTGAGTATTCTACCGAGCTGTTAGCACAGGGTGCGTGCCTGCTTATAGTAACAGGTGTACTCACCCTCCTTACTGGTAGCGTACATATACAGCGACTTGGCCAGATGATACATGGTTGCGGACGGAGGACTGCGGAGGCCAGGCTCACCTCCGAGGGACGCTGCCTCGAATTCCAATTAGGACCGGGGGGACGACAGGTCGGAGAATAGAATCATGGCAGCAGACAAGGCCTATTTGTCCAATGCGTGCCTTGTTCAGCTCCGGGATTGATTGCTGTCTGTCTCTTGCTTCCGCCGGCCGACGATCCAGACGCCGGGGTCCACGCGTCACCCGCGTCCCGATCCGGAAGGTAGGGCCTAGGGTATCTTCTGTTCATGCCCTATGCCCTATAGTCCGGATCCGACAAGCCCCGCGCCGAAGCTCGGGGAAATGCAGCGTCGATCACGTCAGAGCCATTGGTCTGCATGTTCTCCTCCCTCTCTCCTTCTCCCGTGTCGGCTTTGTTGTGGATGCCGGTTCGGACAGCGTGCGGATACAAACCGCAGGCTGCAGACTGCAGACTGCAGCCCTCTGCTGTGTTGCAGTTCCATCCAACTTCCCGAACAAGGACCCGCGGGGTTAATCCAGACGCCTCGACCCCGGATACGCGGTGGCACGGAGCAAGTGCCATCATTGGAGGCCGCCACGGCATTTGCCCCCACGTCTCTTGGCCGGATCCAAAGCTACTCGACTAGGTAACGATTGCACATTGCTAAGCAAGCCTGGTTTTGTCAGCCACCTCCCAGGGCCCTGTCCGCGCGCGGAATTCCCATCCCCCGCCCTCTTCTTCCCTTCTATGGTTGCCTCCAAGCTTATCCTTCTTTCCTCCTGGTCAATGTAATCGCCGCTCGATGGCCCTCCGGTTTCCTCTCCTGCGGCTGGAGGTAGTGGCTTCTGTGACCTTTTCTGGGATCCACTGACCGGAACGTTATCAGGGTTCCTATCAATTGTAGTCAGTCGTATGTCGCGGTCGGCATGCCCCGCGCTGGATGTGCGGCCGGAGGCACAAGATATGTCTTCAATGGATGTTGACACCATTATCGTTGGTATGTCGCCATCATTCCGGCCTCAGACAGGCTGCAGTTTGACTTTTCCTCTGGTCCGTGTTATCGTGCTGACAAGATCTCCACAGGGAACGGGCCAGCGGCTATGCTCTTGTCCTACATCCTTCATGGCCATCTCCCATATTACTCTTCCAACCCTCCACACCCGGATCCCCTTCTCCACGCAAAGCTCAGGGATGCACCAGAGCTATTGAATGCAGATGTGCATGCTTTGACCGATCATTTCGCCGCGTCCCGGCTCTCTTATTCCACCCAAGCGCTCCCCGTGAACGTCCTTCTTGACACGCTCGTGCGCCCTAGCGTGGACATCGAGGAGCTGGGCGGCATCACCAATGTCGAATGGCGGTATGTGCCCGAAAAGGCCGTTCCCCATCTGGTCTTTGGAGATGCCCCTCGTGCGGGGGGGCAATGGACCGATAATCCAGTGCCTGCCAGCTGGGACATCCAGACCCTGAGCTATGCTTCGATGCTGTCTCTTCCTGGCTACTCATTCGCTGAGCATTACCGGAAAGCAACCGGCAAGGAACTTCCCGCCTTTACTCGACCGACGAGAGAAGAAACGGCGGACTACTTCTGCACGTATCCCGAAGCGGTTCGCATCGATGATGTCTTTCGGTTCAGTGAAACTCTGTCCGGCATTTCGAGGACGGAGAACGGCTTTCATATCCGCTCGCATAACATTCGCTGCAAGAACGTTGTCCTTGCAAGCGGAATTTTCACGCAAGTGCTCCAGCCAAGGCCGATGCTGCAGCCGTTAGCGTCGCTTCAGCCTACTCCCGAAGTCCCCCTGTTGGTTATTGGTTCGGGGTTTTCCGCCGCTGATATTATCATATCCGCGCCCAAGGACCAGAAACTTCTTCATATCTTCAAGTGGGACCCGGAAGGCCGACCGTCGCCGCTGCGTGGCTGTCACCACCAAGCATATCCGGAATACGCGGGAGTGTACCGTCTTATGAAACGGGCTGCGCTTGCGGCAGAGCCCGCCAAACCGAAACGGGGTAAAATGCGAAGGGCGTCGTCGACCCCTTTTCTCGAGACTCGTCCGTGGGACGACATTTATGAAGGACATCCGAACACGGCAATTGTCGCGGTTGAGATGCAGGAGGAACAGGCATTGGTCACATTCCGTCAGTCCGATGGAAGCACGTTTACTCGCCCTGTCCGGGGAATGGTCTATGCCACCGGTCGACGGGGCAGCCTCGAATACCTCGACAGCGAGCTTCTCAGTGAAGTTCGCGAAGGTGATGAGGCCACTGAAATAAGCCCCGTTATCTCCGCCCGGACCCTCCGCGGCAAAGCTTTCGAGGATATCGAAGTCGCTCCAGATGTCTTCATTATTGGCAGCCTGACGGGAGACTCCCTCATCCGGTTTGCGTACGGCAGCTGTGTCCAGGCAGCGGGCAAGTTGATCAGTGCTCGTGCCGGCCAAGAAAGGGTCCGCGGTGGGTCGAACAACAACTCCCGGCCGCAGTCATCCTTGGGCGTCATGCGCGGCATAGATGGGCACGACATATCTCCGCCCAACGAATCACGCGTTGTAGATACCGACCGCATGACTCCGAGTATACCCCAGAAGATCATGTCGGGGGGGCTGTGGAAATGGCTGTGGGGGTGGTCGGGGATGAAATCATGATGTCCAACCGGGTGGATATTTGCAGATGCATGATAGACGATAGAAGCTGTCAATTTGTCTAGTCTATATTTCTTTCTTTATATATATCTCATAGCCTTTTTATTCTTCTGCTAACGTGACATGAAGCAGTGAATGGTACTATAAAAGAGTGGTATGTCCTCTAGTCATGATGATACTATAGGCTTTCCGACCATCATTAGATATAACTGATTGACCGGAGACAGAATTAGCGGCGGCCAGACTAATTTACTGGGGTGGTATTTTTTTAGTATTATATCTGTGCCATGTTTCCTCACTCAAGTGCTCAACTCAAATCTAACCGTCCTGATACTTTATAGTATACATCAGAAGTTGCATCCCATACACCTCGCGATGTCAATACCCGCCCATAAAGAAATTATGTGGTTCATCCTACAGGAGTTGGCAGTGCAACAGACTACCGGGGTAAATAAAAAGTGAAACAGAATGAATGACCTGGACTAGTCCCATGTCAGGCTACCTGCCGGATGTGAACTGCATACTGTGAACGTTGCTCACACAAGCTCCTCTCCTCATATAGGGTGTCAATGATGCTGATAACCTAAAAGCATATATTATCTTCCGCCTCTTCCCCGACCTCCTTGTTCTCAGAGACATACCCGCTAGGCCGAGCCACTAAACCAGGGATGCAGAAGAGCCTCTCTTGCAGTAATTCTCCTTGTTGGATCCAAAATGGTCATCTTTTTCAACAAATCCTTGAGATCCGACTCCAGATAATTCCACTGTTCAAGGGGCTGTCTAGGACTCTCAGGGCCAAAAATGTCAACAAGTGCCAATAAGCGCTCGTAGAAAGGGTTTTCTTTGCCAATATGATGCAAAAACCCCTGAAGGCTATCCGCATCCGAAAAGTAGGACAGATTTCGGCGGAGGACATAGCGCCACGAGTCGGCCGCATTTAGTTCGCCGTCAGTGACGCGAAAGACCATCTCATTGACCATGACATATATAATCTGAGCCAGCCAGGTTAGATGTCAAGGACAATGAACGGGGTAAACACAGTGACACGCACAACGATACCAAAGGAAAACACATCCGAGGACTGGTTTTGACGGGATCGGGCCCAACTCTCCGCGCTTCTCCAAATCGGATTGCCGCAGAGAGGGCCCCGTAGCCACTTGCCAGGTGGGACAATTACCGTATCTTCTAGGTCCGATATTTGAACTTGGTTAATTGTTATTTGATTCTTGGGGCCTTCCTTGTAATCGATCAGGATGTTGTTTGGCTTGATGTCTATTGACAGTCAGCATTCTGATGATAGTATATTTTGATGGAGTGCAGAAGCTTGCCATTATGAAGAATATCCTTGTCGTGTAAATCAACCAGGCCTTGCAGTGCACTTCGGAGAATATCCCTTCTTGTGTCCCTGGACAACTTTTTCTGACTCGGCCGAAGCAAGTCTCCATCCATGAAAGGATAGACAAACATCTCCAATGATTGGAAGGTATCGGTCACAGACCGCACATTCGGACTGGAAGAGACCAAATTCTGTAGGTTCAGTTGATATTCACACTCACCCGGAATCATGTTCTTGATGACGTATCGCTTGCCTTCGGCGCTCATAGCTTGGGTCAGTCTTCATACCTCGTACGCATTCATGAAAGATAAACACACCTCGCGCGATAAACGTGCAACGCAGTTTTACCTCCATGGGTGAGAAGTTCTTCGATTCTGTAGGTCTTCCCCGAGTCACTGCTGACTGTGGTGCCAGGTGTGAGTGGCTCTTGGCGCGATTGAGTGATAGATGACATCGCGTAATGCCGGAATGGTTGTTGAAGTGACCATGTTCATGGTAGATATGGTCGAAATTAATTATTAATAGGTGGTTCTCAGGACGAATGGACTGGACGGCATTGATTGATGGATGGATGGAACTGGCGGAGCCAACTCCGTCCTGAGTCCGCCAGGGGATCACCCTTGGCAGCGCTTGCCTCGTCCAATCATTCCCAACTAACACATAGTAGGTTCTCTGCCATCGGCCAAACGACACTTCGCCGTTGACTAAGGGTGGTGACAGTCATTGTTATCTCATGAGGCGAGTATCGAAGCACTTGGACGTGTTCGCGTATAGTATTTTGGGGATGTCCTTGGCACTCATGTATATATACAAGTCCTAAACATTACGCTCCTATATGAAGCCATTTTTATACCAAGGTCTATTTTGATCCTGTATTGAATGGAAGTGACTAGAAATTATTACTGCAGTTTCTTTCCATGAAACACCGGTAGAGTCACGCATCCGAGTAGGGCCTAGATTGTAGGTAGGTAAATTCGGTAAGTGAGTACCATTGAAGAACGGGAAAAGCCGGAGCACAACATCGAAGGGCATTAGATCATTGCTACAAAGTGACATTCACTCACATCTCCGTGGTCTAACCCATGATCTGCAGCTGGTCATCCGGGGGCCACCGTGTCTGCGCAAAGCTGAGACATCTCTTGATGCTCTGTAGGTACTTCCGGGTAGACTCGTCGCTCAGAATATGGGCCTGCTGATCGCTCTGGTGCAGCTTCTCTCGGGCGGATCGCTCGTGGATACCAACCATGGTCACACCGATGGGCCAGGCTCTGCGATGTGTTAGTTATCATTCAGCAAACGAGGAGAGAAGTACGTACGCTTTTCCAATACTCAGTCGCAGATAAGCATCATTTGCATCCACATATCGCCGCTGCTGGGCCTTGGAGACAATCTCGACAACATGATCGACCACCCCATCATCGATATCCTCCTTCTCCAACTTCCGAAATAACGGCGTCATATTCTCCTTTGACTGCACCATCGCATTGTAGGCCTGCCGTCCCTGCATGCTCTGCTTGACTGACAAATCTCGCTTCGCCAGCGCCAGCTCCCACTCCTTCAGAACCATATTGAAGTACGATGCCAGCTGGCGGAAGAGGAACCTCTTCCCCTCCAAGTCCTTCGGTACCTTCTCGGGAATCTTCATCTCGACCTCCGGCACCAACTCCAGCGTCGTTGGTATCGGGCCATCCGACATTTTCGGCTTCGGCGTCAACGACCGCTGCACCAGCCGACGATACCGCTTGAGTCTGCCCTTATGCGTCTCCCCGAACAAGATAGCCGGCTCGTCCATTCCCCGCAGCTTCTCCAACAGCTCCTCCTCCGAAATATCCTCCTCGCCATTCGCCCCATCCTTATCATCCCCTGCCTCCGTTGGCGGTACCTCAGGCAAACCGACTCTCTTTCTCCTCTCACGTTCACGCGCCGCTTCCTCCTCCTCGCGCTTCTTCCGGGACTCCTCAGCTAACTTGCGCTTTTTGTCGTCGCGCTCGCGGCGTCGCTCAGCCTCCTCGTCCTCGAATTTGCGCTTTTGGTTGAGCTTCTCTTCGCGCTCGCGACTCAGACGCTCTTGCTCCTCATTGTAGGCGGCAACGCGGGCGGCCTCGACGTCGCCGCGACGGGCGTATTTGGGTTTGGAGGAGTCGGGGGCGTCGGATTTCGGGGCTTTGGATTTGGAGATCTCCTTGGACATAAGAGACGCGAAGTCCATGGTGCCGAGTGCCTCTGCGACGAGAAACCAGAGCGAAAGATCGAACGTCGAAAGGATAGCTGGCGTTGAGTTGAAGGTTAGAATAGACGCTGGGTACTGCAGTAGACGGGAGTCGAGTCGAGGTAGATCCAGTTCGGTCGGCAAAGTTGCCGCACTGCGGAGTCCGGCCGCAGCCAGCGAGCCATAGCTTGGCTCTCTGATCTCTCTGCTTTGCTACGGCTTCACTCTTCACTTCCTACCACCACCGCAACCAGCTTTCCAGCACACCTCCCACCACCTCGCAATGAACTGACCCCCTTTGAATCTACACCTCAAACCATCACGAACCCATTCACGCATCAAACTCACAATACCCACGACCAGAAAAATGGCCGCCCGCCCGCCAACAATCGACCGACAGTCCACGACCCCCTTCCACCTGAAACTCTTCTACCGACTCAACAACTACCACCACCTCTCCGACTTCGCGCCGCCCTCTCCCTCCTACCATTCCTACCACGGCCCAACCAGCGGGCCCAACGCGATCCGCGCCTCAGCCCGCAGCCCACCACCCGCAACACCGAGCTCTCTCCCCCCGCACCTCCAAATCTACACCTGGCAATCCTGCACCCTGCGCGAACTCTCGCAACTACTTACCTCCGCGCTACCCAACCTCCTCCCCTCCCCCTCCATCGGCACCCGCATCTGCTTCCGTCTCATCTACCCCGACACCAAAGGCGCCGCGATCCACGGCCCCGAAGCGCGCGGCCGCTACCTCGCGCGGGACTTGGGGAGCGTGGTCGTCGGCGAAGAGCAACAAGTTCATCCCGACGATGAGGTTCCGGGTCCGAGGGGAATGAGACTACAGGGGAGTGATGCCGACAGAACGCTGCAGGAAATGCGGTTCATCATTGGCGATTATGTCGACTGTGCGATTTTGCCGCCGTTGGAGGATGGGAGTGTTGCGCCGCCGGTGAATTCGGGGCGCGGCGGCGCGATGGGCGGTGGCATGAGGGCGTTTCCGAGCGAGAGGGAGAGGTTTAGAGGGGGTGGGTTTGGGGGATGGGCAGGGGGAGGGGAGAGAGGATTCCGCCTGGGGAGTGGAGGCGTGGGGAGAGGATTCCGGAGGGGAGTAGAGGGGGCCTGGCGGTGGTGGTGGGGGGGACGGAGGGGGTGGGCGCCGTATTGAATTGATTAGGAGGGGTTTCATGCTTTGCTTTGTGGGTTTGTCAGGCGGATGATGATGATGGGTCTGTCTTGACAACTGTATCTGTATCTTTATGTGTATGTGTATGTGTGTATGTGGGCTGTCGTCTGTATGTTAGGAGTCGAGGTTGAGGAATACCCGCTCGCCGTCCGGTTCAGCTACGCAGTGGAACGACCAGACAAAATCGAACCAAAAAGAAAAGAAACGAAAAGCTTAACGTGGGCAAAGAAGATTCGAATAGCGGTATAATAGTAGGTACAGGTAGGTGATGTGTGTGTATGTTCAGCGGAACTGAACTTTTCTTCTTCATTCCAAACAGAGCGGTCGTCGACGACGGCTAGATCTACCACTCCACAATCGTATCGCCCCTGCGCTTTCCGCGGAGCTCGTACAGACCCTGTTACGCGTTAGTCCAACATATCCATCCCATCGTCACCCAGTTCAATTTTATCATCCAGGGAATGTCCCACATACTTCAGTCTTGTAGGCCACATAGCCGAGCGCACCGGGGATCAGAGCCATGTAAAGGAACGAGAACCAAGCATGGCGCGGGGTCCACTTGAAGTACTTGTAGCGGTTTGCGTTGAGGTCTGCCTGCTGTCAGCTTCCGATTGTCTGCTCTCCGTATGTGGTGTTGTCTGTAACGCCGGGGAATCCGTCATCGTAATGCATCGGGTCTCATTGGCCGTTGTCTGGGTTCATGGATGGGAGGGAGAACGGACCGTAGTATTTCTGGTAGGCCGGATCGAGGATCAGGGCTAGAAAGTCAGTGTTAGCAGATCATTGAGCAGCAATTGAATGGGAGAGGTGCGTACACTTGCTAGGACCGGCCATGGTTGCGGTTTGGGGGCGTGAGAGTATAGGCTGGGATGACGGTTGGTGGTGGTGATGTTGAAGCCGACGTTTCGGTCATGTGATTTACGTACGCTTGATTGGGACGCTGAGTCAGCCGCGCATGGCTGCATGGCGCTTACCCGATGCGGCAGTATGCTGCGTTGTGGCAGATAGCATCTAATCTATGAGGGGAGATTGTTCCTACGGAAATATTGGGGAAGTCTTTATCTTTGTGGCACATGTTCTCCTGTATTTGATGAGGATTAATTATCCATCTCCATAGCAGTAGATAGTAGCCGTAGTAACATGCCCCCCCCCTGGGCTTCTGGCCTGCAAATCGCAAAAATGGCCCGCCCCACTCCCATGACGCATTTTCACAAGAACATCCGAGGTTGAGAGTTGGTCGCGAACATCTCAATTCCTGATAATCGCATGCCGAAGCTAGTCTAGGCTAGGTACATGGACCGGTAGAGCAGTACCTAGGTTGAACGCCAGCCCATATATAAGAATCTTATATCCCTTCTACCTCTCCCCTGCATCACGCCACCAACCTTACTACCTTGCATCCATCCTACCATCCTACCCTCACACTCTCACACCTATCTATCTCACCTCAACACAACACCCATCCCGAATAGCCACTACAGTCAGCAGTCAAAATGGCCGACCCCAACAAAGGCACTAAGATCACTCTCTACTGGTTCGCTGCACCCCCCCTAACCCTTCAATCACACCTCCCTCTAACAAGATCCCGAATCCAGGCTCTCGGAATCCCGCTCGCACCGCATCCTCTGGCTCCTGGAAGCCCTCCACTTAACCTACGAACTGAAGATCTACCACCGCGGCCCTGACAAGCTCGCGCCCCGCGAGCTGAAAGAAATCCACCCGCTCGGAAAATCCCCCCTGCTGGGCGTCCAGCGCGCCAACTCCGACGGCAAGCCCACCATCCTCGCCGAGTCCGGTGTTATCATCGAGTACCTGCTCGACCATTTCGGGGACAATGCGGACAAGCCGCTCGTTCCGGCTCGATACAAGGCCGGGCAGGAAGGACAGGTGGGCGAGGAGACGGAAGAGTGGATGCGGTATCGGTACTACATGCACTATGCGGAGGGAAGTCTGATGCCGTTTTTGGTGATGCAGTTGGTTATGGATAGTATGTTTTCTCCTCCTCCCATTGTTCTGCTTGGGGGTTTGATTCAGGGTGGGGTAATTGGAGGGAGAATGTGGATGCTAACGCGGTGATACAGCTGTCAAAAACCCCCCTGATGTGCCGTTCTTCGTCAAACCGATCCCGCGCATGGTCGCGTCGCAGGTCGAAAAGGCTTTCTTGACTCGCAACATCGAGGCCAATCTGCAGTTTTTGGAGGATCAGCTGAAGACGAGCCCCAACGGAGGTCCCTATATTTGTGGCAGTGAGCTGAGCGGTGCGGATATCATGATGAGCTTCCCAGTCATCGCCATGTCGGGGCGGGTGGACCTCAACACGTTTCCGCTGCTCGCTAAGTATGCGGACAAGTTGCAGCAGGAGGAGGGGTACAAGAGTGCCGTGAGGAAGATTGAGGAGGTGGATGGGAAGTTCCAGGCTTCTTTGTAGATGGTTTGAATGATTGGTTGGCTCAGAGGATGATGGGTAGATGGTTTATGCGCAACGCTATATAATGGTAATGTTTGCTGGAATTATGTATGTTATCCTGTAGTTGGAATGGGGTATACTATAGGGTATCGATTGCTGTTAGTTTCTCCGCCCAATGGCCTCCACTTGAAGTCCCAGTTTCTCTAGCTCGGGAACATCAAGACATCCCCGTCCGTCAAACACCCACTTGGGGTCTTTGAGGTTGTAGGCGATCCGCGCCCACTCCAGTGGTTCACTGGCTGCCGGTCGAGGGGACCATGAGCGACATGCCGTGCAGTTGCTGCTGCAGGCGTCCTGCGGTGCCAGGCGATAGGTCATTCCGTGGAAGTTCCAAGTCTCGCTCTTTCTGCTAGGAGAAAGCATCTCGTCTAGGCTCTCGTACGCCTCGGGGTCTGCTCTCGATCCGAGTACCATCCCAGAAGATCGTTTGCAGCCATTTTTGAACTGTTCACAGTCGGTCATAACGAGCACCGCATGAGCCTGAGAGCAAGCCAGATACGGATCGCTTATAATCTTCACTCCGTTGGCAATTGCCTCCGCCCCACAGGACACTTCCAGTTCGCGAAGGATATCCTCTTCGTGGCAAAACAGATCAAAGATGGCAATTTCCATGGGTCGCTCTTCCATCAGCGATCGGATCACATCTACTACAGGCGATTCCCGCGTGTCTCCGGTATCTTTCTTGAACGCAAACCCCAGTACGGCAATCTTCCGTCCGGTCAGGTTGCCATCAAATCGATCGACGACTTTCCGGGCAAAGCGCACGCGCTGGTACTCGTTCATCGAATTGACTTGTCTCCAGTAATCTGCGACTTCCTCTAACCCCAGAGATTCTGCCAGGTATGTTAAGCTGGCAATGTCCTTGCGAAAACAGGACCCCCCGAAACCGACACCAGCTTTCAAGAACTGTGCTCCGATACGGGCGTCCATGCCGACAGCGCGTCCGACCTGGTCCACATCTGCGCCGGTTTTCTCGCAAATGGCGCTTATCGAGTTGATACTGCTGATGCGCTGCGCCAGCATCGCGTTGGCAACAAGCTTCGCCAGCTCTGACGACCAAGAGTTGACTTGCAGGATCTGTGCAGGTGGCACCCACGATGAGTAGAGATGCGCGAGCATGCGTGCGGCACGGCGACCGGATGGGGTCCCCGATGATCCGATAAGGACACGATCGGGGCTGACGAGATTCTCGATCGCTGATCCTTCGGAAAGAAATTCGGGGTTCGAAAGAACCTCGAAAGAAATGCCGGGTCTCAAGGTTGACAACTATACTGTGTTAGGACCATATGCCAGATAGCTTGCCAGGAAAGTGTACCGTTTGCCGCACCCTCTCCGCCGTTCCACATGGCACCGTGCTCTTCTCCACGAGGATAGCTCCTGGTTTCGCATGCAGCGCAATCTCTTGCACAGCCCCGTCAACCGCTCTCATATCCGTAGCCCTCCCCGCGCCCAGACCAAATGTCTTGGTGGGAGTGTTCACTGCGAGGAACACCATGTCTGCCTGCGCGATACTTGTCGGGTCGCATGTGAAGAATAAGTTCGGATGACGGCTTGAGAAGGCCAAGGGCTCGTTGATCGCATTGGGAGCGACGTCTGACCCATCTCTCGTTACGCGGACCACATTTTGTAAGGCCGGCTCGTGCACTGGGAGATGATGCGACTTCCAGCTCTGGATGCGACGAGGGTCTCGGTCCAGCACGCTCACTCTGACAGACGGATTGTACAATGCGAGTATGGCTGCCGTGGGTCCGCCTGTGCGGTTCAGTATCCAAAGATGAATGAGGGGCAAGGTCTCCTGCAAACATACCGACATATCCTGCACCCACCACGCAGACACTTTTGACTCCATCATACAACGGAATCTTGGTCGAGGTAGAACTCGACGTGTTAAACGCCCTCCCCTCCGACGCAGTTGCAGGAGATGTAGAGTGCAAAGAAGACGAGTCGTCCACCTTTGCAGCGCGAAACAGCGGGCTAGATGCGGGGGTAGTCGGGCATGTTGAGCTGCCATCCAGGCTCCATTCAGTGGAGCTGAGAGGCGAGGAAGAGATATCCATGGCGGCTGCAGTTCTGGTAAGTGCCAATGAGCTCAACACAAGAGATACAAGAAACAAAGAAAGGAGAAGACCAGAAGTATAAGCATCCTATCGACCACCTCTCCTGGCCGATCGTCGCCAGACCAGGTAAGCACCTGTAAGTCATAGCTGGTCGCGCGCATTGTCCGCATGGCCGCTGGACGGAACGTGATAAGCAATGCATGAACGCGGTATCGCCACAATCAGAGGGATCTGGATCCCACAGAGCTGCAAGGGTTGATGCACGCGGTGGCCAGCACGGATTGCGACTGGGCCATGGCCACGGGGGAGGAGGGAGGAAGGAAAGTTGAGCAGGCCGGCCGCACGACGACAGAAACGCTCCGGGCGGCCCACGTGCCCCCAGGGAGCCCTGGGACACGAAGCCTGTCCTCCCCTCCCCATTTCTGCGCTGTTGCAGAATGACCTTGGGTCACCGGGCGCTGGAGATCACCAGCCAGCGCGTACTGGGCCCGTCTATCATGAGCGCGACATCATACCGCCAGAGGTAGTTATATTAGACCACCAGTGTGGGCGTTCATCATGGCTGTGCCATCCGCCGAGAACTTCCAAGATGGACACATCAAGCCCACAATCCGATGACTTTCCCAGCATCCTTAAGGGAAAGCGCATTCTCCTCACCACGGAATCCCTGGGCCCCGTCAACGGCGTCAGTCGCACCACCTCCAACCTCATCGAATACCTCCGTCGCAATGGCGTCGACCTGGTCGTCGTTGCGCCCCAATTCCAGCACCAACCAGCACCATCTCCATCTCCATCAGATAACGACATCCGCCTTCCAGGCTACCCCCTCCCCTACAACCCCGACCTGACCCTGGTGTACCCCTTCCACCTGCAGAGCATCTACAGCCCAACCCTCCCCCCGGACCTCATCTACATTGCCAGCCCAGCCTCGCTAGGCTTCCAAACGCTGCTCCAAACCCGCCAACTGCACAGCCCCCCACCCATCCTACTGAACTACCAAACCGACCTCACCTCCTACAGCAGCGTCATCTTCCCCGCGCCGCTCGCCCATTTCGCAACCTGGCTGCTCTCCACCGTGGAAGGCTACCTTTTCCTGCACCCATCCATCCACATAATCTTCTACCCCTGCACCGCAGTCCTCACATACCTGAAAACCACAACCACAAACCCCACGACGACCCTCCTCCCCAAAGCCCACCGTCTCGCCCGAGGCGTAAACACCACCCTCTTCCACCCTTCCCATCGCTCCCCCTCCCTGCGCGCCCTCCTCTCCCCGAAGAATGAAGGGTTCATCCTCCTCACCGTCTGCCGCCTCGCGCCAGAAAAGGGCTTTGAATTCCTCGCCTCTATCGCCCAACGCCTCTTGGCCTCCAAAATCCCCTTTAAACTCGTCATCGTGGGCGGAAACCGCAACCCGGACGTGGAAACATCCATCCGCCGACTCTTTGACCCCGTGAAAGACCACGTCATCTTCCTGGGCTTTCTGACGGGCGAGGACCTGGCGCGGGCGTATGCCTCCGCGGACTTGTTCCTGCATTGCTCGATCACGGAGACGTTCGGGCTGGTGGTGCTCGAGGCGATGGCGAGCGGGGTGCCTGTGATTGCGCGCGACGCGGGCGGACCGTCAGATATTGTGCGCAATCAGGAGACGGGGTATTTGGTGCCGCCGGATGAGGAGGGGGTGTTTGCGGCGTTGGTGGCGGAGGTGTGTAGGGATGAGAGGTTGAGGGGGAGGTTGGCGGTTAGGGCGAGGGCGTATGCGGAGGAGATGACATGGGAGAATATTCATAGGCGGGTGGCGGGGAGGATGGCGGATGCGTTGGTGGAAAGGGAGGGGGATTTGTCGAGTGAGACGGCGTTGTTGGAGGGGAATGGGAGGGGGAGTGGGAGCGGGTGGTCGGTGCTGGAGAAGGTGAGGTTGGGGGTTGCGGTTGGGGTGGTTCATTTGATGTGGTTGGTCGCGGTGGTGCCGTTGATTGTGCATGGGGAGAGGATAGTGTCTAGGATCTTGAGGCGGATTCCGTTGGTGGGGAAGTTGGTGTCGCGTGGGAGGTCGTAGGGAGGTTTTGGTTTGGATAGATAGATGTACAGGTTTAGAGATGCGATAGATTACAGGTGTTCATGCAGCAGGATTGTTCTATTGGTGTCATGTCTCGACGAAATTCTATATACAGGATATCTCATCCGATGAACTTTTGTCGGTCTCGTGGTAAAGCGAAGTAATAGAGTGAACCCTATCAGTGATCCAATGCAGGTGAGGAATACGGGCCGAACAGTCTGCCATGACGAATCAGGCGAACTTGCGCTTGATCTCCTCTTCGGTGAAACGGCGCGTCTTCGTGCGCAACATCGCCGCGAGCTCATCCTCCGACTTGCCGATCTGATCTCCCATGGGAACCAGACATTTGGCGAGGTGGTGGTACTCCTTGCGCATGAGTCGGACAGTGATCATGATATAGTCAATGTTGCGGAAGACCAGCGCATGCTCGGCCGAGTAGCGGTCCTTCTGGCGGAGGAAGGCCACGGGGTGGTCGCGCCAGTGTCTGCGGGGGTTCAGATGGTGGGAAGTGTGGTAGCCATCGTTGTAGCAAAACCGGTTACTCTGTCTCCATGTTAATGTATTGTTTTGGGGTGGAATGCGGGGGGGGGGGGGGGGGGGGGGCATACCGGCACGTCGATCAAGGTGATGCTAGACCGGAAATCGGAGTTAGGGTCCGTCTCATCAACGAATGCGTGTTGGCCCCAGTTTCCGACCATGAGGCCCACGCGCAGCTGCAGAAAGGGCATAAGAAAGACAAATAGCGTTGCTCTCCAGCTGACGTAGTTCCAGAGCAGGTACATGAAGAGATAGCTGCCGAGTTCCCAGAATGCCGCCTTGAGGCCGAGGGTGACTTTCCCCTTGCGCAGGAAGTAGGTCGGCAGCTCGAACCAGACGAAAAAGTAGAAGCGACCGACATAGCAGGCGAAGTCGGCCAGGCTGTCGCGCTGATACCGGATCGTTGAAGACAGATCCTCGGGGCCGTTGCCCTCGACGTGGTGGTGCTTCACGTGATGATAGAAGTAGGAGTTCCAGGTGTGGCCCATCAGAGGGTCGGTGATGTAGGGAAACAGCAAGTCAAACAGCCACCAGGATCGCTTGTTCAAGATTCCACCCATGTGAATGTGCTGGTGCATCATCAGAGTGTAACTGCCTACATACCAGGATTGCATGATCCAGTGGAGGACGCCATGGACCCAGTGAAAGTTACAGAAAAGATAGATCGCACTGGGGACTGAGGTGGAGAAGTAAAGTAAGAGATGAGTGAGCATCACTACATCTGTTTCCGTCCGGACGATAGAGCGCGCAGCCTTGATATACGGTTGCAGAAGCCATTGATCCAGCACCGGTGGGAGCTTGATATCCTTCAGATCCCATGTGAAAAGGACACTGGGGACGAACTCCGCATGCTGGGGGTCATTGAAGGCCTCCAGTTGGCTGATGGTCGCGTCGTCATCTGGACTGCTCCCATTTTCCTTGGCTGATTAAGTCGCAGTGAAGTTAGTATCTAGAATAAAGAGCTAGGAGTATGGGTGGATGTAGGGTGAATGTACATGATCTCCCCTTTTTGGGCGGCGTCTCAGCATCCTTCAGCAGATTATCAAGGACCAGCCGATCGGGCGGTGTCAGGTAAGGGTCAATGAATGTGGACGGGTCCATGTTCGCAGTGAAGGGAGATATCGTGGGGGATCTAGCAAAACGCGACAGGTCGGGGCGTCAACAAATACGCGACCCAAAAATCCTGGTGGGAGTGACAACCGAACAGTCCGAACAAGCTTCCAACTAACGGGAGAGAAAAGGGGGTGCGGGTGGAGCAGTGCTCGTTTTAGTTTTGAGGCTGAGACGAGGAATGGACTCGTCCACTTGCACGCTGCAGCCTGGAGGTTGAGGATTCCTCGGAAAAACCACCCGCGACGGCTTCGCGGATCTCCTCATCAGGCCACGCCTACTCCCTACTGGCCTGATTGCTGATGGATTGATGGCGTGGTTGTTCTTCCCCGGCCTGCCTAGCCAGAACGCAGAGCTTTCGGACGGGTGGGGGTGGGTCGGTCTGGCTCGGTCGGCATTGATGACGGGCGCATTCTCCGTCGAGGGGCCGCACAGTGAGGTTGTTGCTTTGCTAATCCAGGTCGCTCTATTGGATCACTCTGATGCGTAGAGCTGGCATCATCGATCTGGATCTAGATAGAGGCGAGGATTCCCACTTTGGTCTGTTGCGGGGACGGGCGTCTTGTCCGAAAACGGCAGGCCCAAAAATAGCTCCGATAGCCCTACGGAGTTGCCGATCGGCAGCATGAAGGTACTATAAAGTGAACTTGGCTTACTGTGTGTGCATTGTATGATATGAAGATTGACAAGCTTAAAAGCACATGAAATAACCCAATGCTCCGTTTCAGATACAAGCCATTGAAATAATTCTATTTGTCAGAATTACAGAGTATGTACTTCCCGTCTTGCCTCCTAGAGGTATAATAGACGAGTCTATTCCCCGGAGATCTTACATATGAAGCTACTATATATCTGATAAGATGATATGCAGTTCGGAGTGAAATTTACTATATAGTATCAAAAGATATTATACTATAACTCAGCTACGCAAGTTATTATATTGGATTTAAAACCTACTGTCTATATTCAAGTAAGGTAAATAAATACAATTCACCGCTTGGGCTTGCGTGAGAACAGCTACCCAATCAGGGGCCATAGTATATATCGCTAAGTTATATGTGAAAAAGTTTGTATCAAATTCCACAACCTGTATAACTGAAACGAGCCCATCACCTGCCCCTCAAATACTCCACCCCACGAAAAGTCAATCGTCTCGCGAGGAAGCCGTAGAGTCAACATCATGATTGTTTGGTTCCTGCGGTGCTTGTCCAAGCACTGTTCCAGATTCTGGTAGAATATGGGCGCATCTTTCATCCGATGGGCCATCATGAAAGTAGCTGACTCATTCGCCAATTTGATGGTGGTTCTGTTTGTTGTTGGCAAAACAAGACTTCAGATGGATGATTGTGGATGTTGTAGACAAAAATGTGATCCTTGCACGGGGTAGAGTGTGTATAAATATAGAGACAACGCCCCAGGCCGTCCCGGGGGGTCGGACCGATCGAACAGGGCGCAAAGACGGGGCGGACGAGGGCCTCGGCACTGTATGCAGTAGGCTAAGTGATAACAGTACTACTCTTTGGAGCCACGAGACTAATTTTGGCCCTTTCATTGGTAGCATCGTCTGATGACTGCCTGTTTTCCGTTGGTAATTCTCTTTACCGTACGGAGTACTCCGTAGTCTACAAGCTATATCTACTAAGACATTTTTATAACCAAAAAAACATCCCTAATCTCTAATATATCTCGAGTATTTGAGTGCCCTAAACATCTTAATTACCCCAAAGCTCATTAAAGTTTGGCCGAAGACCTATGCCTGCTGTCTTAATTACACTCCTTTATTCACTGCCTGTACAGAGTATTACATAGTAGGTACTGCCTGCCTTCGCTGTACGGAGTACCGTAGTTGGTGATGTCAGTTACAAATCCCCACTTCTCACCCCCGCCCACTTCATCCATCCATCTACCCCACAGCTATCATAGCCTCCTCCTCCTCACCAACCACTTGATACATGATCAGCACCACCATGAAACTAACCCTCTTCTCCGCAAAATCCTACGACAAGCACTACTTCACCCAAACCCTGCAAGCCCATCACCCCGACATCACCCTAACTGAGCACCCCTTCGCGTTGACCTCGGAAACCGTCTCCCTCGCACAAGGCAGCACAGCAGTCTGCGTCTTCGTCAACGACACGCTCGACGCGCCTGTCCTCCACGCCCTGCACTCCTACGGCATCCGCGCCATCCTCCTCCGCTGCGCCGGCTACAACAACATCGACCTCCCCCTCGCCGAATCCCTCGGCTTCTTCGTCGCAAATGTCCCCTCATACTCCCCCGAAGCGGTCGCCGAGTTCGCCGTCGCACTGATCCAGACCCTGAACCGCAAGACACACCGCGCATACAACCGCGTTCGGGAGGGCAATTTCAACCTGGAGGGGTTTCTGGGCTCGACGTTGTACGGGAAGACGGTCGGGGTGGTGGGGTTGGGGCGCATCGGGATGGCGTTTGCGCGGATCATGCGCGGGTTTGGGTGTCGGTTGCTGGGGATGGATCCGTACGGGGGGGAGGAGTTTGTAAAGGAGCTGGGGGGCGAGTATGTGGGGTTGGATGTGTTGTTGGAGAGGAGTGATATTGTGAGCCTGCATTGTCCGTTGACGGAGGGGACGAGGCATATTATTAATAAGGGGAGTCTGGGGAAGTTGAAGAGGGGGGCCATGGTTGTTAATACTTCTCGCGGTGGGCTGGTGAATACGAGGGATACGGTTGGGGCGTTGAAGGAGGGGATTCTGGGGGGGTTGGCTCTCGATGTATATGAGGAAGAGGGAGATTTGTTTTATAACGATCATTCGGCGGAGATTATCCATGATGATACGTTGATGCGGTTGATGACTTTTCCAAATGTCTTGGTTTGTGGCCATCAGGCGTTCTTTACGAGAGAGGCGTTGAGTGAAATTGCGCAGGTTACACTGGGGAATCTGGAGGATTTCAGGTTGAAGAGGTCCTGTCGCAATTCGCTGGTGAGGGAGGGCCATTTGTTGGTTGAGGGGGATAAGGAGCCGGTGCGGTTGTAGGGGGGGGCGCTTTCTAAGATTTAAGTGGATAATCAAAGTGGATAGTTAAATGATGGATTTGAATAGCCAGTGAAGTGTCTGTTGTGGATATTCAATCATGGTATCAATTTGGAAGTAAACCCCAGGCAAATTAGCAACTTTACCGTTGACAGGGGGGATTCCTGCCACCAAGAATTCAAGCTCGTGGGTCATGGTCCCGAGTTGATCTGCAGCCTTTCTTCATGTGGGTATATAATCAACATTGATTTCATGTGATGGTAATGCCACTTGCAATAACTCGCATTCTGCCCCAAAATACTCTATAGAATGAATACACATTGTCACCCAGAAAGACCTCAGGTCGCAAACAGCATCTTTCAGGTCTTCCTGGCTATTACAACTGACTATAGCATTCTCTCCCCGGCTAAATAGGCTCGGTTTCAATGCATTGTCGTTCAACCGAAGTCGTATTTCTCTGTGGGAGGCTCAATTTACTGCTTTTGTTGACAAAGCCTTCCCTGCTTACAATGATATTCGCCCAGAGATATCCCTGATCATCCCACTTCCACTGTTTTTAAAACCAATTGTTTGTATAGCGCCAGGGCTACTGTAAGCAAGGAACAGTATACTGCCGGGACGTTTGGTTGAGATGTTAATGGTGTGGCCGGCCAGAGGGAAGCCCGGCCGGCTTTGTCCTACCTATCGAAAACAAAGTTTGCCAACACTAAAGTCTTTCCTATTCTTCTCCTCCCCCCTCAACTCATCATAGCTAGGCTGGAATCACTTGATCATTGTCAACTCCCTGGAAAGAATCGGTACCAGATAAAGTCCATAAGGAGAGCGTTCTTCGTGCCTGGCTGGTCCTGTGAATTCTCGTCAGATAACGGGGCGAAGAAAAGAGCGGTCTGGATCTTTTTTGAGATTGTGATCAGATCATTCCACAGACCGCAAACCCGTGCAGATGTCAATCGGGTGTGCATGTCTACGTCGAGGGGAATCGACTCGAGGAGCTCCGGGAGGAAGAGCGGGGATGCTTGGGGGGTTGCCATCTCACCCGAAGCAGCCCCTGATGATGAGATGGACATGATTTTGGGAGACGAGTTCGATCTGGTTGGTCAGGGACAACTCTTGTTTCGTAGATGAGGTTCGCTTGTATCGTGTTGCGGGGAATAACTTTCGTCTGGTTGAATATGTGCCCTTTTTTTTAGCTGAGCGGGAGAACTTATGTCTCGTTGAGGGAGATGACTTGTTTGATCGATAATGGTGGCTTTTGTTTCTTTCTGACAACAGCTTGTTTGGTTGACGTCCTCGGATGCGGATGAATCTGGTTTTCGTAAAGTTGGTTTTCGTTTGAAATGCGCGGCTAGAATATGCTTTTTGATACCTCCAGATTTTTTTCCGGTGAACGGGCTGCAAATGTTGATTATGAGGGGAGTCTGTGTAGATGGTGGGGTGGAACGGGACAGGTTGGTCCTGAAGACAAAAGGCAGTGATGATGTAGTGATAGTGTCTCACCTTCAGTTTTTTCAACGCCCATTGATTCATGTGAATGTGAGAATGAGCTAAACAAAATTCAAGCCATGCTTTCTTCTTCCCCACTGTTCTCTCTTTTTTCCCGTCTCCTCCCCTTAACCTCGTTGACTAGTTCTCATATACAGCAGAATACCTTTATCCAAGCATGTCGGTAGCCCTCAAGGAGGAGGATCCTGAGGCGATCGAAACAACGCTTCGATTCATGTACAGGTCGATTACGACAACATTGTTAGCTATTCGTTGATATTCCACGTGAAGATGTACCAAGTTGCGGACAAATACGCAGTTCTGGAGTTGAAAGAAAAGTGAAAAAGACGTTTGAGACCGTGGCCAAAAACAGGTTGACGGATGGAGGGCTTTCCCGCGGTCATCGCAGACGCATACAAAACCACTCCCAGTGACAATCGAGCTCTTTGCAACCCATTAGTCCAGGTAATCTGTAAGCATTTCTATGAACTGGCAAAAACAAGCGCCTTTCAGGACGTCCTGAGGGGGGTTGCGAGTGAGTTGCCAGAAATCGTGATGTGGGCGGCCATTCATCCATTATTCGGTTCAGTATTAGATCTTGTTATGAAAAAATTGGTTTAATCGTGACAACCATGGCCGGGAAAAGCGATAAGAAAAGATTGTGTAAAGATTTGAGTTGTCAGGAGACTATATTAGCGGGGCACAGGTTACAGCAGGTGGGGGATGCAGGCAGATGGCATAACGGAGCGGGATTATGCAAACTTTCCGCAATGGACTATACAAAACAGTTCTGATTGACCAAGCCCGCGGAGGTCAAGGGCCAAAGGATCAGACATTGATAGTTTTGTCGCGTCTTCGGATATTCGTCCAGGTGACAACAACAGTACAACCTTTCATACGACGCAATGCACTGAACCGTTTCCCAGTACAATTCAATGCATAAGGATTTCAGGCTAGAACAGAGTTCCCATATCGATTTGGACTTTGATATGGTCGTGAATGAGACTCAGTTTGGGGCGCTCTTCAGAAATTTTGAGAAACGTCATTCTATTTATTGAGATAGACAACAGCTGCATATCTCATCTATACATAGGCAATGGTCTTTCGCGCTGGATCTCTCGTGGCTCAACAATGGGGGCCGGGTTCGGAATGCGCGAACGTCACTTCTAATTCCCATCCCTCTATAGACATGTCACCCTTAGCAAAAAGTATTTGCTGATAAGTGATAATGATAAGCAAAGGCGCTTGTGAAAGATGGTATCAATTTGCTCCAGTGAAAAGCCAGGAGACGTAAGCAATCTATTGTCGGACAAGAGACCTTGAGAGCTGGGCATTTCAATGGTTGGCGCAATCTTTGTTGATTGATGCGCTGGGCAGGATGTTTACAGACCGTTCCAGGCATATTATTTTGCGATCAGGCGACTTGGATCAGGAATCGGCACGGTAGCTCCACCACCAGCTCGGGCCGTTACTGGGTCCCAACGTGCGCCGTCGCTGCCAAATGGGAGGACACAGGGGAGGGCTGGATAGTCACGCACTCCGGTCGGGATTGCAGCCCGCATTAGCGCGAGGGGTATTGATCTGGCTTCGATGTTCGAGACTGATCGCTGGGAGAGGAACAGGAATCCTTTCCTGCGAAAATCTCGTAAAAACTTAACCCATCGGTTAGAACGGCGTTGGGCCAGTTAGTTGAGTCAGGATTTTTTGTATGAGTGATTTGATAAGGGTGGCGTTGCCGCCCCTGCTAAACCCCATCCAGGATAGCCACCCGCAGTGCCACGTTCTAGTCCTTCGAATGGACCACCCGATATTTTTGGAATCGCTTTGCGACAACGGCTGTTCGTCCGCATGATCGGAAAGCAGAGAAGGGCCAGAAAAAGTTATATAAACTCCCTCTGGGCACCGTCCATCGATTGAACATCAGCATCCAGTTTCATTCCTCCTCATCGAACTCAATCAAGTTCCCTCGAACCAAATCAATCCTCCGGTTCCAAACCACTCTCTCTCTCACAACCCACCAAAATGATTCCCTACCCCATGATCGGCCCTGAGTCCTACGGCCTGAAGCGGTCTGCGCAACGCAGCACCAGAAGCCTCGCGTCAACCCACATCGACGATGACTCGAAATCGCTCGACTCCCATGAGCATGTCGAAACCTTCAGCGAGACTTCTAACTCGAGGAGCCTTGGATGGAGAGCCAAGCTCTCGCAAAAGTAAGCGCCCCAAGACCTGCAATTGACAATCCATCATTCTAACAAAACCCAGGTACAAGATGTTCCACTTCCCTTGAAAAGCTGGACTGAAAAGGGTTTTGAGCAATAAGCTCAGTTGATACGGTGTTTGGGAGGATGGCTGGAGCTTTGTTATTTTATCACGATCATGTCTTAGTTAATTATCCTAATACTCAATAATACCCGCGGGGCATGTACATCAGTCGGTACATGGAACGCTTATGATAATGCAAATTAATATTTTGACAATGCCAATCGCGTAAAAAGAATTCTCCGCCCAAGCTTTGCTATCGCTTCTTCAGAAACTTCTCGGACATGCTTGGCGCATGAAGCATACTGCATATGCAACGCACACGCGTACTATCACATAAGTGTCAAAATCCCAATCCTGAAACAGGCTTTTCTAAAAAGCAGCAAGGTTCTCGAATAAGCTAAGCGGAGACCACCCGATTTCCCATCGACACAGAACCCAACCCAGTCACAATCATCCCTACCACACTAAAATAGACTACTGGGATCGAACGGCGATCGCCAATCGGTAATAGCGGCATTGACACCACCAACAAAAATACCCCTGGACCCTACACGAACCAATCACCACACCACCACCGCCCACCGCCCACTGCCCACCAATCGAGGTTGAATTTACCGGTTGGACGGCATATCGGATGTGGATCCGCGACGGCGCCACCCCCCGTTATCGCGCCACGTCAAGGGATCATGTGCGCAGGAAAGAACTGTCCGGCAATTAATTTAATAATGGCTAGATACTCTGTACATGCGACGATCCTTGATGGCGTGGACAAGACACATGATACGGAGCATTATTAGCATTTTCAGACTTGTGTTTCGTGATCGTGGTCTTACGCCCATAAAGGGGGGGGGGGGGGGGTTCGATGGCTTTTTTTTGTGGAAGCCGGGTGGTCTTACTCGGATGTTTACCTGTCCTGGGTTCCGTACGGAGTACCACTTGTGGATGCTCAGGGGTCAGGTGAAGACTTACAACTTCAGAGTAGTATGCAGAGTATCAAGATGTGGTATGAGGAGCTAATATGATTATTAATAAAATCCCCGTAGAGCTAATCATTATCTCCTACTATATTAGTCGCATATCGTGCTATACTAGCATAGCACAGATATGCCTATCATCTCACACACTCCGTATAGGCAGTAGAATGAATTCTATGTAGAAGATCGAAATCTCCAACAATTATTAATAGGATAGAAATAGATCACGGGTCTTGAATTTTACAGGGCTTGAACACTCTTGGAATATATTCACCATGGCTAAAGGAATAGACCACAGGAGCTTGAATAATAACACGCCACCCATATTGATACATAGAGTTATAGTTGTATTAAGCTAGGTGGGTCCTACCTGTTGTTGCAGAGCAACGCTCAGCATGTACAGTGCGGTTGCTTACATCCTGAAGCAACCCGCGCCATATCTTAGCGTTTTTTTACCGTATTGATCTCTCTTCTCCCTCCCTTGTGTACTCTCTGTGAATTACCTCAAGGTAGTAGGTTACAAACATGATCATATTCCGGGTAGAGGTTGATTGCACGGTAGCTAAAAATACAATATTTCAGATGTCAACTTCGACCCCCTTGACAATGAGGACTACCAAGATGTTTTTATTGCCGGACCACAACTGAACCAAATTCTGGGCGAACAAGTGTCGCCGACAAGTTCATTTCCTTTTTCCAGTCAGGACTCGAGTTGTTGGTTGGCAATAGATACCAAATTAAATGGAGAGACTGCAGGCAGGTAAACAGTGTCGTCGGTAAGTTTGAAGAAAGCAATTTTATCAAGCTGTGCACCAAACTTCGAAGGTACATAACATCCCATTCATCGCGCGCCAGTCAAGAGATCTATCCTGTGAAACTCATGACCATGTCTGTTACTAATGGTAGCAGATAAACAATATACCGCGATGAAACCATCCCTCTCTGCTTACAGGTCAATTCCATCAAGGCTCTTTATCGAGGCCAACTGGGTTGGAGTATCGTCAAACCAAGTCTCCCACCCCTCCGAACCGACCAACTGCAGAATTTGCTCATCCGCAACCCCTAGGTAAGCGACGGTATTCCCCGGCCTACTCAACGGTCCAGGGTCGTTGTACATGAGAACCTCTCGCAGCGACTGTGATAGCTCAAGGACTGTCCCACCCTTGACTACGATTGATTCCGTGTCCGATACCTGTATCTGATCCTTGCTCACCAAGTCAAACATCACGTCTGCCACACGATCGACCTCCACCCATTTATCAATCGATTCATCCACCAAGGCCAATTTGTCTTGTGACCAGATCGGTGTCTTGACAATTCCGGGGGCGATGCCAGTTACTCTGATCCCCAAAGCCTCCAATGGAGCGAGGGATTGCGTCAACGCAATCACCCCACGCTTCGCAATCGCATAAAGGGGCAATGCAAGGAGAGCCATCTCGCCGGCAATACTGGACACATGGATGATGTGCTTTTTTCGGTGGGTAGGACACGCATTCTTGTGCTTCATGAAGTACGCAATCGCCAATTGGGTGGTGTAGATGGGATGGATCAGATTGATGTCCAGGCTGACGTATCCATTTTTCATTGGGGAATCAATGCATCCCTTGCTGCCGGGAGGGGCCCAGAAACTGCTATGCGCCTGTCGGCCTGTGAGTATCCTGTCTTGATGTGATACCCCGACCCTGATAGGGCGATAGAAAACCTGAACTCACTGGCTCAAAGACTCCCGCACCAGGACAGACAATCTCTACCGATCCGAACTCTTTCTCAGCCACAATAAACATACTGCGAAGTTGCGCCCAGTCGCAGACATCGGTCTGAACGAACACCGCTCGAGGACTTGACCTTGTCCCATATCTCCCAACGAGGGTCTCTGCGCTTTGGCTTAGCTTTAAATCGGCAATGAGGACGTTGTAGCCATTCTGAAGGAGCAAAGTTGCGAAAGCGAGATTGATGCCGGACCCGGCCCCGGTCACAATGGCCGAGCCTGCTGGAGTGTTTTGATTCATGGTATGAGAAAGCGGTAGCCGATGAAGTACCTGGTGAGACAGCTGCTGGCGACCGGGGGTTATATAATGAACTTGGCTGAGTTTGCTGACTTGGGAGGGAAAGAAATGGCGAGGGTCGATGACTGGATGCACCGCACTCTTTCTTTCAGCCGTTGCTGTCAATTTCCATATCAGGGATGAGACATGGCTGAACACTGTTGATAAGACTATACCTCGCTGTACGTCTCTCATTGGAGCATCAAATTGGCGCTCAATGTCTGCAACAACCTCGGCTCAGTTGCTGTCCTCCGTAGATGTCCATGACTGGAGACGTGCCTGAACATATTCGGTCGACTCGGTGATAAGCCAACAGGTAGGAGAGTGATCCCCCGGTGTACTGTCGCGAGATACTATTGGATCCGATGAGACGATCTAAACTCAAGTTCCCATTCTGGCCACACATGCATCGGCTTCTTTTTCCCTTGCCGCTACAAAAGACACGTGAGCGGGTCTTGACTACAAGGATCAGTCAAAGACGGACAGAATGTCAGATTGCACTAATACGGGAATAGACTAGGTCTGACAAGCTGACTTTTCAGCTTCTCACCATTAAGCCGCTGAGTGTGTGTCATCTTATTGCTTCTTTTCTCTACCTCGGATCCTGTAGTCGCATACGACCATATGACCGATTAGGGTAAACTATCTAAGAGAAGCCACATAGCAAGCTCTAGTCAATCATCTATGCCCTGACCTGACGCCAACGCATACATATATTTGGCCCAGTGCCGTTGGGGCCAAGGGATATCCTCCTCCTTTCTTGTGCGACTCCAGCTGAAATTCGATGGTGGATCATATCAGCTAACGCCGTTGGTCTGGTGGATTGGTCACGACGAGATGAATGATGTTGAGCGAATAAAATATCCCAGAACATGCAGATAAAGGGGAGGAATAAACGGAAACAACTGCGCTCATAGTGCGAGATATAAGGTCAGCGAGGAGAAAGAGCGATTATGTCTGGATAGCAAAAACAGACAAGGGAATAATACAGAAGCCAAGACTGAAGCCTAGGGCAGAACCGGTTTCTTAAGAGCTTCTATCTCTTTTTCTAGCGCTTTCACACGTCTTTCCATCAAACAACCCTGTCGATTCATCAGCCTGATATTGCACCGTCGCGGGGTAAGGTATACCTCAAGATGGAAAACGCAGACGCTCACCCACAGAAAGGTGGGGCCTATTATTTCGAGTACTTCCCAGACGTTCATATTGAACTCGTGGATGAGATGTGCTGGGGAATCAAGTATGGAGATGAGATATGCTGATGAATAAAGAGCGAAGTGGATCTAAAGGAGATTTGAGACTTCGGAAAATATCGATCGAAGGGAGGCGTTTTAGAAGGGGAAGAACACAACCGCACAAGCTGAGGTCATGCTTGAGAAACCAGACATTCATGGCGTAGTCCTGCGTTGGCTTGCATCATTGCTAGATCATTATTGCCGAATCGAAAAACGCTTTAGGGGCAGTGACGTCTTCATTAGATGAAGTATTGTAAACACAGCTTACAGCAGGTAAATGGGATTGTAGAATTTACATAGAGAATAAGGGATGTCTCTAGGCAACTGACTGCCTCGCGAGAGGAATGGGGGAAAGGTGTCTGCAAGCCGCGGAGAGCCGCGGAGACAGTCACTGGCAGTCGCTAAACTCAGGCACCGCTGATATCCATGCATGTAATGGTTTTAAATCAATGACGTATTTTTGTCAGTTGCACGTCTCTCAAGGTAAACTAAATGGAGTCTGCGAGGGAAGCCCATCCGTTACCATTTAACAATGGATAGTCCTACGTATCTGCTCTATGGTTGGAAGACGGAAACATCTCATCATAATTCGGAAATCGGCCAACAACGTTCGTCAATTACAAAAAGATGATGCCATCAAACATACCTTAAGAGGTGTGAGTAACAAAGCTTTCGATGAAACACATCTTCCACTCTGGACTCGCTTTATCCGCTTCGTGGCCGTCCAGAGCATCATAAGTCCAAGATGAAATTCCAACACACCATTTCTTGTTTTCGAGCTGTAACACAGAAAATCTTCATGCGGCATCGGCCCAAAGACCATGTGCGAGGGATTCCGCTGGAACTTGTGGAAATCATTCTCTCTTTTCTCTTGGCGCCAGATCAAGTCTGCTTTGCACTAAGTTACACATATACCTTCGCTTGTCTCAACTCCTATCTCAACATCATGCAAAGAAAGAAGCTTTCTGAATTCTTCCCGCTCGAAAGGAAGGTGATTCTCTGTCCCAACGCCAGAAAACGAGCTAGAATAGAGTTCCTCCTTCGACTCCAGGATGATCGTTGGAAATATTGCGGCGATAGTTGGAGTCTGCATCGCGACACTTTCAAACAGCATATGCATTCCCTCTCGAGAGCCCCCCACAAGCCAACGTTGCTCCGACTGTCACCTCATACATTGGCCAGCTTGCTATGCGCCATGGCATGGAGAAGTGGATCTTTGTCCCTGCCTAGATATCACCGTCCGCGAGAAGCTACACTTGATTAGAACATGCGAAAAGGCCAGGGAGGGAAAAAAGTACTATAATGATGTTCTACTATATTCTGAATCAGATGAATGGATGGAACACAAATGCACCTTCTCCGACCATCCCTCCATCAAAGCTGGCGTTACAACGTATAAGTATATATGTCAGAAAAAAGAAGTCCTCATATGTGATCAATTGACATAGCTTTAAAGTACCACGCGAGAGCTCTCTGCAAAGATTGCCTTCAGGTGTCAAAGCCCACTCGACGTGTCCACACGAGAACCCTGGAGCTTGGCTTCAAATATTCTTCAAAGAATCTGGCTTACACTCCAAGGGCCGGGACAAACCCCATCGTCATCGGAAGATACAATCTTTGACTGGTTGGGAAAATTCAGGAGCAGGTGAACAGCCACTTACCTTGAAAATTAGGATATGGAGGATGCTCAGAAATAGCAAGTAGTTTAACACTCCTTGGGATAGCAATTGTCACCATTGCTAGGACTGTTTTAATATTTGGTGTCAAAGTGATCTAATAATGTGGGACGTTTGATAGTAAGGCGTAAGGCAGATGTGCTCGGACCAGATCCCAGTGCGTTTATTCCTCTTGGACCACGCAGTTAGTCGAGTCATACTCCATGTATTGCTAATGCAGCAGTTTTATGTCTTCGTTTCTTTATTTAAGCCCTGTCGTCACAATGATACATTAGAAAAAGGAGAAACTAACCACAAGGCATCCTTGGTAATGATTCACAAAAGTAGCAGGTATTAGACATCATGACTTGATGTTGATAGACCGCTGACCAAGCTTGCAGAATTTTGTTTCTTTTCCCAATTCCCAAGGGGAAAGGAAAAGGAATTCTAATAATGTATATGGAACCTGCTAGCAGGATCTACTCCTAGGCGGGCTGTAGGCAGAAGGCAAAGGCGCGAGAAGCACATGACCTCGCTTCAACACTTGCCTTGAGCGGCGGAGACACAAACCCCTGGACTTCGTAGAGCTCACCTTGTCCTTAACTTTCAACTTTCTCCTCCTATGGGCTTGGAATCCACCATGGTCCTGATTCCCTTGATAAAACGCCAGCATGACTAGACGTGTGAAAAAAATTAAAGATCATTAGCCTTGGACGAGTGAACTTCTCACTTTCACTTCAGTCTGGAATATCGTTTGGCCAGGACCAATTCCAGGTTTGATTGAGGCAGCTGAACGCGTCAACATGGTGAAAATGGACAATCTTCCGTAGATGGAGGATATTCAGAACAGAATAAGTACTATGACCATCCTTTCTACGAGATATGATCGCGCTTGATATCTTCTTACTGCATCCTTCAAAACAAGAGTCAAGTCCCATCTAACAATTGCTCTCAAACCAACAGCCTACGCCAAAGCAGACCTGGAAACAACCGGATAATCGTCGCGTATATCCCCCACTGATTTATCATCCTTCTACAACGTCGCGGACGCGTATGACGCGAGCTCCGCTCCCTCCTTGATACCAGACACCCACCTCGAGATACCAAGCCGACACGAGATCACTACGCCTTCTTGAAGCTGTGGCTCTGGAGGCATTCCGTCTGAATACTTCTGTTACGGTGCCAGAGCTTCGCGCCACACTGTGACGGTCGTCTTTTGGGTGTCAATCCCACGTAGTTGCGGGCAATGGTCGATGAACATCATAAAGACAAGGCTTCTCGTGAGCTTGAGCGAAGGGACTTCGATGAGTAGGTTTGCGCATCCAAAAGCGGAAGACAAGAGGCTATGAGTGCTGAGAAGAAGAGTAAGATTGTGTAAGACTCCAGCTCAAGGCTACGCATACTAACAGGGTCATTAAAGATCGAATCATCAACCCTCGTGGTCTATGAAACCTACATCCGCACCGTGAGATGAGATGGAAGAGCAGCTGGAGGCGTATTACGCTGGAGACCTCCAATACACGCAGGTGAAGTTGTAAGTAGAGATATAACAAAATGCTTTTATTGCATGTATACTAAAAATAAACAATATGTATTAGGAATATAATATTTGTATCCACCACCATATACCGCACAGATCCCCTTTGTCAGAAACAAATTAGATCGCATCCATCGCCAACTCTTCGTTCTCCTGCGACACGGCCTTGGGACCCGTGTAGCTGCCCTGACGAATGAACCAGAAAATCGCGATGAAAATGGTGAAGCCACCCGTGATCAGAGCGGTGTAGTTCATCGTTTCCGCATCGATGGGCATCGAGAAGGGGAAACAGAAGATCACAATGAATACCACAATGTACAGACATGTCACAATGTTGACAATGTACCCTGTGATTCCGCTCATCCAAAACCAGCCGCGGGGGATGCCCTTGCGGCCGCTGAGCAGATGGGGGAGGATGGCGGCAAGGTAAGAGATAGTGGTCAAAACGGCAAATGAGCTGACGAAAGCACTGAAGGCACTCGAGTTACCGACATAGATGCAGCCAAGGACAATAGGAATCAGACCGCAGACGAGGACGGAGTTCAGCGGGTTCTTGAAGGTGTGGTTTACCTGACCAAGGCAGCGGCTGAAGGGCGTGGCACCGTCACGGGCCAGAGTCCAGAGGACACGGCTGGACGTCAGGTAGCAACCGATGATGGCGACGAACAATGGAAGCATGGAGACGATGATCAAGCCGAGAGACCCGCCGCGGCTGCCGGTGATTTGGACGTAGATCTCGGTGAGAGGGAAGAGGTAGGGAGCGTCGAGAACGGCAGTGAGGTCGGTGATGCCATAGAAGATGACGATGCAGTAAAGCAGCGCGGTGAAGAATCCCATGACATACTGGGCCAGCATGCCCAGAGGGATGGTTTTACCCGGGTTGGGCACCTCTTCGGCCAAATGGGAAATGACATCCGGTGTGCCGACCGCGAAGGCACCGTTAAGCATACCCAGACAGAAGACAAACCCGTTACTGCTATAGCCGGACTCGTTCAGCCAGTCGCTCCAAACGAAGTCGTTGGAGGCATACGGCTGTCCGTTTACATAAGGCATCACGGCGCAGACAATAACAGTGACGAGGAAGCCGCCGACAACCAAGAATCCGCCCACCGACTCGATCATGGGCAGGGCGCGGTTGGCGAATGCGACCACAAGACAGCAGCCTATGGAGCAGATCAGGTAGGCGATAAACACATGCCAACGCGCGATGACATATTCGGGGTGGAACAAGGCGTATGCGGATACGACCTGCGTGGCGAGAATCTGGGTGGTCGAGGCAGCGCCAAAGATCCAGGCCAGGAAGTTCCACCAGCCAGCGAAGAAACCACAAACTCGACCGTATTTTCCAGCGGTAATGGTAGCCCAGTGGTAGACTGGAGAAGATAATCAGATATGTTTCCGATCGGGATTGTGATGCGAAATACTAACCTCCACCGGATGACGGCATGGACGAGGCCAGCTCGGCCAGTGATGCGGCGATGAACCAGTAGAAGACTGAGGCTGCGATCCTGCGACACTGTCAATATCGGATTCTAGTTGCATATCGGACGGGACACTGAACGTACATCTCATAGATCACACCGGGCGGACCTCCATCATAGATGGCTGTGACCTAGAAAGTGTCAGTTATCAACGGATCCATCCGGGGGGGTTGGCTGCCACTTACGATACTTCCACCCAAAGCAATCCAGGTGTTCCCACTGGTCAGGGCCAAGCCACAGATGTTGATGAAGCCAAAGTTCCGCTCCAGCTCCTGCTTGTGGCCGGAGGCGTTGATGGGCGCAGTCACCGATGACGGGTTTTCCGACTTGGAGTGTGAGTTGACCTCCACGAGGGGATCGGCATGGTGCTTTGGCTCGTGCTGCGACTCCATCGTGATCGTTGTTCGAACCTTCGGATCGAACAGAAAGGATGGATGTGGCGGGCAGCAAAAGGCAATTAAGAGCAAACAAGGGATCGATTCGCCAGGGGAGGCAAAGGTTAGAAATTTTCCGAGCTAATGCACGGTAGGATTCTCGACTCAGAACCTAAATCATGAAGATTTCAGGAAGGGACACTTCTCGGTCGTATGACTAGGGAATGAGGGACGAGAACCTCGGGGCTTATCGCTAAAGCCGCGCGATCGGAGAGCCAAGAGGACCGGTTGGCAGACGATCGTAGAAGGGGTTGGTTAGCCCCCAGTTTAGTCGCTCTAGTCGTCGGCGCTGAAAGTTTATTTGATGCGATGGAGAGATTATTTCATTGGGATGGGTATGGACTTTGCCCCAAGGTTGAACAGGACTACCACAGTGGTAAGGATCGACAGCGAGCCGGTGGTCGGAACACCGAACGCATCACTCGCAGTCGCAGGTGCAGAGGGAAAGAGAGTAAAGTAATAACGACTCGAGGAACCCTCGATGCTGGCTGGTGATCTTATCTATCCCGGAAGGAACGCACCAGGATTCCCGTCGTGCAGAATCGATATTGGGATAGCAATCCCTGCAACTTTTATATCGACGTCCCCTGTCCCTTTTTTAACGAGAAATATCTCTTTCTGCTTGGCTATGATGCTGGTGGGGGCCATTCATTTCAAACACTGAGGCCTGATGCAACACCCCGGAGCCAGTGCTTGATTATATGTTGCAACCTATCCATATGCCCTCGCATCACCTGCTTACGATTCCAAATTCCGAGATTTGTTTGGACAGCCAGCTCTTCAATCGCCATCCATCATGCTTGCAAATATACTTATCGGTCAATTCTGTCGGTGCCAGGCCTCATTAATATCGAGTAGTGTGTGATGTCTTGGCGTGGCGACATGAGCGGATAATTGGCATTGACCATTGGCAATGCATGCTCTCCATGACTGGGAACTCATCCGACGCTTAAATATTTCACCGCTAGTGTTGTTTTGACTGCTTTATTGTCGCCGTTCGAATTGATTGCTCTAGGTCTAGACTCGACTGTGTTCCTCTAAACCGGCTGTTTCGAACCCTGCATAATGCTTTGCAGGCCGGCATTCCCTCGATCTGATCAACGCATTGAAGTCTCGGGAAATACATCTCTCGAGGTAAACGAATCACAAATAGGCGGTGTTGTCCTCATGGCCAGCGCTGCCTTACGACGGACTGCCAAGCAAAGCAATCAATCAGGATAGTGTCTAAATCAATTTGACACGAGGCTAGCCATATGGCTGACCTTCAAAAGGCCACCCAATTCCCACAGCCGGTTCAATGTACGTAACCGAAAGTTCCGCCCGCAAAGGAAATGTCTCAACTCAGCTCAATTTCAATCGGGGCATCGAAGCCAACAACGCGAATAGTGAGCGAGCGGCCACCTGGCCAGCCATGGACCAGCCTGTTAAGCAACCGAGGACCGCAGCCGGACCGGACCCCTGAGCACAGATCACCTGGAGAGCCCCAGCATGCGGTTAGACAAAGCAATTTGTCACAGGTATCGGTCCTCCTCCGCGATAAAGCACGCAGAAAAGTATGGGTGCGGCTCCACTCCGACAGGCAGCCTGGTCAAATGCGACCGTGATTCGCCTGCTGCGAAAGAATAGATTAAGCTTCCCAGCGCTGCGTAAGACACCGCGGCACTAGCGAACTTCAATCTTCCGGGGTGGAGTGTCCAGCGCGTCCGCCGCACTACGCTTGAGACAACGTCGAAGTTAAATCCATGGCGATGGATTCAGGACCTGGCTGTGCCTGAATCGCATTGGATGGCGGACTGCCCGGATGTTAGTGCTTTGGTCTTTGTGAGCTTAGCTTTCAATTAGACCACAGGGCTGCATGGGTATGCTTTCCCCCGGTTCAAGGTTGATTGACTCGCGTCCGCCGTCTGCAGGGATGAGATCAGGCTCTGGTCCCTGAAGCCATCTGCCATCTCGTTTGCTGGTTTCAGGCGGTCGCGTGACCCCTGCAGAAGGATGCGATCCCGTCCATTCATGAGACAATAAGTGTGTTTGGAATTGCTTCAACGGGGACTGATTTTCCAAATGTGATCCGTTCCGGGCCGTGGGAATCCGCGGTGATTCCGCGGTGGAGCTTGAGTCAGGGGAGGCTTTCACCTTTGGGGCTTTCTCTACGATCGCCATTTGGCCGTCTCACGATCACTGCTTTGCCAGTTGGCCGAAAGATTGCTTCTGGGGTTAGAATCAATTATTTTCAAATTCAGAGGGCCGCAAAGGATAGACGATCTCGTCGCTCGCAAGCACTGCATTCATCCGCGTCGCGAATGCCCAGCGCGCGGTTTTCTGTTCGCGCACTCGCATCGGCAAATATACCCGATGTTAAACCCATCTCTTACACAAGAGCAAGCCATCAAATTGGACAGCGGGTGCCATGCAGCCACATAATGTTGTTCTGACATCCCCCACTGTGGGAACCTCGGGCATGCGGACTTTATACTCCCTATAACCAGAGACAGGTCGTGTGCTGGCTATATCGATTGATTGATTGATTCATGCGCTATACCTGAGCAAGGAACTCTGAAGGCTCTTTCCGGATCGCCGACGGCCAAAGGGCCAAGGCTGCGGCGCCTTGTGCTGGCTATATCTGAATTAGCAATGATGATACGACAGAGAATCGATGTATGAGACCTTTTTACCTTTATATAGGCGCAGGCTGAGAAGCACCTCCTAGTGCACTTACATTTATCTTTGGGCTGTGCCCGAGGCTTACAACGGTGAAACGATTCTGCGTGTATGTTTCTCGAGGGATATATATCATATGCATGATTTTTAATCATGCACTTGGCAGGCTCGCTGCGATGCCTGGCTTGCAAAGCCTGCTTGCAGATCCCGCTCTTGCGACGCATATATCAAGCGTCGTTGAATTCATCACCTCATCGATGCTATTGCCCTTGCGCTGTTGTGCTTCTCCAATGCGCATGCCTTGAGCTCCATTTTATAATTGGAATCATCCCTTTCGCCCTCATGGTATCTCTCTAGATTGAATGTTTTCAAGATTGGGTCTTCTATCAGGAGAAGTGCGGTCAAGTCCTTGCTGATACTGTGATTGGCACCTGTCTACTATGCCCTAGCTACACGTGCTTGGATCCGAGACTCACGGTATATGTCCTCTCCCAGAATCCTCCGGGGGTGTGACTTGATCGGCTTTTTTGGTACTTGAGCATACAGCATGGATTCGTCTTTCTTTCGTTTTCTGATGGCGCTTGTGCTCTCCTGGTTAAGAGTCGCTTCGCTTCAAAGAAGGGCTAGACAAAGAGATCAGACCGTCTACAGATTGCAACATGCTTGACGCAGAGGGGCTGTCCTACCAACGGGTAGCGTATCGAATGACCACGACTCAGTCGGTCTCTTGAAGTCGGAAGCACATGCTTCGACGGGAAGGAGTCAGCGGCAAAGTGTCAGCGGCATTCGTCGCACTTGGATGTGTCTAGATCATGACGAGCCTCAGCATCTCGTGCGGGGTGCGATGTTCGACTTGGTAGCGCAAGTCAAGTGACTCCGCCATCGGTCTGGTTCATACCATACATGCACAAGCGAGGCTACCGCTGGAAATTGGCATGGCGGCAGACTGCACGACAGTCAAGCCCATCATGGCGCGAGGGATACCTTGCGTCTACAGGTCATGCGAACGAGACAGGCGCCACGGCTAGGCTCCTCGGGCGTCAGGCTGCAATACCATGTCAAGGCAAGGAACTGTGCGGAACGCGAGGACATCCAAGCTAGCCCTAGAGGAATCCGGTATCGTTACTAGCCTGCAACCGCCGATATTGTTCGCATCTTATCCTTCTGACACGGACTGCGGCTTTGGCGGGATGACCTGTCGTTGCGGTTATCGGCGAGGGCATAGACGACCCCGGTTTCACACGTGTCATGAGCTAGGGAGTAGTCGGAACGGTGGTTTACATGCCCAGCATGATCGGCCAAGTGATATTCCAGGAGCTAGCAGGCTGTGGCCGAACTGTTCCGGGACATACTAGCTGCAGAGTGCGGGGTACACACCCTTTGACTGGTAACTGCCCGGAAGCTTATAGCGGTGACAGCTGGATGTAAGACATCTTCCTTGGATCGGACATGATGGCTGCTCTACCAGGCCTGTGCGTTGCCAGGGGATGCTGGGCCCGTCAACGGCGGTTCATAGTATCATGCCTTGATTCCGCACCCATCGCACTCAGATGACGCACGGATTGCAGGCTGGGCTGCAGACACACGTGTCAAACCGACTGGTGAAGATCTCCATTGAGTCGGAGTCTAGAGGAGGCGCGGCCAGACTGGACGGCCGCTGTCAATCTCGTATCGAATCTGATCGGACAAAGAGGGGCATCGCATCAGCATGTGACGGGACTGGCAACTGGCCTGACTGAGGGACTGGCCGTCCCCGAGGGCTCGCGCACCCTGGCCCTGGTCGAGCTGTCAGACTCGGCCCGATCAATGCTCTTGTGGCTGATCCAATACCTGGATAGGGTCACGTTCCGCTTACGAGAGATGCACACCGCAAGATGATGCCTTCGATGATGTGCCGCGGGGTGTCTCCGATCTTATCTCTAGGATCCAGATGCCATGGTCATGGTATGCCGGCCGTCTGGAGTCACCGCAGACGGGGACTCCCATACGTGGACAGTCCCCGATAAGAGACGCGCCGGCCTTGAATTATTCGGGCACTGGCGTGCATCACCGATTCCCCGATGAGCCCCTCCCCCGCCCGCCCGCATCCATCGCAATGTGCTCTTCTTATCAGGGCCGCACGGAATCGATCTGTGATGTCATATAGGCAAGCCGGAGGCAGGCAGGCAGGCATGGACGGGACATGAAATGCGGGCTACGAGTTAGTTGCTTTGTTTCCGACTGAGGGGTAATCCCACCACCACCACCCCGCCATCGGCGCTTTGGGCACCGACAACAACAAGAATCAGAATCGTATCCCCTCCGTCGAGCTCGACCCCCGAGCGGCGACAAGCGAGACCAGACAGACAAGCCCGATCGGATACATCTCTGCTTCCTGATTCCCCGGAAGTCAATCCCCGGAGGGGCCACGCCACGACGGCCCCCAACGCCACGCCCGCCGTAGTGTAGCAGGAATGTAGCCCTCGCCCGGGTAAGAGTAGCCTGGCATTGCCCTGATGGCACTAGACCAGTAGCTACCAGTTGATCCTCCGCTGGCCAGTCTAACGGGATGCGAATAGTAAGCCTGGTGACGAATCCGACGGAACAGCAACCTGCCTAATTAGGCGGAAATGACCGGATCATATGAGTTGGTTAATTTGGCGTTGGCTCGGTGGCTACGGGCTGAATCTCAGTCCGAGTCTAAGTCTGAGTCTCGATGCGTCGATGGATCGGAATGACTAATGAGGGTTTGTCACTGAATCGATCGGGTGATTTGAGGGGGGGGGATGGCGATGGGCGTCGTATTCGCATTTTGCACAGTCAAGACATGGCGATGGCGAGAGTAAAAAAAAAAAAAAAAAAAAAAAAAAAAAAAAAAAAAAAAAAGAGGCATCTCTACGCGAGGTGTGATCCGGGGTGGCTGGACCAATTTGGTGGGACCGGGTGTCTCTCTTCCAAGGCCCACGACATATATACAGAACTTGGTGAACCTCACCGGAATATATGACCGACTGTCTCGTCGATATATATCATCAGGTGATGAACAACATCCAACATCCAACATCCACAGTGACTGACTGCGCCCTGTCCCGGTGTAAACCAACATTCGCCCCTTCAACTGAATACCTTTCCTTGACAACGGCTGTCTTCTCCGTTTCTATAATCACTAATTTCAAATCAGGATCACCGATACAAGACCCTCACAATCCCCTGTCCCAGTGGAGTATGGAGTAGTTATGGCGTAGTTATGGACTACGGAGCCCAAAGCTCAGATAAGATCACCACTGCACGCCCTCAACACTCCCTATCTAGTATCTATCTACCCATGTACTACCCATCTATATATATCG